CTCTATCCTAACTCTATTTGACCTTTCTGCTGCTTTTGACACTGTTGATCATCAACAGCTTCTTCTCATCCTCCGTAATTTTGGTCTATGAGATACCGCTCTCTCCTGCTGCTCTTCCTCCCTGTCCCAGTGCTCATTCAGTGTTTATTTATCTGTCTCTGCCTCTTGTCCCCGATCCCTCTCTGTTGGTGTTCCCCAAGGATCCATCCATGGTCCACTATTCTCAATCTATATTGCCTCCCTTGGTAAACTCATCAGCTCCTTCGGCTTCTAATATCATTTCTATGCAGATGACATTCAAATCTACCTGTCCTCCCCTGATTTCTCACCACCCCCTTGACTCATGTCTCTGACTGCTTCTCTGCTATTTCCAACTGGATGGCTGCCCATTTTCTTAAACTTAACCTGTCCAAAACAGAACTTTTGATTTTTCCTGTCCGCTTGCATCTCCCATGTCTCCCCCTTCTGTCAGTCCCTACATTGGCTTCTTGTAAGAGATAAGGCTCAATCTAAGATCCTGGTACTTGATTACAAATCTCTACACAATGCTGCTTCAACCTACCTATTCTTACTAATACACAAATATGTCTCACTAATACACAACTATGTCCTGCTCTTTGCCAAAGACCTACATCTATCCTCTGTTTGTACTCCTACCTTGGATGATCACCTTAAAGACTTCTCTAGAGCCCTCAGTGAATACTATCCTAGCAACCCACCTTTCTACACTATCCTTACCTTTTGTGTCACTATACTCCACCCAACTAGCATGTAAGCTCATTGAGCAGGGCCCTCTGTTTCTGTGTGTCAAACTCTTATTTACAAATACGTGTCTGTTAGTCCACCCATTGTACAGTGTTGCGGATATTGTTGGCGCTTTATGAATAATAATAATAATAATAATAATAATAATAATAATAATAATAATTTACAGGTACTAGCTATTTAGCAGACTTTTGCAGTCTCCAACAGCCTGCAGCACAATGATGAAATGGCAAAGAAGGGGCTATGCTTTACTTCAAACCATACCAAGGGTAGTGAGCAATGATAGGCTGCCCAATTCCCTGGTACGAATTGGTATGGAACAAGGTGAAAGCATAGCTCTACCTCTGCAATATAATTCATCAGCACTATGTGAGTTTTTGCTTAAATTGGAAGCCCTAAATTCCCAGTCCTGGACTGGTCCATTAGACTATTTCCTGGGATATGAGATCTGTGAGTTTGACATAAAAAAGTCAATTTGTTGGTACTTGGTCCTCAAAACAAAAGTTGCCCGTCCTCTCCTTGCTTCCAATAGATGTGAAGGTATATTGTGTTCTTCTCCACAGATGTATGCTGAGCTGGTTCTTTATCTGTTGTGTGCATCTCCTTTTACTATAGAACTGTAACATCTAATGCCCGTACTTGCTGTGGCTTTGTGTGGCAGTGGATAGTAATTTGAATATGGGATTTTTTTTCTGCCGTATCATCTAATCAAGAAGAAAGTTAGACAAAACAACAAAGTGTTATCGTTTCCTCAGCAGGCAACCTAAGCAACTGATCAACAATCTCATGAAACAAGGAATAATGATTTCTTTAGAGAAAGTTCCTATTGTGGCTCAGAATACTCTGGTGACAGATATAAATTGAATTAAGGTATAAGAATATCACAGAGAAATGTTACCAGGTATGAAGCTCAAGCTCAGTTTGGTTATGTAATTTAAGTTTACAAAACAACAGTCTAAATGAAAAAAAAAAAAAATCACACTACCATCTTGGCTTCCACAATGGCACATAATGGCATGCAGATGATTATAGCTTTTTTGTGTGTATATTTGGTGTTATATTCCTAAGGAGTCTGTGTCTGCATACAGGAATCTTAGCTTTACCAGACAGAGCAGGCCCAGATGGCAAATGCCTAGTAAACTTTAATGGTTATGGGTCGAGACCTACAGGGAAGATAATAGGATCTTCTCTTCCTGCCCATGTGGGGCAGACACTATCCATGATCAAAGATCTCTCTCACTGACCCAGTGCACTTTTTTTCAGGAAAGGGAGGACCTGGGAGGCTCTAGACCTGAACCCCCACCAGGTGTAGAATGTTCCTCCCACGAGTTCAGGCATTTCAGAGTGTTGCCGCACATTACTATACCTCAAGGTAGGTGACACGTGTCAAAGTAACATCTACATGAACGCAAGGTTTCACAGCAGAACATTGTTCAGTGCATAACATTGCCTCCACCGATCTGCCTTCTTCCCATAGTACATTCTGTTACTATATATTCCCCAGATATACGAAGCACAAGCACTCAGCCACCCAACCGATCTAAAATAAAATGTGATTTATCAGACCGCCCAACCTTCTTCCTTTGCTCCATTGTCCAGTTTTGATGGTCATGTCCCCACTGAAGCGTTTTCGGTGGTGGACAGGGGTCATAATGGACACTCTGACCAGTCTGTGGCTAAGCAACCCCATACACAGCTAAGTGTGATATGCTGTATGTTCTAACACATTTCTATCATGAACTGCATTATGTTTTTAAGAAATTTAAGCTACATTAACTCTTTTGTGTGATTGCTTAAATGAGCCTTGAGTGCCAATGGCACCATCCTTTCTTGCACCATTTTTTGTGTTAGGTAGGTACTAACCACTGCATACTGGGAACATCCCAAATTGCCATCTTGAAGATACTAGAAAGCAGCTTTTTCTGCTTCCAACACACAAAATTCAAGAACTGACTGTTCACTTGCTGGCTGATATATACCACTACTTGACAAGTGCCATTGTAATTCTATAAGCAATGTTATTCATTTCACCTGTCAGTGGTTTTTATCTTGTGGCTGATCAGTATAATGCATAAAACCATTTAATTAATTTGCACACACTGAACACTCACAAACACTATTTTTAATTAAGAGATTTGCATACAAATTATAATTAGCGTAGATATTTTGTAAATATTTTCACTTTTAACACTTACCAAAGCACACACTAGACAATCCTATAAATCAATCATGTCAAACTTGCGACCCGCGGGTCACATGCAGCTCACAATGAATATATTTGCGGCCTTCTTGCCCTGGGGCCGCTTTGTGCTGTGGCTGCTAACAGCCGCAAGACTCCTGTCTGATTCTTGCCTTCCCTCCCATGGCCACAAGAGCAGGCCAGCCACATCCCATTCCCTCCTGCTTGCCATTACAGAGGAGTGTCTGGCCTAGTTCCCTCCTGTTTGCAGTGCCAGAGGAGCGTCTGGCATGAAACTGGAGGATGGCTAATCTTAAGGTAGAAGAAGAGGGGCTTGGCGGATCTTCCTGTGTAGTGTGTTAAATTGGGGAGGGAGGGCAGTGTATTAATTTTAAGGAGGGAGGGGCAATGTATTAATTTGAGGGAGGAAGGGGGCCAGTATATTAAATTTTGGGAGTGAGTGGGGCTGTGTATTAGAGTGGTGATAGAGAGGGCAGTGTGTTAAATTGGGGGAGGCTGGCAGTGTATTAGTAGTAAAAGGGGGGCAGTGTGCTAAATTGGGGGGAGGGCAGTGTATTAAATTAGAGTGGTGGGAGTGGGGGTAGTGTATTAAATTAGAGTGGAGGGAGGAGGGGCAGTGTATTAGATTAAGGGTCAGTGTAAACGATTAGGTGGAGGGGGCAGTGTATTAGATTGGATTTGGGGAAATATTTTGGATTCGAGGGCAGTGTATTAGAATGGGGGGAGGGAGTAGTGTATTAGAATGGGTCTGAATGGAGGCGCTGTGGGAAAGTATTGGATTGGCTGGGATCATCAAACTTGAGTTGAAGAACACACTTAAAGGACTTCAATATTAACAAGACAATATCATTTGAGGTTTGTTTTTTTTTTGTACTGCTGTACAACAGCATACATTCACCTTTTCAGTCCCATTATCAAACTTTTCTTAATATGTCAAGTTAGTTAGACTGAAACATTGGTTATATGCCAGTGCACATCTCCTTAAAATAAATTCACTCTTTTGTTTACTTTGAAGCCCGACAAGCATGAGGACATCCAGTGTCAGTTAGACAACTTTTTTTATATTGTATTTTTCTAAATAAACCTACGTTTCTATGAAAACTGAAGTTTTTATTTTGTGGCCCATATAAACTTAAACCTTGTTTTTTTTTGGCCCATGTTAGCCTTTGAGTTTGACATGCTTGCAATAGATACGCATTGCACCATCTATACACACACCTACATTCCCTATACACCCTCTGGATCCATTATGCACACACGAGTCCCTGTAGACACACATGAGATCTGTTTTCTAAGTATCCTATACAAAATAAAATAACCTGCTCCATTAACACCTGCAGGGACATTTAGACGTACCAAGCAGCAGGACCATATAGACCAAATATAAAATGTATTCCTTCCTACTATAAGACCTTTAGGTAGCAGACCATTGGGTTTGCAAAATGTTTCATTTGGCCTTAAAGGGTGACAAAACGACCCTATGGTTTAATGTGGAGCGCTTGCACTTGGGCTGGAAACTTAAAATGATTTGCTGTGTAACAAAAGTACCCCAGATAGTAAATAATGAATTTGGAATTGCTTAGTTGTGACATTAAAATCTAACCCCTGCAGGCTCTTATAACTAAGCAGTTAGAAAGTGATACATTCAGATTGTTACTGATTCATAAAAAAACTTTTGAAGGACACAAGTGGATTAGTGACAGCTAGAAAATGTCAACAGCATCTTTGACTTCTTCACGATAAAGGAGAAAAACATGAATAGATGTACGTGCTCTAATAATAGCTACGGTGCATGGATGAAAGCAAATAATTCAGCTTTGGAAATGTTCACAGCCAACATTTGGTGGTCTGAATAGATGACAGACAATAACTTGAAATGTTAACAGCCTGCCTATGTGCACATATATCTTCTTACTCAATAATAAAAACCATTGAATAGGTACCACTTATACACACACTGCACATACAAACTCCCGACACCATGACCACTTCAAATCACTGAATCATAGACTAACAAATGACAGACCAGACAACATTATTTAGACAACTTTTCATTATTTTTTTTAATTAGGAAATTTGCATCGAACTTATAATTAACATAGCTGTTTTATCAATATTTTTGCGTATAAAACTTACCAACATGGTAAAAACAAAAACACATATTGACATGATCTTACAACCTCCTTTATCATTACTGTTGCACAGTGTGATTCCTAGATAGACATAACATATGAAGACAGTATTTAAGTGTTAGTAATCCATTATATAAAAAAACATAGTTAGATAAGTCATTAAATGTAACAATTGTACTTTGTCACTTGTTGCAGTAAAATCCATGCAGAAATATATTTTTCATTTTAACAGAAGAATTTAATGAATATGGCAAAAAACGACTAAAACTTGGCACATTAAAATACATTTTGTCATCTACTGAGAATACACCTCAAACTTAAATAGCAGGTAATTACCATGAATGACCAGCAGAAAATGATAATGACCTTGATTTAATAAGTTTTGCAAATGATTAAATACTGTCAGAAAACCATTCAAAATTATTTCTGTGAACTTGATAAAGTGTTGTAAAACATAAAATGCGTAGATTATCAGGATTTGTCCTGCGGGAGGAAGCTTTTCACTCTATGGCCAATGTAATTTCTATTTAATAAATATTTCTTGAAGGAACAGGCAGTGAACAGAATCTTTGTGAACATTATTTCAAACTACACTGGGGAGAGGAAGAATGTAATTATTACGCTATTTTATTACGCTATTTGAAAGGAGGTATCTGCTCCATTCATTCACCCGTTCTTGTTTTTTGGTTTTGTCTTTTTTCATTTGAAGGTATGTGATCATGCATTCATTTTTACTGCACCGGACTAATTGAAAGTCACTGCTGCTTGAAAAGGAAGGTATTTAATAGGGAACATTTATAAAATTGTAACCATAAGCCATATATTAACCTTTGAACCTGCTCAAACTTCAAGTGCTTTTTTAATATAGGATAAATTCAAGCTGAAGAATTACTGCCTCTTTAGTAAAGTTAGAACATAATTATTTTTCTCCTTTACCTAATTACAAATGTATTAAGAACATTAAGCAAATAAAAATTGTATTTACTATGTAATGTATAGAAATGTGTGCAAAGATGTACCAATATGCATTGTAAACATTGCTTATGTAACTTCATAATAACAAAGAAAAATACTTTATGAAGTATAATCAAAATAGGAAGCAAATAAAAGCAGTCAATTCATGTACAGTCGACATATTACATGTTCATATGCACCTGAAAAACTTGCATCAAGTATTTTGCTTCCTAATAACTCATATATATGTTGACTTATTTATTGTACCAAAGAGTGAGTAAACATATTGTGTTTAGAACACTGCGAATGGTGAAAATTACAAATAAATAAGTAACGTACATCTGGCTTCTTCATAGTCGCAGAAGCCAGAAGCTGATCCATGCGTCCATTCATTAGTTGAAAAGATCAGCTGAGCATTCTCAGCCGATGAATGACCACCAGCATAGAGAAATCTGCACAAAATTTATATTAACCAGTCTAGACTCTTGTTCCAGATTGGCTAATATGTCCCAATTATGTCACCAGAGGTGGCGTTACAGCTCAAGAAACAAAGCAGTTAAGCTCTGTATGTGTAACAAAATGCTGTCCACATAGGCCATTTCCATTTCCAAAACACTGGAGTGGTCATGGTCATAGGAGTAACCCTTTAATTAGAGTCCCTGACACAAACTTAGTGAATCAGATTCAAAATGTGAAAACCTGCCATCAACAGAGTCAGAGTTTTGCCATTTTGGTGTTGAGCAGGAGTTGATGGACATATTCACCAATTTCTCTGTCCTGAGGAAAATATTTCCCATCCACAGTTGTAAAAACTACCATTCAAGCCAACAACTGGGTAAAATTTGTCAAATTCCTAAGTTTGTTTAGTGACCTTTATTTAACCCCTTAAGGACACATGACATGTCTAACATGTCATGATTCCCTTTTATTCCCGAGGTTTGGTCCTTAAGGGGTTAAACTGTAGCTTGTGCTGTTATATATGCAGTAGCACCGTTGTCAGTAAAAGTGTGTGTGTGTGTCAACTACATTGAAATTAATTCTCAGCTGTTTTAAGTGTATAATAAATAAAGAACAGCACATTTCATTCAACATATGAGCTCCTTAGTTACCTTTATGAGTTATAATTGTTGAAAATTACAATACATATAAATAAGGTTATAAATGACAAACTGCTACTATCATCACTTCAGACAGGTTCATTTTTTATACAAAACGTAGAGTTACACATATAAACTTACATTGTTTACATATTTTGGTCTTATTGTCAAGAAAGTAGAAAATATTTTTTTTCTAAATTATCTTTATTTCTCTCAATGACTCACTATACAAACCTTAAAAATGTCAACTTTTCTAGATTATGCTCATTTCTTTTAACTTAAAGAACAGACTGCATAATTCAATATGCATAATTTAGCTGATATGTTGACAAGGGGTTTAAAATTAGACCTTTTGAGTTCTGGTTGATGTCTGCATCAATCCATATGTAGAAATGTCCTTACCAAACTATATAATTAGGCATAATGATTCAACCTTTTCTTCTCTGTTTTCCCTGTGGGTCTACTGACCAAGTACAGTAAATAGCATCAGAGGTGACATTCTATAGTGATGGCATTAAAGTAGAAATTAAAAAGAGAAATGATCAGGAGTAGATCATATTACCTAAGAAATAATATCTTAGTATCTCAAAGTATATTCTGAAAAAAAAAACTTGATAATAACAAACAAAAAGTGAGATTGATATTTCTCAGGTCCAGATTATGCCTACAAATGGATTTCCACATAAGGTGACATTATGTACAAATATCACTTAAATACATTTTAAATCACTCATACATTAACTTTCAACATGTGTAATATTTTATCTCAAGATTCAGAATGCATGGTTACATATTATGTGCAAAAACTAAATTCTGATAATCACAATCTAAGAGTAACTGAAGCTGTAGGCTACAGGGTGCCCCCACTCTACTAGCACTAATTACCTAATAGAAATCTAAGCCTGTTTATGGTTGTAAACGGGTGTGAGCAGGGCCTTTTATGTATCTCATTTCTGATTACATTAATTTGCAACAAAAACAACGGACAAAAGCTTAGAAAAACTCAGTAGCTTGCTATTCGGTAAATCCCCGTTCAAGTCTCAAAATAGTTTTTGCTCACTTGTGTCAATTATTTGCTGTTAATATATTCCAATTGTAAAGCTGTAGAACATGTTGGTGCTATATAAATAGTAATTTATACGGGATTATGAAAGATTTTAATAAACCTTTGGTATTTTGCAAAAGAAGAAAGTACTTAATATATTTATTTTCATATTTTGATATATATAAATAATCAACTAAACTCCTAGTTATCAAAATTAGATATTGTCAATAATTTTTCGGTTTATTTGACATTATGTTGTGCAGGATATCTTTTTGTATACAGTTTGGGTTATTGTGCTGTGGCAAATTACTAGTGAAAATAACTAATGTGAATTTGAGCCACTATTTTTTACTAATTACTTGACAAGTACAGAAGATCGGAATATGAACCAGTGATGGGTAAGCTAACTTTGGCATTCTCTGTCTATATGTGTCATAATCCTTGGATAGCCTAATACATAATTGGATATGAACTTTTGAAACATCTGCAATGTCAACGTTAGTCATAATTGTTCTAGCTGAATGAGGAGGTTGAGTCTCTATAATCTTGGTCACTTTTCAACGAATTGTCCACTCCCTAACTTAGTCAAGCATTCTATGTAAATCACTTTTGCTACATTTAGCAAAAACAAAGACAGTATTAACACACTGATATAAGTGGCAAAGCCACCATAGTGCAGTCTTTTGTTACTGCTTTAGTAACAACAAAATGTCTTCGTCAGTTCTATTTTGTGCAATTTCAAGTAAACAGCAAAGTTTTCCATTGCTCGTGTCCTGAGACGATTGTCACAATTTAGTCATTCATAGGTATGACTTTTATTCCATGGGCATTTATGTAAGTCAACAAGATTTTGGCTCTTCTTTCAATAACATCAATGAGCTTTTCAATCCCTTGACGTCCTCTTTGACTTTCCCAGAAGACTGTGTCAAGAAAGAAGGATTGAAGTAGCTTTTCTCGTAATCGATGGCTTTTAAGTATGGAAACTGCAGACTCAGGGAACCTGAAAGACAGTCATTAATAGGTTATAGTTATTATTAGTCAAGTACAGTTACAATTGGAAGCATTTCTAAGATAATAATTCCTTAAGTCATTTAGACATACTGTCACGTGACAAGCAAATTGTCACTAAGAAACCTTGTTGCATAATACCACTTCCTCTATTTAAACACCAAGCCCAGCTAAACCCATTCTTGTGTTGGTGAACTCCTATTATTGTCTGAGAAAACCCCAAATGAATCTTCCTGCACCTCACTCCGCAATAACCACACACTGAGAGTGTGATCAGCACTGGTCTCCACCATGAGACCTTTCTCTGATCACTGTGTATGAATATTATTAGACCTGGGAGATGATCAATCATAGTAGGGGCAGCCAGTCGTGAATTTGACTCAGCAGCAAACAGGGAGATAGTGTTTATTTCTGTTATTTCATTGTCACACACTACAGAACTAACTTAAGGTTAGGGTAAACTTTCGCTTGGGAAAAGATAGTCTTAGGATTAAGGCAAAGGCAGGGTTAGGGAAGACATAGGGCTACGGAAGACTATTGATTAGAAGAATGTTAGAAGAAAGTTGGAGTTGGGAGAGATTTAGGAAAGGCTTAAGGTTAGGAGAGGGTCAGAGGTAAGAGAAAAATTAGGAGACAATGGGGTAAGAAAAGTTGAAATAAAGGTTGGGGAGGCTTTGGGTTACACGTAGGAAAATGGAGGGTAGGGTTTAGAGTATACATTAAATTTGCGTTTATGGGGATATTTTTAATATGAATGCTTCTAAAATGCATCAAAATAAGCCACCTCACTCATTTCATGGATTTCCTGATGAAGTACCTGAATTCACGAAATGTGTAAGGCAGCTTTAAATGTAAATCACAGGTCAATTTAGTACAAGTACGTTAATCTAATTGTTTATCTATACATTAAGAACTGTACTTATTCTTTAAAAAAAAAACTAGCATCAATTCTTCTATACTTTTCTTTTCTGAATTATTATAAATGGTGACTTATAGGTCTCTTGACATTGTTGTCAGTTGACTGGAAATATAGATCTCACTTCAACTATTTGCACTATTCGCACATAAGAGAAATATGTCTGAATGTGTCCTTACCCAAACCTCTGACACTGTCAGTGAACCTATATGTTTCTCATATAAAACATGTTCTCAGAGATCATGTTTTATAATTTTGCACTGCATCCATGTTGACATCATGATGGTCCTCATCTCTGCTTGGGTTATATTCTCAAGAAGTACCTTCAACGATTTTATTACTGGTAGCTAAAATAGCTGCCACCTGTGACTATATCACCTATTAAATCACAGGCAACACTGAAACATCTATGCCCCAATGCTGCCCTTACAGTAAAGTCATGTTCTTATAGTATCACCCCACACCCCTAAAACATTTAGTTAACAGTGTCATTTCTTTGTCACATATTAAAGTGCAGATTTCAAGAGAAATGTGTACTTATTAAAGTTTCTATATATTACCTTCCCTGGTGCCAATCGTAATGCTTCTTTAAGAGAAGCATTCTATTTCTAGGAGATCATCAGTAATGATGATCTCCCGATAGACAGAGTGGAGCTATAGCGAAGGATTGTCTCACTGCTGGATGATAAACAAATGTGCCAAAATGATGGGATCTGAATGCATTCTGAAAGCAATATTTAGATCTAAAAAACATGTTTCAATATTTTAAATGCATTCAAAAGCAGTTTTACAAAAAAATGAAAGTGTTTAACTTTTCTTTTAATTATGTCTTTATATTTTCTAGTCCTTACTCTCTTATTCCATCAAGCAATTTAAAATCCAGATTATCTTCACTTCTGTCAAAAAAGCCTTTGTTACTAATGAACACAAGATGCCTTGGATCATCCCTCCTCTGCATGATGTGTGTTAGGTCAATATTCCCTGGATCATTACATTTCAAGTTCAGGCCTTGTAGAACACATATGTCCTCTTTCCTGGGCCTGAAGCCACAGCAGTTTCTGTCGAGTCGAGTGTACACCTGCATAGAAATTACACAAAACAAATGGTTACCGAATGTGATTAAGAAACAAAAAAAAGGTTTTATTCAGAGAAGGTGAACATGGAGAATTATTTGTCTATCACTAAAAGGATGTATAATCTACATTTATAGGGTTACTCACTAAAGTAAGAATTCAAGGTGAATTCAAAGTGAATTTCACATTTTAGGGCAAATTAGCCAAATTTGAAAAAATCTTTAAGAATCTGGCCTTAAATTAGAAATGTAGTAAATAGCCCTGTTAGACTCTTGACTTCTGGTGAAATATGCTATACCTTACTGTATAAGGATCTGACCAGGTTCTGAAAATATTATTCAACAATAGATTCTGAAGATTCAGAGTCATTACATAGGCTTTTCCACTTGATAAACGTTTTATTATCTTCAATTCATTTTTCACATTTTGCCTAACACAAAATTCTATAAAATCTATATTCACTAGAACTGTAAAGTCTGTGTTCAGTTGATTTTGTGGTGTGACTGACATAGATTTGTTTATATTGGAGATCATAAAACTATGATGTTACTTCTAAATATAGGTTTTAAGCTAGACAGAAAACATTACGGTTTTGAACAACGATTTCTCCTAAATGATGAGGCAGTCTGTGCAACCACAAAATATTTTCTCACTCACCCTCTAAACTAACTTTATCCACATGAAACAAACTGCCTTATTCACCATGTGCAAACAATAAGTCCATCCTAGAACATATTGCTATAAGCTAGCTCTGGCACTGGAATAAGATTAGGTGATGCAGATCAGACTGGTAACCCAAATCCTAAGGGAACCAAAGGTATTATACATCCTCTGTGACTTCATCAGATGGTGAGTAAGTATGAGAAAGCAAGAAATAGTAATTGTGAGATACATGGTCTCTGTTTCTAATTTTGTTATAGTTAAACCCTGTCATGCCTTACATGGAATGAAAGAGTCCAATACCCGATTTCCAAGAGAAAGCAAGCAGTATAGTTACTTCCAGGCTCCATTCAAGAAGAAATCGAAGGTGGCATTGTATAACATTATATAGTGCCGTATCCTGAACTTTCAGACTCGGCAAGGCTGTATTAGGGAGGAAACAAGGAACAGACCCAACAGGGACACATATCCTCTGCTTCTGCTTCCGTTCACTAGACCGCATAAGAAGACCATATTGCAGGGACAGGTCTGCAAGTTTTTCTGGGAACAGAGACACGCCCACGCACTCCCTAAAGTCTTTTAGCATACTAACATAGAAATATAAACTGAAAAAAAGTCAAAGCCTGTTAAAACTTTGTCTACAACCTTGACCTTGACTCAACCCCGTGCAATCTGGCTTTCATCAGCCAAAACCCTACTGAAACAGCACTAATCAAAATAATAAAAACAAATCTGAATGCCATTTATCTCCATTTAACTCCTGGATCTTTCTGCTGTCTTTGAAAGTGTATCATCTTTATATTTTGCTCAGGTCCTGACTGGCCAATTGGCAAATCTGATAAATGCCTGGTGTGCTGTGCAAAAGATCTCCCCAACCAGGACCTCTATCTGTATTCTGTACCAATATGCAGCCACATGTATGTTATATGACATGTAATGTCAGTGAAACATCTGTATTTTTCTGTAAACCTCTTATATTATACACAATGGTGCGTCTGCTGGATGTCTAAGAAAACAAAACAGATAAAATAATAAAATCCAATTTAATCCAGTGTAATACCATTCTTCATTTTAACTGCTCAAATTAAAAATTCCAATTTATTCCCCTTCAGATTATGTGGATCCTTTCATTTTCACTCTCTCATCCCTGTTTCATATAATTTTCCTTATCTGAAGAAGGTCAGGATAAACCTCAGTGTTTAGATACTTTATGCAGGTAATGTACGTGATTAACAAGGATGTAGGTGCACTTTATCTATGTGTGCTAGGGGTAACATGATGTACATCACTCACAGCATGAACATAGAAAAAGGGTGGAGACTAGGCCAATGTCATTGCAGTTTTGGTACTGAAATCAATGCAAATATTATTTTCCTCATTTTAAATTAGCAGAATGGTGCAAGTGGAGGAATTCTGCATCCTGGGAGTGGGTGGTAAAAACTATAAATTCATAAGTAAGGATTTCTCTGCATTCAATTAACCAGTAGCTTTACTTTTATATAACCCAGTTTGAATTTATTTAGTTGTAATTCTTGTGCTCAGACTCCAACTACTCCTGGGCAGTAGCAATGACCATAGTACACATCAGCTCCAATACATGCAAAAAAAAAAACAAAGAAAAAAGTTACTTGTGCACTATTCCAAATCCCAATTGCAGATTTAAATAAATGATGTTTTTTAGTTCCACTCGAACATAGGAGTGGAACTAAAAAACATTTATTATTTAATTATGCATAGGAATTTGGAATAGTGCGCAAGTAAAAAAATAGAAATGTATAATTTTTATATGAAATAATTTTTTTTGCAAAAGATTTTATATTTTGCATAAACTTTTAAAATTATATTTTTTCAAAATATCAAAAATGATATCATATATAAAAAAATATATATTTAGCCATTTTAAAATTGAATTCAAGAACATGAAATCATTCGAAAAGCGTCTCCAAAGAAATTAAATTGAGACCTTAAGCTCCAAACGCTTCGATTTTGAATTCCTAGTAAAGGGTCATAATAATTATTAACAGGGTGTTTGAAACTCATTTTTCAACTGAATTTCAACTGGTATTTGTGGGCATGTCTTTAAATGTGCTGACATGTATTTGGCCATAAATTGGTTTCAATTATTTACTAGTTAATAAATCACCAATCGTTACATAGCTATGTAAAATTATTGTTTGGTTGTGACAGAAATGATAAATTACAACAAAAATCAATTCTTTGAAATGATTTGTTTCAGCCAGAGTCTAGAACATTTCAGCTCAGAGTGAATGTAACTATAAGTTGAGGAATGCTGCATGTTTACAAATCTCAAACATTTATACTTAACTTTAACGATCAAGAGCTATTTAAACAAGTGTACACACATCAATTAAGGCTAAGCAAAGGCTCTATATCTTAAAAAAACATTTCCTTCCTTGGGTGGTGAGATCCCATGTGTCGTGACAACTGGGATAAAGTTCCTCCAAAGTGAAGGAGGTGAAGACATCCATAGTGCAATGTTTCAGCATACTCTTCCCTCTCTAGTCCATCCTCTGGAATCCTCAGTTCTATGTCACAGGAGGAAGGTAAATGTTTTGAAAGTCTGATTTCAAGGGACAACCGACTGTTCAAATACAAAATAAATACAAATCACTGTTTAGTAGGTATACTCAGAATGACAGCATGCATGCTTTTACTTGTGCAGTTTTTTATTGGGTTTATACTTAAAAACCTCTTGAAAACTTTATTTCTCTTGTCTGCAGCTTTTGCAAGCCCACATCTTCTAACCCCACCCAGACTTTCTGTGCCATTAAAATCACAGACTTCCCAATGCAGCTCAATGAGAAGCCTTTGAAGGCAGATGATCTGTGCAATTGCTGCCTCTTGAGTTGAGCTCAGCTGAGCTAATCAAACCAGGAAGCAACATTAAAAAGTAAAAAAGAGGACACGCATTTTACACGTAAAGCTTTTCAGCAAGCTAAAGTGCTTTAGGGGTCTGGAGTGTCCTTTTAAGTAAGACAATTCTTGTCAGAATTTTTTGCCATCCTATTTTTATGATCAGTTATATGGCTCATGTGTATGCCTTTTTAAATCCTATATCAGGATAGCTTTTTTCTTTCAAGAGAATACAAAGAGAATACAAAGTCTCAAATGCAGTTTGTTTGTTTTTAAATGATTTACTATGCTTAAAAGGACAGTATAGTAACTGTGAAGAAAAAAAGATTAATCATTGGTATAACTAGTTTTTTTTTAAGTGACTAGATGATCATCCAAATTGGAAAAAACTGTAACAACTAGAAAATTAATTATTGTCTTATTTATCTCACCCATGAATCTACAATTCAAATTGTTATTATTTAGAGTTGCAATAAATTCATGGAAAAGGTCAAAAGACTTCTCCCATCTACAAAAGATGTCATTTACATACCATCTGAACTGGAAAAAATTGTAACATCTAGAAAATTAATTCTTGTCTCACTTATCTCACTTGTGAATCTAAGATTTAACTCATTATTATTTAGAATAGCAATAAACTAATTGAAAAGGTCAACAGAATCCTCCCATATAAGAAAGACATCATCGATTTATTGGGTCCAACATAGTGAGTATCATAGGTGTGTGCGCCACATTGATTGGAGTGTGCACCTGGGACTTCAAACCCCTAGTCATTGTTGAAATTCATATAAGGTAAGTATTTATAAAAAGAACAGTTAAATCCCCATAACCATTTCATCGAAATGGAGTAGGTATGGTGCCAGGATAAGTAATAAAATTATGTAAGAATTATCTGACAACCTACCTAGGTGTCATTTGGCACCCGCCACTGCTTTCTCTGGCGAATGAAACTCCTGTAAGCTAAGTCCTGCTGTTCCAAAGTGGCTCATTGGCTGAGAGTGACAAATGAGTGCTCTTAGCTAATGAGTGTGATCATGCATGCCCAGTTCTAGATTACTAGCAGGAGTTTCCAAAAGCAGGGAAGGTTGTGGTGGGCATCCAGTGAATTCCTAAATGGTTAGACTATTTACTCTGATACGGTGCCGTTGGTGCACTATTGGCACAATCAGCACTACAGCATGTTGTAGTGGTTATAGTGTTTGGAGGGTTCCTTTGAAAGGTTGTGTGTGGGGTGGCAGCATGTGTGTTGTGTCTGAGGTGAATTTGTGTGTTGTGTAAATTTAGGGTGGCTGTTAATGCTGTAGCCATGTGCAAAATATGAGTTGTGGCCGTTTATGGCTGGTTGTGTGTTATTTGGATGTATGGTGGCTGTAAGAGTTGTGGCTGTTAGCAATGTGTATTGCTATGTGTGCATAACAATGAGCAATGTGTGACTCTCTGTGAGTTGCTATGATTGTTATTATTATTATTATTGCCATTTATACAGAGCCAACAGATTCCGCAGCACTTTACAATATTATGAGAGGGGGGATTTAACTATAAATAGGACAATTACAAGAAAACTTACAGGAATGATAGGTTGAAAAGGACCCTGCTCAAATGAGCTTACAGTCTATAGGAGGTGGGGTATAAAACACATTAGGACAGGAAACAGTAATCAAATATGGTGGGAGTGAAGTAAAGCTGGAGGAGAGGGTAGAGTGTTGCCATTTAGGAGAGAGCAAGTGACAGGTATGTGAGGTAAAGGTTACTGGAAGGTCATAAGCTTTCCTAAAGAGATGGGTTTTAAGGCACTTCTTAAAAGATGCAAGACTAGGGGAGAGTCTGATGGCGGCAGGCTATTCCATTGAAGGGAGACACCCGCGAGAAGTTCTGCAAGCTTGAGTTGGCTGTACTGGTGCGAGCAACGGACAGAAGAAGGGCAGAGCGGAGAGACCGAGAAGGGGCATACCCATGGATCTGTGGAGAGATATTATAAGAGGGGCTAGAATTGTTCAGTGCTTTGTAGGTATGGGTTAGCACTTTGAATTGACTTCTACGGGATACAGGAAGCCAATATAAGGATTGACAGAGGGGTGAGGTGTGAGAGGACTGACTACAGAGGAAAATCAGTCTGGCAGCAGCATTCATTACAGACTATAGTGGGACAATACAGCTTTTGGGAAGATCAATTAGGAGAGTGTTACAATAATTAATGGGGGAAATTACTAGAGCATGGACAAGCTCCTTGGTAGCATCTTGCATAAGAAAGGGGCGGATGCTGGCTATGTTTTTAAGATGGAATTTACAGGCTTTGGTAACATATTGGATGTGAAGCTCAAAGGTGAGGCAAGAATCAAGTATGACGCCAAGACAGCTCGCTTGCAAGGATGGACATATGTGGATACCAATAACTTGAAGGGAGAGCAAAAGAGGAGGATCAGTATTAGGAGGAGAAAAAAAAGGAGCTCAGTTTTAGAGAGATTGAGTTTCAGAAAGCGGGAGGACATCCAGTCGGAGATGGAAGAGAGGCAAGCAGTGACACATTGCAGGGCGGCAAGGGAGAGGTCCAGGGATGAGAGATATATCTGGGTATCATCAGCGTACAGGTGGTAGTGGAATCCAAATGAGGTAATAAGTTTGAGACAAGAGAGGCAGCATAAAGAGAAAATAGAAGGGGACCAAGGATAGAGCCTTGGGGGACTCCAACCGAGACAGGACGAGGGGAGGAGGTATCATTAGAAAAGGAGACACTGAATGAGCATTGGGAGAGATAAGAGGAAAACCACGAGAGGACAGAGTCACAGAGACCAAGTGATTGAAGAGTTTGAATAAGGAGAGCATGATCAACGGTGTCAAAGGCAGCAGAGAGATCAAGAAGAATTAGTATGGAGTAGTGGCCTTTGAATTTCGCTGCGATTAGGTTGTTAGTAACTTTGATAAGAGCAGTCTTAGAGTGGAGAGGGCGGAAACCAGATTGAAGAGGGTCAAGGAGAGAGTTGAAATTGAGGAAGTGAGACATACATGTAAAGACAAGTCTTTCCAGAAGCTTCGAGGAAAAAGGATGCAGGGATATGGGACGATAGTTAGAGGGGGAGGATGAGTCAAGAGATGTTTTTTTCAGGATAGGTACTACAGTGGCATGTTTAAGGTCAGCAGGGACAATGCCAGAAGAGAGAGCAGTTGAAGATGTGTGTTAAGGAAGGCATAAGACAAGGGGAGAGAGATCTGATAAGGTGAGATGGAACAGGATTGAGCGGGCAAGTGGTGGGACGAGAGGAAAGGTGTTATGTGTTACTCTATGGGAATCTGTGAATGATGTGTGTGATTGTTTGTGGGTGGCTGATGTATGTTGCTACGTGTAAGTAATTGTAAATGTGAAGTGTGTGTAGCTGTGAGTGATGAGTGTTGCCAATTCCCAGGTGTCTCAGTGGGGTTAGTGTTTGCTCCCTTGTGATCCAGTCTGAGGAACTTATGGTTTGCACCTCCAGCATGTGCAGATCACTGTTAATGCTCCTTATGAGGTACAGACCACAGGCTCCCTCATAGGAACCAGACAGGGAGGTCTTGTGATCTTCCTTCCAGCTTTTGTAGCAGCTCAACCACCTTGTGAGAGTCAGTACTCGAGGTGCATTAGGATGTGGCTGCATCAGGCCTTCCGTGGTGGAAGTGGAAGCGTCAACCATCTTGTGTCTGTGCTGATATACCAGAGCTGGCAGGAAAATATGCTTGAAGGTGAGTAACTGTAGAAGGAATAGTCAATTGCGGGCCGGGATAACCCCTAGTGCGGGTGGAAACAGGAATGCAGAGAAATGCTGCAGTGGTCAATGCCGCATGAATTAAGGAGAGGGGCTGCCTCTCCCACCCGTCTAAGCACCAGGCCTCTCGGGTACTCCAGGGAAATCTGGCGGCAGGCACTGTTACCTGAAGCACCTTGTCTGGTACAGAAACTGAGCAAGATTGATTCAGTGCCGACTGCGAGTGTTAGGAGTGGGAAAACTCAAGGAATAGTAGCTCAGGAGAAGGAGCTCCAGCAGTATGTGTCCTGCACCATGATATGAAAAATATTTTATGATCATTTCATATATTAATGGTTTGCTTTTTACACAAGAATGACTGAAATACATTTCATATATATTTCACATAGATAAATCATATTATTCCTGATTAGCATATCTGATGATGGTTTGACCTCTGATAAAGCAGATATCTAATTCTCAATATGTTTTTTCTCCAACAACATTTTTTCTTTGTTGTTGCTGTGATCTGAGAGACAAAAAAGTAGACACCTATTAATATGTCAAGATAAAAGCGAGTGTATGCTGAACTATGACACACAGTAAAGTATTTCTAAAGACTAGTACTATATTTGGGTCTATATAATCCTTCCATGACTTAATATAACATTCCAGACATATCAGGGACACAAAGCACACTATTTTTATCCCTTGAATTCTTTCTCCACAAACATAATATGCAGGAAAAGAATATAACATTTGGACATCACAAGATACCCGTGATATCCAGAAATGCTTTTATCAATAAACATAGCTAAAGATCTATGCATGAATTCAAACTACAAACATTCTATTTACTGATACATAGTAGAGTTCTGGCATATCTACTGTTTATTCTGAGGCAGTTCATAATGTTATATACTTGTTTTATTCTTCCTATTGCATGGTGAATATTGCTGCAAAGTGTTAGATTTAGTTTAGATGAGGAGGCATTTTCCAGTTAATTTGCATAAACAAGATGGCACTGCCTATGCATGTTGTTAAATACATCTACAATGCAACTATAGAGAAATAGTGGTGCCTAGACACAATTTCAGCTTGTTTTGGTTTATACAAAAATACATTTTAAATTGGTTTAAACGCATCTCAAATGTAAGGTATTTTGTTTATTTGAGACACTCCAACCATCTTAATTCATAAACACTATACCTTACTGTAGTGTTTATGGTGCAAAAATATGGTCTTGTCAGGCTTATCTTTTAAATATTTACAGTTTTACTTTTTGTATATGGGACATATACTACACCTCTTCCTATTGGAATCAAATGGGGAGGCATCACTTCTCATTTAATTATTCAGGTACTTGTATGGTGTGATAATAGGCAGCTCATACCATACAAGTCAGCTGGGGCTGGGGGACAAGCTATGTTGTGAGCATTGAACACAGAGCACTGTTCCCTGCCTGGCTTAAAGCTAATTCTTCTGAGCAGTTACAAGCACAGCTGCATTTTTGTAACTGCACCCAGTCTTGCAAATAGCTTACAATTGATGAGGGATGTATGAGTCAACTTGTTACAAGGGAACTTTTAACACCCTGTAAAAGTTGTTGCTAGGACTGCTGCTACATAACAGTGATCATTGAGGCATAATAGATTTACCTGACCATGTCATACAGTTCATTCCCAAGTTTACAAATAAACTAAGGCACAGTAGTAGCATTCATAGAAGGATTAAGATCAGATGGATTAAGAGCCCATTGGGCCTGGTGCTGACAATTATGATGGACCTAATTCTAGACAGACTTAGGTCCTAACCTTCTACCAGACAAAAGCTCCTGTTATACAGTCTGGGACAGAGAAAAAGCTGCATGTATTGAGTGTAGAAGAAAGGGAAAATGAAACAGTGTTAGACTAAAGCAGCAAGAGCATTTGCATAGTTTACAAAGTCAGTTTTACCGTAACTAATTTCATTGTCAGCCAGTCCACACCAGTTTTGTTCCCCTACATCCCTCTTTAAAAAAAAATAATCTATGGGACTATTCCATAGGCATGGGCCTGGAGCTGCAGCTCCATCAACCCTTATGTTAATCCGAGCCTGATTAAGATCCCATGGGGCCCTAGTCAGGTTACCAGTTTGGGTCCCTCCCTTCACATAGAGATGGTTAATGAAGCCAACAAATTCATGGTTCCGGGGCTCCTGTCTAACCCTTTGGTCCAAAGCAGCTGCCTAGCGTTGCCTTATGGTTAATCCTGCTCTGGTAACATGGCAATGCTGGGCCTTGTTTGCTCATTTTCAGGTGCAGTAGCGTTAAAATGAAACAAGAGATCTGTAATATGTTATTAAAAAAACCTAGCTCTTATGGATGCACTTCATATTAAAGAAAGCACCATGATGCAATGTCATATCAGAGCCCCACTATCTGCAATGAAGAATTTATAACTGTCATGTAACCTCAGTAGATCACCAAGAAACATGAAAGATGTGGGAGCATTCCATTAGACTTGATCCATATTGTAAAGAAAATGTATTCTGAAATGCTAATAAATTCCACAATCATTCAATATACATATTTTTGTAGTAATTTGAATATATTCCTACTTGTAAAAGGAAATCAAAAAGGGCCATCTTCGACCATTCGTGGTGATGAATCTGAGTACAGCCAGATTCTGCTTTTGGAACTTTGCCATTTAACCAGCAATTCTGCTTTAGTATTTGTTGGTAGGTACTCCATTTCATTCTGGTGGAGGATTGAGTAGTGTTGTCTGCTGGAGACAGAGAGGAGTCCCATAAAATAACAGGACACGGAAGACCATCTAGAAAATAAAAATAAAAACAAGCTCCATCACAAATTTAGTAAGATATGCAATTATATTTGAAGGAGGGAGTTAAATAGATGAGTGGAATGTTGTGGAGGAAAGCAGAGATATGATTTGTGCCTTTAGAAGGCCCTTAGGTAACATTAAAAGCACCATAAACATTACAGCATGCCGTAGTGGTTTTGGTGCCTGGATTGCTTGTAAACCTAATCAAAATAAGATTTGTCCTCACACAGATTATACATTTAAAAACACAATTTTGTAAATTCATGACGAGCTTTGATTGTAATGCTGTACTATTCAAAATAAGGACATTTTGGAAATAGCCATGCAATAATAAAGGGGTAGGCCAGATGGGTATATTCATATATATTTTAAGTAACATCCCCAGGACGTACTTGAAAACCAGAGCAACCTGAATGTACCTTTATTGGTTAAATACTTAGTTATTATTATTATTATTATTATTATTATTATTATTAAAAAGAAAACAATAAAAAACTGAAATAATTTGTTTTTTCTATAAATCAACAAATGCCCAGGTCTATTGTTAACTTGAATGTTATTTTTATCCAGGATTGTACATCTCGCTGTCTCTTATCCTAGTTCTTCTCATCTTCAGCCAAGCCAAATCGTTTAAAAGCATGATTAATTGCACATACCTAAACTCCTCCAATCACCCTTATCACCCACATACAATTTCAATATTTACTTAATTCATTCAAAGAAAAAACATATCAAGATAACATTCCAGTTTTTTTTATGTAGTCTGCAAAAATATTTAACATAGTTGTAAAATTCACATAATTAATTTGACTGTTCTCTTTTATGCTGACATATAGATAAATATACAGACAAACAGATTTGTATTCTATTGCTTGAAAAGAAGAAATGATGGTACATAGAATGCCGAGGAGAGGATAGGACAAGTCCATGTTACAGCAGGAACACTAATGTTTACTAAGCTGTTGCTGTGGCCATTTGGATGTCAAGAATGTATCTGGTTTTGGGAGTTGTAGGGAGCAAGTGTTGTAATTTAGAGTAAAATGAGGACATTCCGACATATTACATACCTCCCAACATTCCATACCTCATCGGGATGTGGTTGGACAAACCCTGAGTGGAAATCACCATTGTAGGGACATGTCAGCCAGCCTGGGCAGCCTGCAACCTACAGGGCTATGAAGGGAGCACTGCTGAAATGCTCTCTACATGATCCTAGTCCTGTCAAACAGCACAAACACATCTAATGATACACTCACGCTGTGCTGCCTGGGGACAGTTCCCTGGTGACCCTCATCCAAGGACACCTAAGAACTGTCCCCGGGCACCACAGCACAATGTGGCCACTAGCCCCTAAGGGAAATATTGGATTGGCTGAGATAATCAGTTATGATTATCTAAGCCAGAGAAGATGTGTGAGCGTGCAGAGTGGATATAAAGTAAGTAAATCTTAGCGCTTAGTTCTTGGGGGACTCTTAATCTAAATAGGTTGCATAACACTAACGTTAGGAATATGTTTGTATTCTCAACATTAGAGTGTTCCTTCAAATAGCATGGTTATTCTTTTGCAGGTCATACGAAACATTTAGAACAAAGTAAACACACATCCTTGAGGAATAAAAAGCAAACGTGTTTTAAAGTCTATCAATAAATAATAAAACAACAGAAACAAAAGTCCATGGATAGTAAAAATTACAATGAGAAACAGCAGTGTGCGAAAGGGGATTGCTAGGGGGGATTGAGCTCCAGGCACTATTTCATTGACAGCCCAACGTACCCTGTGATTATTGGATGGAAACAGCACCTCGGCTTACATCATTTACAACCATTACAATGCAGCACAGTGTGGGCGCAGTGCCGTGGGCCTAGGATTTTAAGGCAGAGGCATCAAGGGTTAATACCTCACAGCTTGGAATCTATACAGCATGTGTGGAGTTTATAAAGATTCAAAAAAACCTCTGAATTAAATCAAAGATTTTGCATCACAATATGATTTATAGAAAAAAGGGTTTAAGGATGGACCTGGGGCTAAGTTTTAAGAGTCAATAAATACAAGAGGGGTCATAATAGGTACCCTTGGACTGAAGCTCCTGATTGTTTTGCCACCTAGCAATGCCCCTGGCAATATATATTCTAAGACACATTTTGAAGAAAAAATTACACCATTTTCTCATTGTTGCAGAAAATTGTAGATTATGCTAGCTTTAGTATACCTATAATCTTAATTTTATTAATGACAGGAGGCTTCATATTTGCTTAAGTCTCCCTTTACTTGAACTCCACAGCAGCAAAAAAAACACAGAGAGTAAACAACCAATCAGAAAACAGCAACGAGACCATATAACTCCCTTCTCAACATTCCATTTCCTCTTTCTAGCTGCGATAGCAAACACAGTCAGAAAAAAACATAACAATAACAGTCCATCTCGAACAGAAATAACGACTTTCATAGGATTCTTCAACCGAATTGAAGACCTGAACTTGATCCCATCCTGATAACTTTACACTGAAACGAGAGAAACAGAATCGAAAGTTATGATTAGCCAATGAAATGTACGCATAAAATCATGCAGCCACCCAGTGCAAATTAGTAGAGAAGATCACCAAGTCTACAGATCCCCGCCCTAGGCAACTGAAAATACAGAAAGTAAATAATCACAAGGAATACTGATCAGAGACATAAATCTTTATTAATACTCAACATACAAGATAAAAAATACAACAAGGGTCGGGAACAAAAAGGGTGGGAAATATTCGCCTCCTGTCATTAATAAAATTAAGATTATAGGTACACTAAAGCTAGCATAATCTACAATTTTATAACATGACAGGAGGCTTCATATTTGCTGTTTCAATGCTCAGCCAGTAGGGCAAACGATGCATGTTCCGTCGGTCTGAAGTAAAACTGTCGGAAGGTGTCCTCTCGAGACCAGTCTGCTGAACATAGAATATCGGACAGGGAAGCACCCGCTATCAGGGCTCCTGACGCCGCCGCGCCCCTTACCGAATGAGCACCAAATGAGGACTCCATGCAGGCCAACGATAATAGCCAGCGAGCCAAAGTAACGTCCAAAACCGGTTTATGTGGGCGTACGTAGGATATCAACAGTTGTCCCGATTGGGAACTTCGAAGCGGGGTAGTAATTGTCACATAGCGAGACAGGGTACAAACCACACAGAGCTTAGGAGCCTCTTGAAAAAATGGGTAGAAAATGGCAGTGGAGTCGGACTTGGTACATCTCGACACCGAAAAGGTCACCCCATCTGGGGCAAAAGTGAACGCGTTAACATCAAAAGCCCGAACGGAGACCCGACGAAACGACACCAGACACAAAAGAAATGTAAATTTGGCTGACAGTTGCCGTAGAGAAAGGTCCTGATTCTCAGCCCATGTCTGAATGAAATCCAAAACCCGGTGCACGTCCCAGAGCGATGTATATTTAGGAGCCGGAGGACGTGACAGTCTGATCCCTCTCAACAATCTACAAACCAAGGGGTCTTGTCCAATCGACGACCCCTGAAGAGGGACATGAGCCACTGAAATGGCCGACCTGGCAACGTTAACTGAATGATACGACTTTCACTGGTCAAAGAGGTGAGAAAGGAAATTCAGTACGCTGGATATAGGTGCTGTAAAGGGATTGATACTCCGTTCCACACACCAACGACACCAAACGTTCCAGGCGGACAGATAACATCTCCTTGTTCCTGGGGCCCATGGAGGTTTGTAGCTGATCCCGATAGCTCATTGACATTCCAGGTACCCCGGAAAGAGTCCAAGCCACCAAGTGGAGATGGCCCTCCAGTACAAGGGGATGATGGTTGCCTCGTGGATCCGACAGGAGCATTTGCAGGGACGGGAGAAGAAGCAGGTCCCAGTTCCAATAATTCTGGGAACCAGGCTTGGCCCTGCCAAAGAGGTGTCAGCAACACCAACTATACTTGTTGACGCTGTAACTGGAGTAGGACCCTTGAGATCATAGTGAACGGTGGAAATGCATAGGCTCCCTGTGACAGCCAGTCCTGAAGGAAAGCATCCACTGCTGCGCACGTCAGATCTGGAAGCCAGCTGAAGTAATTCAGGATTGGGAAGTTCATTCTGGAAGTGAACAGATCCACTGTGAATGGGCCCCTTTGTCGCGCCACTTCGAGGAACACTGGTCAATGTAGCCGCCAATCGCTGGCATCTCTCCAGTGTCTGGAGAACCAGTCTGCCGTCAGGTTCAAAACTCCTGGAGAGTGATATTGCGCTGAAGGCAAAAGTTGTAAATATCCTTCGTGACTTCCGTCAGTGCCCATGAGCGGGCCCCTCCCTGGCGTTTGATATACTGCAACGCCGATATATTGTCCATTTTTAGCAGGATGCAGCAATCTGACAGGTGACCCGCAAGGCTAAGTATAGCAAATGACCCTGCAATCATTTCCAGGCAGTTGAGGCGTGGAGGCGGTTGTGCAGGTCGCCCCATAGGCTCGCATCCGATTCTAAGACAAAATCCGGCGTCGGTCCAAAAATTGCCTCCCTTTCCAAACGAAGCGTAGAAATCGCCGGCAACCGGATGCCACCGGAACGGATTGATATGCGTCCTTTAGGTCTAGGCGAGTGAACCAATCCCCTGGGGTAGTAAGTGGGAAAAACATGTGGTGTCATGTGTCTCACCTGTGGGCAACCTGCCTCGTCCATGCACCCGGTTTCCTCTGCCACGGTCTGACCTCTAGGAGGTGAAGGACCCAGAGTGGTAGGGGAAACAAGGATGGTGTCCAGGATCCTCGGTGGCTCGAAGGCCAGAAGTGGCTGGAGGCATGACCCCGCTGCCTTCCAGCCCTCCCAAAAACATGAGAAGTAGTCCTTTGGCCAACGGTCCCAGCTCTTTGGATCCCAACTCCGATAATTTAGCGTCCATGCGCATGAAGACCGCCTTCCTCCGTTCCGTGCATAATGCCACGTTGGAGTTGCCCAGCAGGCAAATGGAGCGTAATGTCCAATCTCTGATGGCTGCAAGGTCCAGGGACGAGCCCTGTGAGACAGCCTCATCCACCATGGTAAGGATCCGGGCTAGCGGCCCCAGCATGTCAAGCACCTTATCTTGTGCAAGGCGGAGGCTGCGTTCGACCCCTTTCTTGGGATCGCGACCGGTCTGGGTCAAATAGGTGGAGACCATCTGGTCGAATTTGGGTGTCATAGCGACCTTCTCTGGTAAGGTGGGTCTGGGGTACTCCGCCCTCAACCTCTTCCGAACTGCACAATCGAGGGGTCTGCGAACCCAATAATGGACGAACTGGGCCAGATGTTCGGGTAGAGACCACTCAGGAGACCGGGGGTGCCGGATGGTGCGTGGGTCCAATAGGGGTTCGCCCGTTGCCTCCAAGAACACGTCCTCCCCAAAGGAGGTGTGTTGTTGTTCTGTGGTAGTTTCACCGGCGTCCTGTTGGTACATCAATTCCTCCAGTTCTTCCCCACTCCACCCGCCTTCATCCTCTGAGGGGGACTGATCCGCCCGCCATTCATCAAGGATGGACAGGGGTGCGGGGAGGGTGAATTCTTCCTCCTCTTCGGGGAAGTATATTGGGCATGCCAGAGATGAAGCTGTCGCCCGCTTGGGTCGTTTTGCAAGAGCCTTACCCTTCCGGGTAGCTGGCTCAGGGCCTTCACCCTTCCAGTAGCGTTTAGATGCGCACGACTGGTCTCTGTCCGGGGAGTCAGGGCTGGACTCTATCAGCGTGCTCTGAGCCTCCGATATATCCCTATCTTGGGATGACTGGTAGAGCGCGTGAGAGCGCTTTCTCCACAGAAGCTGCAACGGCCGTGTTGATCATTGCCTACAGGCTCTCTTGGGTCGGAGCGTCCATATCCTGATCGTAGCGTGACCCTGGGGTAGAAATGACAGGTATCACCCAGTTATTATGGGAGCAATGTATGTGGACACAATGCCCGGTGTCTACAGCGTGGTCACAGTGGACCCCAGTATCCCCAGATAATATCCTACAGCGGCCGTAAGAATTTAGGCACGGACAAGCGCCAGCTCCGTAATAGACAGAGCAGTCCAGTCAGTAGGCACAGACAGAGCAGGCCGGTCAAAAGGGCACAGACAGAGCAGGCCAATCTTATGGGCACAGACAAAGCAGGCCTATCTTATGGGCACAGGCAAAGCAGGCCAGTCATAGGGGCACAGGCATAGCAGGCCAGTAATAGGGGCACAGACACAGCAGGCCAGTCATAGGGGCACAGACATAGCAGGCCAGGACATGTGGCACAGATAGAGCAGGCCAGGTCATTTAGGAGTGTTGTAAGACAGTATGAGGGTCACTGATACTGGAGCTCTCCTATTTAATAAAATAAAGATCCTGACAGACCCTGAGATAAGGTCTAAAGCAGGTCACAGATACATTACAGTGGGGACGCTTTAAAAACTCCCTTAGGGCATAAAAATGCTCGTGTAGAACCCAGCAGTGACAAAAAAAACCCCATCATCAATAATTCTTGAGACATATATAATAATGCAGTTATAATTATTTTCCACACAGCCACTGATTATATATAAATGCCCAACACCAGCAGCCTCACAGTAGAGTTAGGGTTAAATGTAGGTAAGCAAGGGGTGTTCCCAGACCGCCAGTATATACATAGGCCTCAGGCCGCGGCCTTATAGGTATGGGAAGCCCCCTGCAGGAAGCACACACGTGCGCAAGGTGAAACGAAGTACTAATGGGCGGGGGATGGGGCGAGCGTTCAGCGCTCCCTTCTCCACCCTGCGGACACACGCGGTCCACGGATTGAGCTGGCCGCGACTGGCAGCCACGTGATGAAGCTCCGGTCGGCGGGTAGAGCGCTCGATCGCGAGCACCCTGCTACCGGAGCAGTAAGCACACACGGGACCACTGGAGATGTACTCCGCGGTCCCGGGGCTCAGGGGGATCAGAGGAGGCAGCAACATGCCAGCCTCCAGAAACCCCCGAGCAGAATAAAACCCGTGTGCAGGAAAAAATGGGTGAAGAAGAGGGGACGGTTAAAGGGGAACGATCCCCAGAGGGAGAACAGAAGATAGAAAGTTAACTCCCTATAAATTCAGAGGGAGAAGGAAGGCGGAGAGTCTAAACTGTAACACAAACAGCCCCCATAATTAATAAATCAAATTAAATAAATCACATTAAATAATCAATTATACTGTAAATCATAAATTACACAGCCCCCAACTAATAATAGCAGGAGGCAGTGGTACTCTGACCTATACTGGTGCAGAGCAGCAAAGAAAGAGGAAATGGAATGTTGAGAAGGGAGTTATATGGTCTCCTTGCTGTTTTCTGATTGGTTATTTACTCTCTGTGTTTTTTTGCTGCTGTGGAGTTCTAGTAAAGAGAGACTTAAGCAAATATGAAGCCTCCTGTCATGTTATAAAATTCAATAATACACAACTTTTCAACTATATACAACAAAAGTTTATTTTTACCCCTCTCTGTCTAACATTCCTGTTAAAATGCCTGTAACGGATCACCTGGTATCCCGACTGGGTACCTCCGTTGAAGGATGCTCCTAGCGCTTCCTGAGGACTCGAAGCACTGCAGCAGACACCACAACCACCGAACCGGAGAAGCATCCGAATGCTCTCAAGCATTGAATGCTGTAAGCAGCTGAACAGGAAAAGCATACAATCAGCTTACACTCCTGGCAATCAGCATACGATCCAATTCCCCCAATAACAAGACAACACTTCTTTTCGAGGTCAAGCAGAACTCACTGTACTGGCACATACAGCCTCTTTTATTCACAATCCACAAACATGGTACAGCCCACAGGGTTTTGAAATACAACCAGACACTCCCACACAAAATCCTCCCCTCTCCCTGTGATATGATTACTGAACACAATGGTTAATATAATTATCACAGGCAGAGAAATACAGTATTATAAAACATATCACAGGGACCCCAAAACATGCAATAACCCCATAAAAAGTATATCCACATATCCAAAACTCACCCAGATCCGTTCAGTAGTTTGGAAGATACAGTTTAATGCAGATTCTGCAGAACATATACAAGCTATATGAAAAATAATTACTGTATAATGTGTCCCCTGTTGTATAGTTTAAAACTACTGCACAATGTCTTTGTGCACCAAATACCGGCGAGATGGCACGTGTAGAAAAGTCAAAACAGTGTCTGTGAGTTAAAATGGCCGCCATCCATTGTTCTCACCATGTGTCTCTGATACATGAAATGGTGGCCACCCAGTAACTCCACAGTATGTCCCCAGATGGTTCTTAAAGGGCCAGCAGCAGCACAACACAAATCAATTTTATGCCCAAATCATGTCTTTAAATGGCAATACTTCCCAGGGGCCATAGTCACATGGCAGGAGGCTGGCAATCAGTCTTATCCAATGCCCAGTGGCGAGGTCGGTTTTGCCACAATGCCTGTACCCACCTATCCTGGCAACAACCAAAAAATAACAGAGTAACCTTATTTCCATTAAGCACTACCCATTGCCCCACCCTGGTTCCTTCTCAATCTTTTTATCCTTCCTCCTCGTTCAATTACCTCCGCATTCCCTTATATCAGTGGCTTCAATTATCCTTTAATTTCTCTGGCTATTACCTCCATATTCCTTTGTTACCTCTTGCCATTTAACCTTTAGATTGTAAGCTCACAGGCTATCTTACTATGTGCTCTGTAGAAAGAACTTTAATGGTTAGACCTCAGCTCCCGGGCAGGGCCTTCATTCTTTGTACTGGTGTGTTTATATTGTATATCACTGTGGAATATGTTGGCACTTTATAAATACCAATAATAATAATAATAATGCTAAAGATTTAGCTACATAGAGAGCTACAAGAATTCACAATGGTTACTTTAGCTTTATCTGTGACCATTTAATTGTTTGTGTGTATATAATATGTTATCTCCCTCTTTGTTTTTTCAGTATTGCAGTCAGATGCTTATTTTTTTAATTTATTTTTTTATGGGTATCGTTAAACGAAATGGAAATAATTAGGTTTCCAAGAAGACAACATTAGCAACATTCATGTGGAAACTGAGTTACCAAACAATAGTATCAGAATTTAACAGACAAATTTTACATCTGAGTCACTTTCCTGAGGAAATGCAATACAGATAATGGTAAGCAAAACCATCTGAGACCTAAACACTTTTCATCGCAAAGAACACTCTGCGTTTGAGATTGCAAAAGTGCTTTATATGTGAATAGTGTGCCATCTTTTTCATTCTACAAAAAGGGCAGATTCAAATAAAAATTGGTACTTTTATAAATTACCCTTGCTACACCCCCTGGCTGTTAAGCAGACTACCAATCCTATTACTTCCTGGTAGTTTAGCTAAGTGGAGATAAACTCAAGAGGTAGCAATTGATCAGAGCATCCGTCTTGCAAAGTCATGGGGTGCTTTGGGAAGTTTGTGATTGGAGAGCCACAGATGGTCTGTACATGGTTAGAAGAGATCTGCAGATTTTTCAAGCTGTTTTAAATATATCCCCAATGAAAAAATACATAATTAATTGCATGCAAGGTTTCATTGAGGTATAGCTACTAAAGAGTGATTTAGTAGATCTATCTCAAGCGTCATTTTGAAGCATCTGTACTAACGTAAAGTAAATTTAAAAAAAAAAGCAGAAATGCATAAAAAAGTAAAATAAAAACAAATTTATGACTTAAGTATCACAAATTATAGTGATGTGTAAATTAAATTCTTTTTTTTTTTTTTTAACACATTATTAGACAGTACTATTACTAATATTTACCCACCATGGTATTAAGTAATCACTTTAAAGACACACTCTAAACTCCACAACTACTACAGCTCATAGTAGTGGTTTTGGTGCAAATCATTTTTGTGCAGTTTGACAGAAAAATATGTTTTTTACAGGATATAAAATGTGTGACGCATGCTCCACATTTTCTATCCAAATCCAAGTGGAGCTATCATTGCCATCCAGAGTTGAACAGATAATATAGAAGTTATTTTTATCTTTAAACAGTTTAATACAAATGCGGGGACAGCATGCACAGACTCTTATTACCACAACCACTACAATGAGCTGTTGTGTTTACCCAGTTTATTAATTAGTTTATAACCCTATGCATGGACCGACTGGAGATACAAAGCAGCCCTGGGAAAAAAATTTGTGCCAGCCCCATAAGTCACTGCGCCATATATTGTCGCGTGTAATATGTAAGGCTATGTCTTGCCATGACAGATGATTGAGTAATATATATATATTGCTTTTTATAATATAAAATATTGGTCCTTTCAGGGTAAAATGTTTAATTATACAGTAAGCATACTCACGTGCAGACACAGGCAATTTCACTGACATCTCAATGACACACACAAGCTCATTGATACACAGCCTCATAGACAAACAATCTCACTGATATACATCAGCTCATTGACATAAAAACACAAGCTCACTCACTAGCAGGCACACGCATGCAAGCAGGCTCACTCACTAGCAGACGCACACACACAGCTTAATGTAGTGGTACTGGTGCCTATAGCATGTCCCTACAGACTTTTCAACGAAACACTGACTTTTCAGAGAAAAGGCAGTGTTTACATTGCTTCAAAGTGACACTGCTAGTGACAGTCACTCAGACAGTCACTAGAGGTGCTTCCTGTGACAGTGCACCTACATTCAGGGCCTCCACACTCTGTAGGTGCTGAACGTTCCCCATAGAGATACATTAATTCAATGCATCTCTATGAGGAGATGCTGATTGGAGCCTATCCTATGGCAAAGCATTGGATTGGCTGAGATCATCAAGCTTGATGATCTCAGCTATAGAGGCAGGGCCAGTCAAGGGGAGACCAGCACACTGCGTGGGGGGGGGGGAAAGTGAGCAAAAACACTTTTTAAACACACATATACACCATGATAGACACAGAAACACACATATACCATGACAGATACACACCCCATGACAGACACACACACACCATGACAGACCATGACAAAGACAGACCCACACACACACACCATGACACAGACAGACACACACCCCATGACAGACAGACAGTCACACACCCCATGACAGACAGACACACACACACACCATGACACAGACACACACACCATGACGGACAGACAGACACACACACACACACACACCATGACAGACGATGACACAGACATACCATGACACAGACAGACCCACACACACCATGACACAGACAGGCACACACACCATGACGGACAGACACACACCCCATGACAGACAGACACACACCCCATGACAGACAGACACACACCCCATGACAGACACACACCCATGACAGACCATGACAGACAGACACACACCCCATGACAGACAAACACACACACACCATGACAGGCAGACACACACACCCCATGACGGACAAACACACACCCCATGACAGACAGACACACACCCCATGACAGACCATGACACAGACAGACCATGACAGACAGACACACACCCCATGACAGACAGACACACACCCCATGACAGACAGACACACACACACCCCATGATAGGCAGACACACACCCCATGACAGACAGACACACATCCCATGACAGACACACACACACCATGACACAGACACGCACACACACCATGACAGACACACACACACACACACCATACAGACACACAGACACACACACACACCATACAGACACACACACACACACCATACAGACAGACACACACACCCTACAGACAGACACACACACACATCATACAGACAGACACCATGACAGACAGACAAACTCACAATGACACACATTACTAATACCTGCCTGGTGGAGGTCTGCTGGTGGCCGCTGGGGGAGCTGCGCTGGCTCTGCTCTCAGACGGTCACTAGAGGTGCTTCCTGTGACAGTGCACCTACATTCAGGGCCTCCACACTCTGTAGGTGCTGAACGTTCCCCATAGAGATACATTAATTCAATGCATCTCTATGAGGAGATGCTGATTGGAGTGGCGTTTTGCAGCCTATCCTATGGCAAAGCATTGGATTGGCTGAGATCATCAAGCTTGATGATCTCAGCTATAGAGGCAGGGCCAGTCAAGGGGAGACCAAAACGCTGCGTGGGGGGAAAAAAAGACACACACACACACACCATACAGACAAACACACACACACACCATACATACAGACAGACACACACACATCATACAGACAGACACCATGACACAGACAGACACACACACCATACAGACAGAAAAACTCACAATGACACACATTACTAATACCTCCCTGGGGGAGGTCTGCTGGCGGCCGCTGGGGGAGCTGCGCTAGCTCTGCTCTCCCGCCCTCGCGCGCTGCTGAATGAGACAGGGGCCGGAATATGACATCATATTCCGGCCCCGGTCTCATTCAGCTGCGCGGTGGGGAGCAGAGACAGCACAGCTCCCCCAGCGGCTGCCAGAAGACCTAGGTGTCTGTCCGGCCCCAGGTGCCGATGGCCCACCGGGATTTTTCCCGGTATCCCGGTGGGCCAGTTCGGCCCTGACCCTATGTGACAAAATGTATTGTCGTTTGTTACTGCTGCCACATACTTGAACTTTACACTTTACAGAGGAAGTAGTTGGCCCTTTATTTATAAAGCTTACAATAAGCCATCAACACATATATTATGAAAAGAAGGAAACAGATTGAATGCTGGTCAAAATGCCATCATTAATCATGGTATTGTAAACACAAAAAGCTACTTTGGGGATCTACTGACTAAAATGTGTATTAACCCCTTCAGGTATTAACCAATTGGATTGTAAAAAAAAAAAAAAGAAACCCCCCCCAGCATCTAAGTAATTTGGGTATCCTGGAAGTAATGTATTTATTTAAATGTATTTCCATTTCCATACACATAGTTAGCACATTATTTAATAGAAACAACAACAAAAAATTGGTTGAACGGATGAAAAAAAATAAAAAATAATTACATTTTGTTTTTCACAGATCATGTCTGCGCCTTTCTTCAGATGAAGACGCAGGTGGATAAGCATAGGTTGCAAGACTAACCTGAACCATAACACTTGGTTGATTAGTGCTAATGGAAATGTTGATGGTGCCCACACAGGTGACGTTGATGGTGAAGGTAGTTGTGGTGGTGTTGATGATGATAACATTGAGAGAGGGTGAGCTACTGGTGCTGGTGAAAGCAGGTGCAGCTTATGTCTCAACTGCCTTCGTTGAATGAGACAATTCTACAGCAAATACACACTTTGAGATGGTACACAAGATGCTGGAGGAGAGTGCAGGTTAGCTCCTTTCCATACTTACCTGTTGTAATTCCACTAGATCATCATTCTCATGGTTGAGTATCTCCTGGGCCAGAGGTTTTATGTCTACAGTGGTAAGGGAAACAGAATTATCATCACCTGATTCATCCCCATCACCACCAAGACCGCTGTAAGGCCTCACTAAATTGGCTCCGATGATCCACACAAAGTAGACTATGCAGCACACTCCCTTGGTTGCTTATTGGGGGGGACACTAAGAAGGAATAATGATTGAACCAGCTGTGGTAGAAGGAGCTACAGTGCCAATGGAAGAGGCAGCACAATTTGCTGCAGTTTGCAAAGGGTGTTACGTTAGATGTAGAGTGATGGTAGTGGTGGTGGTGGTGGAGGCAGTGGTGTGAGCATGGGTCATGGTCGAGATGTCCCAACTCTCAGAAAACATGGCACTACTGCTGATGTTGGATTATGGAACAGCGTCCCTTCCCTTCCTCAATTTTAGTTTGAGAGTAGTACATAGCATTGATGATGATGGGTTTCATTTTCTTATAACAGTAAATGAGGTACACAAATGATTGTGCATTGTTTAAAGTAACAACTTTATTCAGCAAAAATAGATGTATGTGCTGCAAAATGGATTAGGGCTTCTGTTGCAACATTATTGTGTCTGATGTTAAGAAACACTGTGCACAGCACATACTGGACTGAACACAGTCAGAAAAAATGTCAACATAATTTTTCTTTCTAAAAAACAGTTACATTTTTAAAAAAAATTTAACAAATATATATTGGTTACCTAGGCAAAATTATTTTGTTTTATCCTCACATCATAGTTTCCAAAGGAAGGGTGTTCTTTCCTCTAAATAATTAACAAAATAGTTTTACACTGTGGTGAATGACAAAATGCCTGCAAAGTGACAATCTCCAAACTCCCATTCAGTTTTTTCTAGCGCTCCTGGCAGGATGAGCTGCTAGAAGCAGATACAGTATGAAGGTAAAGTTTGTCTAACAGTAGTATCAAAGAAATTCTATCCACAACCACAGTACATGTCAAACAGTATGTATTGGTACCTGTATGTGTGTGTGACCATTATTGTGTAACTGTGTACGTACATGAGAGTGTGTGTCTGGCAGTGAGTGTCCCTGTGCATCTGGGATTGTTTATTTTTATGTGTATCCATAACTGAATCTGGAATGCATGCCTGTGTATTGATTGAGGCTCTAATCTTGATTCCCTGGAAGTTCAGCGGGCTCTCTGATCTACTCAGCAGTCAGGCATGTCTGCACCTTCGTATGGTTTAGACCCCTCAGAATGCTCCCTTCTGGTCTTTGACGATCTGAACCAAAAAGGAAGTGTGAACTCTTTCTGTTTTCACAATACACCTTAACTCTCTGTTTAGTAAATGCCAATAAAAAACCTGCAGTACACTGTGACCCTCATATAGACGGGTGTGCCTTGCATAATATACATTTAGGACTAAAATACAATGTCACATACAATAATTATTAATATTTTAACAGCTGCCAAAGAACTGTTATAGATAGAGAATTGATACACTTCAAAAACAACAATGTAACTATTATTGGATGTTGAAAAGGGGCACAATACTTTATGTATAACCCTCAAGGTTTGGTGATCACAATGCTTCCAAAGGTGAACTATCCCTCAAAAGAACCATTCAAACTTCAAAAATTAAACACCTAAAAGCAATTTGAGAGTCAATGTAGACAGTTTTCTAACAAGTGACCTATACCCCAGAAAATGTATTTACATGAACACACCACAAACAGGTTTCCTTCCCTCTGATATAATCAAAAGCCTGCGAAGGCACCATTTCTTATTTTGTTAACTGTATGATTTTTGCCTATCCAGCTCCACATTGTAAGATTAATGTTTAAATGACAAATTTGGCCCAGTTTCAACCTGTTAAAGTTTTTCTGACTTCAACGACATCACTGGAAGTAAATGATGCCTATAGTGTCCCTTTAAGCTGTGTTAGTTTACTGAAAGGATTTATTTTTTTTTTGTATTATTTCTTTTAGCATGTTTTAGTATTTTTTACAAATTAAAGATGAATACCTCCTTTCAGTGTTAAACAATTTTCAAGTAGTTTGAAACTAAATAAGAATTCCACCCCATTCACAGCCTTGCTCCACTTGAAAAATGACTAAGGTAGAGGGTACACACTTCCTTGTGACCATGCCAGCAATTGGCGCTGCCATAGGTTGAAAGTGGTCAGCTGACACACCATGCTGTGCAGGCTAATACTTCCTCATCAGCCTATACAATGCACAGAGGGGCTGGGCAGCACAATTATAAGGATTAAAACATTAAACTTGGCTTAACACTGAATGGGAGGACAAAACCAAGGGACTCCAGACATTATAACCACTTCAATGAGATAAAGCAATTGTGGCTACACTATACACTACACTATATCATAAAACTAGAAGAAGATACAAGCTGCTGAAAATTACTTTATCAGTCGTTAGTTTATTTAAAATAATAAAATGCAAATACCAATCCCATATGTTTGCTCATGCATAAACTTTTTCTATACAGATTTATGATAATTAGAAAACACATCTTCATACAGGGCCAATTATTATTTTAGATATAATTTCCCATTAACACCAAGGACAGAACATACTATACTTGTCTTTCATTATACTGATTTTCTTCTCTATAGATAATCTAGCGCTACTGTCCTGGGAAAAAAAGAGGTCAATAGAAATCAAAACACCGAACTGTTGTCATGGAGATAAATCCTGCCCTCAATGGTACAGAATTAACATATGGTACAATGCCATTGTTTGCACATCCTGTGATAGAAATAGAGTTTGTGGCTCTATTAAAGTAAAAGGTATAAATTAATGTTTTTTTAATTAGATTAAAAAAAAAAAAAAAAGACTGTTTACTACAGCCAAATCATTCTCCTGTGAAGTAATCAATCCTGATAGCTTTTGTCGAGTGAGATGTTTAATATTGAGAAGGACACAAGAAGCATGCACTCAGAGAAACACATTAGACACACATAGTATTCAGCAGCACCATACTTTGCATGATGATGTGGGATGTCAAATAGATTCAATAATTAAATCTATTACTGCCAGAAGCATTAGTAGCTCTCTGTCTGACAGCCACAAATAGTTCTACAAGTAAGAAGAACCACCACTGTGGATATTAGGATTGGATGCAGATCTCCGAGGATACCTTCCACAGTCCTCTGTGAATAATGAAGTCTCAACACTGTTAAATTCTGAAGGAGATTGTATTCCATCACAGTGGACTCGGACATGCACAGTATAAATACCAACTTAATTGCACATCATTAAAAGTAACATCCTATGGTGGAGCATGGTGATTGCACATGCACATTAACTCCTTATATACATATGTTATGAAAGTACAAAAGCTTATTGACTATATTCCCAGGCGTTCCCAAGTCTCTGTCAGGAGCCTGTGATTAGGCAATGTGGAGATCCAATCTGCCTAATGAGCACTGTGTCGCTGAAACAGGCCTCAGGACATGTAGGTAAGTTCTTCCATGAATGTATATGTTTTACCGTATTCAACCTTAAAACAATGGTAGACTAATGCTATTCCAGTGTCATGGTATTAATAATACCACTGTATTAAGTAGACATATTGTGAGTAAGTCTCTATATCTGCTAAGAGACAGGCATGCATCTGTGTCCAATACTGGAAATCAATGGACAGTGACAGTCTGTTGCTGACACCTCCAACATAAGCCGGTCAGAACCTGGTACATGGGCCCAGAGAGTAGAGTAGAGAGAGCAGCTTGAGAGCCGTGTCTTGCATGAGGGATGAGATAGAGCAATACTGCATGAGGGAGCAAATCTTTTGCCACTGTCTATCTGTGAACTGGAGCTTCAAATCTTTCTCACATTTGGACTTATATTATACGGGGCTTGAGGTTGTTAAAGCAATGAGTAATGCGTATAATTTTGTTACACCATGTGTGATAGGTGTATCTTGCTAGCAGAGGTTCTCAATCAGAGTGAGAGGCCAGTCTGGTAAACCAAATGCTTTTTATTTACACAATACCGTTTTGTGGTTAACTGAATCCAATGCCTTGCCAAGATCCAAACAGATCACATCCACTGCAACAACCTTACTTACTTCTTCATAGAATGCAATTAAGTTATTTTGATATCTTCAGTTTTTTTTCACAAAACCATACAAATACAGTGTTGGTCACAATAAATTGCTATATATGACCATTCAATAAAACCTCAAATATTTCTCTGAGAAAAGGCAGTGGTTTTATTGAGCTCCAACAAAAACATCTCTTTTGAAGGCGATAGGGACACTTTCTAGAATGGTCCTGCAATCTTTGCCGGACCAATGTTCGGAATTTAGACTCTCTGTACAAAAGACACCGAATGCTCCCATAGAAAGGCATTTAGCTAATGCTTGTCTATGAGAAGACGATGATTGGGGTAAGTATGGTGATAGCCTTAGAAAGTTGAAGAAAGTTGAGTAAAAACTAAAACAAAATTAACTATTTCAGGGAGTCCTTTAATCTAAATAGCCGGAGATTTCTCTAACATTAAAAATGCAAGTTGGAATTTCTGTTAAAGTGTTCCTGATACTATATTGCTGAAGTGGCTGTTTAGTTTACTGAGCCCCTATCTTTCCAGAGATTAAACATGATTTTTCTTACTTTTTCTTCCAAGCTGTGCCCATGCAACCCTTACCAACCAAGACCAAGCACGATTTGAAAATCTGAAACTGTTGCAGAGATACCATTTGGTTGTCAAGAGTTATGAATACACACTAGCTCTCGCCTCTCAGCTAAACTGTGATTCTGACCAAATAATATGGCCACCCATAAATTAAGGATATATATAAATATGTAGCACAAAATAATACATGCAAAGCTATAATACATGTAGACTATGACAGTTTTATTTAGGTCATAGTGTAGGGGACATATGGCTTGTTCACAAAAACAAAAAATTGTGTGTATTTAAGGCGCTTACAATTAATAGAGAAATAAACAATAATAGCAGCTACCACTGAAAATAGGGACTCTCCTCCCTATAAATTGATTCAGAAGCCAGGTGTACACACAGTGTAGGAGATTAATAATAAAAACCACCACTGGTGTGCGTGTGGAGCGCTTAAATATATACAGACTCACCCATATGGGTTGACATACATATGTATGAGGAACGTATCTCACAACAGTATCTGAAACAGATAAGTGCAAATGGTGCAAGTAACGTTTATGATAAATTCAGTGAGTAAATATTCTATATGGTCTCACTCACATGTACACAATACCCAATCAGTCCCTTAATCGTTATGTATGCATAAGGATCTTCTGACGATTAAAGGACCGATTGGGTACTGTGTCACCATAAGCACACACAGGCTGTTGAGACCTGAGCCTATCCTATAGGGCTCTGCTACATGTGAGTGAGACCATATAGAATATTTACTCACTGAATTTATCGTAAACGTTACTTGTACCATTTGCACTTATATCTGTTTCAGATACTGTTGTGAGATACGTTCCTCATACATATGTATACAACCCATATGGGTGAGTCTGTATATATTTAAGCGCTCCACATGCACACCAGTGGTGGTTTTATTATTAATCTCCTACACTGTGTGTTCACCTGGCTTCTGACATATGGCTTGTCCCTGCTACAGCCCTAATTTTCTGTAGGGAGGGATTGAGAGCAGTAAATGGGAGATCACCCATTGAGCCTAGAGTAGTCAAGTTTTCTTCTACAGCAGAGGTAAGTGTTCTCTACAGTAAGAACAAAAAAAAAAGATGTGGAATTCTCTGCCTAAAGAGGTTGTCTTATCAGATTATATATATATTTTATTTTTGCAAAATAGAATATTCAAGGATATAATTATTATGTAGGTGAACAGGTTGTTGATACAAGGAAAAATGTGATTGTTTTTATTGAGTCACAAAATATTTTTTTTCCATTTTTGTGGCATAATTGGAAATTGCTATAATTGTTGTTGGGTTTTTAATTTGTGTTTTGTTTTTTGGAATCAACAGCATAAACGAATGGGTTTCAGTATTGAACTTCATGGACTTTAGTCTTTTTGTCAAACTAGACAGCGAGCTAACTGTGTAACTAGGAATACATAGCCAGGGGAGGGAGAGTGACTAGTGGAGGAAAGGTTCTGTATACAGGCTGAATTATTAGTCTATTATTCAGTGTAATTAGTTACAGTACTTTGAGTTTTCCACAGGTGCTTTATGCTTGCTCTATGAAATTATGGTCACATACAGATTCATTTTACACAATATGCTGGCATTTTGGGAACCTGCATTTCCATGTACATTTGTTAAATGTATCCATTTGTATTCTATTTAATCAGTTATGCATGCATAAAGGAAAACATTAGCCTTTAAAATATTATACACCCCAACATTTTGTTACCGGTCAATACCCAAACAACTAAATAAAACAATATGTTGCTGTAACTGTACCAATTGTTAGTTGTCCCTGAACACCTATGGCCATAGTATGAATGTGTTCTTAATTAATTTACCAGCTATGCAATATGAGTTTCAAACCAACATTGCCATTTACTTTCCACTATATCATGAAACCTATGAGCATTTGCAAAATGCTCAACAGGGAAAGGGTTAACTTAAACTTCAGCTTTTTGTTGAGTTTATTATCTATACTGTAATGAGTGAACACTTGTAATTGATATGAAAATATCCTATATTATGTTTTTATACAAATGGATAACTCCTGCAACGAAAAACATATTTAATAAAAAAAATTATAAAATAAAGAATGAATTAATTGCCACGAATAATACATTTGTACAAAACAAAACATTTTATCTTATTGATTCACTAAAACAGCTATTAAGTATTAAAGTGTTATTAAGTAAACTGAGAACTCAAAGTGATTTTCAAATTTAAGGCCAGATTTGCAGAAGCATAGCTGATTTAGAAAAAAATTCCAGTTCGATTATGGTCTTACATTTGAAATTCACCATAAATGAATAGTAAGTGGAAAGGCAAATAGTTTAAATAGATGTTGTAATGAATTCTTTGTATACCAGCTATGAGAGATGTTTTGTGTAGAATACCCAAATGATAAATTCTCACTCTGAAAACATTTTTTTTTAATGGAATGGAAACATAACATAAGTAATTGTGCAACATATGTTGAACTTGCGAAATATCTCTTAAAAGGAAGCATGGCTCCTTTCCAGATAAGCACTTCTTAATGGAGCTGCAGTGCTGAGCTTGATTTATGGAAGGCCACAATGACAGTATCACTGAGCCATTCCATGTCCTGTGTGTAAAGCAGGAAACCAGATGATGACTAGGAGAGAACAATAGATCCTCTTACCTTGGACGAACTCAAACTTTCTGCTCACAGATGGCAACGTTCTGTTAATCCCTAAGATCCGATCCAAATGGAACGCGAATACTTCGCTCATATCCAGGGGTCTTTTAATAAGCCCACAGATCCCCTGGCAGGCAGAGGTAGGTGCTAGTGAAAATGGCCTTTTCTTGGACGGGTTCTCAAACAGGATCAGGTCACCGTGACTTGCAGGCACCTGCTTAACTCTCTTGATTTTGCAGTCAGCTAAAAACTTCATTGCCCTGATGTCTTCTGCACTGAACCAAGGCGGGGCACTGTCGCTGTAAATCCTAATGTTGCTTTGGTGTGCACTAGTCTTCCCTCTTGGTACAGCCAGCAGGATAACAGCCCCATCCCTGGCTGCAGTGGCATCTCCTTCCCCTTCTCCCAGCCTTTGCTGGTCCATCTGTTTGTTGAAACCCTGCTGCAGGATGCCTTGGCTATGCTCAAACTGCACCTGTGCCGCATATTTTCTCCTCTTCTTGGGCTTCACCGTGCCCCTGATGTTGGCTGGTTTGCTTCTTTTAGACCTCAGAGTGATGTACACCACATTGGGTTTCAGAGTTGCTGCTGGAAGGGTGCTCGGGACGCCCCCCTCTGACAGCTCACTCACCATGTAGAAGTTGCCATGCTGCAGATGTGCCTGAGGTGGTTTAGTGGAGGCATCTCCCAGGGCTCTGTTGCGAGGTGGGTTCTTCTCGTCCCCCTGATGTGGCCATAGGTAGACCACTTTGCTGACTATAAAAATCCCATAGAGCACGCAAGCAGTGAAAAGCAGCAATAAATTCCTTTTGCTTTTTGGGCGTCTCCCACCCCAAATCCTAAAGATCCAGGAGCAGAGCAATGTGAATGAGATCCTGAGTGTTCCTGCTCGAGCTGAGATCATTTCTCCAGAGAGTCTACATGACAGCTGCTACAACATTGCAACCTCCGGTGGGGCTGTAGTTGCATGCTTTTTTTTTTTTTCCTTTTTCTTTCCAGGCTAAACTTAAAAGAAAAGGAGTTTGTTTAAGAAGTCTGTGCATAGGCTGGGAATAGGAATTTGACTCTGTCACTCCAGTGCACAGAGTTGGAGCCTTTTATCAGCAAGCTTGCTACCACTGGGGAACTGATTTCTTTCTCTGAATGAATGGAGACAACTGTGTAAACAGAACTAGGCGGAGATCACCACCAGCCAAAATGTCACAGGCTGCCTGCCTTATGATTGTTCATGTGAAAAAAAAAAAAAATAAAAAAAAAAATCGTAGATTATTTTAAACATACCAGGAAGAGTGTGTTTACAGGGAAATAACATCCCCAGGATATAATGAATGATTCCCTAAAATTATAAACATATAGAAAACAAAAGCAAATATCTCCCTGCCCTCTATGAAGTCACTTTAAGCAAATATGAATAGGGATGTGAAAGCTAATTTATAAACTGGTTTGTTTGTTTATAATTAACTGGGAAATGCCAAGTGATTACAGAGTGATTTGAGCTATTTGTGAAGGTTTTATCACCAAGGTTCCATTTTATTGAGGCAATTTGGTCATAATCACTGGGAACATTTTATTTATGGTAACAGAATTCCTTGTGCATGGACAGAATTGTTGGTTCATCACAACCGTTTAGCCAGAAAATAACAATGCTTCCATTGTTTGATTCAGTATGAATTTTGTTTGCAAAAAAAATTGGACGAACAACAGCTTTCATTTATAACCTCTTACTCATTGAAGGTGAGCGAGGGGTTAAGATGGAAGCAACAGGGAGCAGGAAACTCTACTTCCTTTCCCCAATCCCCCAATGGGTTAAATTAACAAATAAATGCCTACAGGAGTCAACATGATCCCTATGATTGCATAAGAGAGCTTCAAAACGTCCCTCATTCCCCTACCCGCTGTGATACTATCATATAAAATTATATGGGGTACCTAGTGGTGGCTTTAATTATAAAAATGCAGAGAATCTAAAGTCTCCTTAGCCACAACCACCACCTATGGTTGGGGGCTGATATAATATGCAAAGATGGTGGACATGCTATTGTCAACCCCCCTAAAATTTGGCCAGTTGAATTTAACCCCTTAAGGACCACACTTCTGGAATAAAAGGGAATCATGATATGTCACACATGTCATGTGTTCTTAAGGGGCTAAACCCCCCTCCCTCCCTGATGGCTACGGGTTGCTAAGCCCCCAGCCTCTTCCACACCAATAAAAAATGATCTGCCTAATCTCCTCACCCTAATAATAGTGAGCCTTTTCTGTGAAGGAAAATGTTATACTAACCATCAAATGTCTTTCTTCTTAAATCTTTTCTTCATCCCCAGAAAATAGAAAAAATAAATAAAAATAAAAACATTAAAGTCCCACCACAGCTAGTAAAATAAAAAAAAAGACTGCATTGAAAAAAAAAATCATAGTTGGCCCATTGATGACTTCACACAGGCTGACTTATACCAGACAGTTGTTACCATACTTACCATAATTTTCTTTTCCTGACCTTTATCCATGTCAGCATAACAGATGCGTTAAGCTCCTCCCTCTTAGCTGATAGGACAGAAATCTAAAATTAAAATACTGTTATATAAGGCAGTCATCTCCCCAAATCCAACAGTTTCATAACCAACTCAGTCCAGGAAAAAAAGAAAAAAAAGGGAGGGTTTGTTGATGCTGACATTGATAAAGGCCAGGAAAAGAAAACAAGAGTAAGTATAGTAATAGTTTCTGGTTTCCCTATAGTTTCAACTATAGGGGGTAATAAAACACCAGAACACAAATTCAATGTTAATAGAGTTTAATTAAGCGTTAATGACAGAGTCAAGGACATTTCTCCTGAAAGTGGAGACAGATGAACCAGAAACATCTAGGCAGTAGTGCTTTACGAAAGTGTTGGAGGAAGACCAGGCAGCAGCCCTACACATTTCCTCCGTGTAATTATCTACCATAGACGCCCAAGATGCCAAGACAGCCCTGATAGAGTGAGCTTTAATTCCTTCCGACACCAGTTTCTCAGAACTGAACTAATCCATCTACGAATAGTAGAAATAGATGCAGACATACATTCATGGTAACCATATGGTACAACAAAAAAATCTGGTGGTCTTTCTAAATTTCTTGGTATAGTCAAGGTATATCCTTAGAGTCCTGACCACAACCAAAGTGTTCCAAAGAGATTCTTCTTCTGAAGTAGAGTTTTGATAGAAAGAAGGCAGAATAATGTCTTGGTTCAGATGGAATTTTGAGGGAACTTTCAGAGTCTATTCAGGAACCAGTCTGAGAATCGTCTTATCTCCCATAAATTGGGTAAATGGATGTTCCGAGGAAAGAGCTTGTAGTTCTGAAACTCTACTGGCTGGGTTAATAGCTATAAGAAATACAGACTTTAACATTAAACCCCATAGGGATGAAGAATCCATAGGCTCAATAGGTGTATCCATCAGGCTATGTAACACAGTAGGCAGATCCCATGCAGGAAATTATTTGTTAATGGGTGGTCTGATTCTCATCTGAGAAAGTGTTTAATAGTCTAAGTGTCAGACTGGATCCAACAGGCAAATATAAGGAAAGCAAATACTAGAAGAACAACAACAAGCGTATTACCGGACCTTAGACTGGACGTATTAAACGCACCAAGAATAATACAAGACAAGCCGAGGTCAGGATTACAGAATATAGAATAAACGTAAGGAAAAAGCCAATGGTCAAGGTCAATAAGAAGGAAGAATAGTCAAAGATGAGCCAAGGTCAAAATGCCAGAATATACAAGAAATAAATGCGTTCTCGGATCAACCACAAAATGGAAACCATGACAGGGCATCAAGCAATAGGCAGAGTGACTTTAAATAAGCTAAGGAGTGTTCTCATTGGTTGTTGGGACCTGGTGACGCCATTTGTGTGGGCACATTGATGACGTAACGATGCATGCATGTCCGTTTCACCAGCATTGCATTCTGTGACTGTCCCTTTAAATCGTGGCCTTTGGAAGCGGCCGGCGTCCATGGAAATGCCAGTGCGACTTCCGGCCATGTAGCATGGAGAGTGGATGGAGACACGGCAAGAGGTAAGTTTACTCTCTCTGTGCCCGTGCGGTTTGGGCATGGAGACACGATTATGCTGGCCAGGAGCAGGTGCATGGTCACACCAGCCGGGCGCAGAGGCGTGGTCGCGCCGGCCGGACATGGGCATGAGACTGAAATTTAGAAATAGCATAGAACGCGGATAACTGTACCTTCAAAGAGCTAAGGCTCAAACCTTTCTCTAAGCCCTTTTGCAAGAATTCCAACTAGTTAGAAAAATTGAGGAAATCCGAATCTTTCCCAATAGAAGATGCACAATTAACCTGCTCTCCAAATCATACAATATACTTTAGACTGTTTTCTTGCTTGAAAGATTGTATTCACCACACTCTTTGATAAGCCTTTAGCTTTTAGGACATTATTTTCAATTTCCATGCCATCAAATAAAACTTGGCTGGGTCATGTAGAACTGGACCTTGTGTCAAGAGAATCCTTGTTATTGGCAATTCTTGTGACAGGCTCAGAAGCAGCAGAAATTGTGGAAAAATTGCTATTACCTCCACCTATTCCTTCCAGATCTTCTTGAGTGTTTTCTGAATTAGCAGAAGAGGAGGAAATACATAGTCCAGCTGAAAATTAAATTTTTGCATTAGAGCATCTTGACCTTTCGCTCTCGAGTAGAATCTTCTTGAAAAGAACGAGGGTCTACATAGTATCGACTCAGATAATGTTCATCAGGAGGTACTTGAAAGCTAGTAGGGCTTTGTATACTGCCCTTAACTCCAGAATGAACATGAAAATTCCACAATGTCACAAGCCACATTCCCTAGGCTAGATGATTCTTGTTTTGAACTCTCACCATTTCCTGCTGGCATCCATGGTCAGATGCTCCCACTCTGGATCTAGATGGAAGCCCCTATGGATATTTTGCTCATTCATCCACCATTGGAGAGATATTTTTACTTCCTCTGTCATCCAAATATTTTGATCAGGTTCTTGATCTTCATGAATGAGCTGATCTAAGAAATTGCGCTGTGTTGTTCTGAGGTTCCAGTGTGCCCATCTCACAAATTCGATTGTCAAGAACAGTGTTCCCAGAAGAATCATATAATCCTTGGGCTGGCCATCATGAATTTGCATGATACTGCTTCTGAAACCTTTTCCAGTAGTCTGGCAATTCTGTCTTCTGTTAAGGACATCTAGTTTTGTTTCTTATCTACATTGGCCCCCATAAAGTTATCTGTTGTGATGGTTGCAGTTAACTTTTATTGAAGTTTACTATCCAAACATTATCCAAACATTTAAATACATAAAGGGAATCAACACAGTAAAGGAGGAGACTATATTTAAAAGAAGACATAGTCTTAAATTAGAGGGGCAAAGGTTTAAACATAATATCAGGAAGTATTACTTTACTGAGAGGGTAGTGGATGCATGGAATAGTCTTCCAGCTGAAGTGGTAGAGGTTAACACAGTAAAGGAGTTTAAGCATGTGTGGGATAGGCATAAGGCTATCCTAACTATAAGATAAGGCCAGGGACTAATGAAAGTATTTATAAAATTGGGCAGACTAGATGGGCCGAATGATTCTTATCTGCAGTCACATTCTAAGTTTCTATTTTTCTATTCGCAAATGAAAGAAACACAAAATAGCTGTCAGTCTCCCTCGGTCTGGTTCTCCATGCAAGATCTTATCTCATGGAGTTTGAATGATCATGAGAACGGTGAGGAATCAGCCCATAACTACACGGGAGGATCTTGTTAATGATCTGAAGGCAGCTGGTTCCATAGTCACCAAGAAAACAATAGGTAACACACTATGCTGGGAAGGACTGAATTCCTGCAGTGACTGCAAGGTCCCCCTGCTCAAGAAAGCACATGTACAGGCCCGTCTGAAGTTTGCCAATGAACATCTAAATGATTCAGAGCAGAACTGGGTAAAAGTCTTGTGGTCAAATGACACCATATTCAAGCTCTTTGGCATCAACTCAACTCGCCATGTTTGGAGGAGAAGGAATGCTTCCTATGACCCCAAGAACACCATCCCCACCGTCAAACATGGAGGTGGAAACATTATGCATTGGAGGTGCTTTTCTGCTAAGGGGACACGACAACTGCACTGCATCAAAGGAACGATGGAGGGGGCCATGTACTGTCAACTCTTGGGAGAGAATCTTCTCTTAAGGGCATAAAAAAAGGGTTGTGGATGGGTATTCCAGCATGACAATGACCCAAAACACACAGCCAAGGCAACAAAGGGGTGGCTCAAGAAGAAGCACGTTGAGGTTCTGGAGTGGCCTAGCCAGTCTCCAGGCCTGAATCCCATTGAAAATCTGTGGAGGGAGCTGAAGGTTCGAGTTGCCAAACGTCAGCTTCAAAACCTTAATGACTTGGAGAGGATCTGCAATGAGGAGTGGGACAAAATCCCTCCTGAGATGTGTGCAAACCTGGTGGCCAACTACAAGAAATGTCTGACCTCTGTGATTGCCAACAAGGGTTTTTTCCACCAAGTACTAAGTCGAAGGGGTCAAATACTTTTCTTCACTCATTTACATGCAAATCAATTTATAGCTTTTTTTGACATGCATTTTTCTCGTTTTTTTTTTTTTTATTATTCTTTCTCTCACTGTTAAAATACACATACCATTAAAATTATAGACTGATAATTTCTTTGTCAGTGGGCAAACGATCAAAATCAGCAGGGAATCAAATAATTTTTTTCCCTTACTGTATATGCAGACACTTACCCTTTTAGTAAGGGGAATATAGTGATGCTAAAAAAATAGATGAAATACAATATAGTGTATTTTATACAACTTAATAAGTGAGTACTGAATGATGGATGCATTTACATGGGACAGAGCCAAATAAGGATAGGCTCAAGTCACAACTTCAAGGCTATATAAGGTAATACCCGAACCTCTTATATTCTTTAATCCTGGAGTACTTCAGAGAAAGGGATAAAGCATAATGGGAGACAAGCTCTTAGTGTGATACTGTAAAAGTAATAAAAAACACCTTTTTATTTTTATAAAATAAAAAGGTGTTTGTCCTGATCAAAGTTCCCATGTGGAACTGAAACGTTGACCTTTTTCTACACTTTTTCCAAGTAAAGGAGTTATTTGTGAATTACCTGGGAGTGTTGACTTTCCTGTTCTATGTGTATATATATATATATATATATATATATATATATATATATATATATATATATATTAAGGCCTTTTGGCCTGTAATTGTGGGAGGGGCGTATGACACACACCTTCCCTACTTAAGGGACACCCCTTACCTGGCTCCATACCGTTCGAGGTCAGCGCTGCATCAGGATCCACTTCCGGTTTCCCATACGGCGCCATCTTGGTTTTCAGAAACCCATGATTTCTTCCAGGGTAGCTGTGTCCTGGAAGCCCTTCTTGAAGGTCTTTTCCGCCCGTCCAGCTCCTTGTATACTCCAGCCTTCGTCGAAGATAACGTCCCAGGGACTTCAAAATCGTAAGTCCGACGCCTGGATCATTCCCACGGCGTTCCGTTTTCCAACGGGTCCTCGCTTTACGGCTCTCCGGCCTTACGGCAAGGTCGCAAATCATACGTGGTTTTTCCCATTTCGGTTCAAAAATTTGTGCTATAATCCTTTCGGTATGTTTCTAATGTATTCCATATGGTACTCATGCACACCATTTCGTGTCATTTCATTTTCAATGCATTTTACTGAAGCACTCATTCATGCTGCCTTCCGTTCGGTTTAATTCAATCGGTACATATCTTGCATCTAGGTCGGTCAAACTTGATGAATAACACTGCTCTTTCTGTTCATTATAATGGAGCTTTCGGCAGTTTGCTCAGTAATGCACGCATTCGTTCACTTTTTTCCATACGGCAAACTCTGGTTCTGTTTTATAGTAGACCAATTCGGTTCATATACCTTGTTATGCACTGTTATAAATTCGTTTAAAATCGGTCATACCTATATATACATACTTATTCATATCATACTAGGTTTTACATCTTGATCAATATTTTCTCATGTATATTGGTTAATTTATAGTTAATTTAAGTTACTTATTATAGATATTTTAGGTACATTACAGTAATGGTTTATGGCTTATTCCTAAAGTCTTATGAAGATCATGCTTTTATTCAACCATGTACATCAGGATTACATGGCTCTTACATTTTCAGACCATTTCTTGACATACTCAGACGACATACCACGAGTATACAAGAACACAGTCTTATCTTTCACAGATTTCGGGTTGAATCACACGCTTTGGTTCAACCATTCATACGTCACGTTACAAAAAACTTTTTGTCACTTCACAAAAATTCAACCTCATCCACATCATCCCAATTTTATGCCACGGCGCATATATATATTCCATACATAATCATTCCAACCCTCCCTGCACTTTTAATACTCAAACCCTAGCATTTCCCACATCACTTAGTGACATACGTATCATCTGGTCACCCTCTGTAGACACACATACAGGGCAAAGCCCCTACTACCCGGTTCAAACTCAGCTTTACGCCTAGCATGGGCCAGTCATGTCACTATCATACGCATAGTCTATTTACCTCCCGCAAATACTGGTAGAAACCCAAACCCCACTTTTTCATACTACAGGTCTCACAGGAGCCATGCTCACTCCATCACTTTTGTTTCTATCCATTTAGGTTTATCCAGGTATTGTTATACCTGTCGAATCTCAAAGCTTTATACATACTACCAGGTACGTAAGCCTGCTCACGTTGTAGTTCACATACATTTCATTTTCCCCTAGGCCATAGAGTACTGGCAAGTTAGGGGTATAGGCCCAATAGGTATCTCCCTTCTTGGCATTCTGCCTATCGTTTAGTGTTGGCGAGGCCAACTCCCCGCCTCAACGTTTCGGAGGCAAACGCCCACCGGGCCACACGTGAGTTAGCCGCTTCGCAATATTATAGAGAGGGCCTCACCTGTCACTCCCTTCCCTCGTTTTTCTTTTACTATCACCGAGAGGCCTACGATTCCTGCCACTACGACGGGTGGCCTCAATATCCCCTCGCGCCAACGCATAGACAGAGCCTCTCATAGCCACTTGGCAACTAGCAGGGCCTCACCTGTCACCAAACAAGATTAATTTATCGCCTTTCTGGCCTAGTTAGCCTGCCAGTACAACCCCTGGGTTCCATACACTAACCAACATATTTTGTCATTTAGTATGTCTCAAGAAGGCGTAGAGGATTTCTCCCTACCGGGCACCCCGGCTAGAGCACACTCCCCATCACAGGGAGGAGAGGTGGCTACTCCAGCATCTTTCAGGTCATGGACAATCCCTCGCATAACCAACGAACTCAGGAGACGGCAAATCCCGTTCCCCGCAACAGCAAGGAAAGCGGAACTCTACAAGTTACTGCACACCTCTACCGATAACATTGATGCCGGGGAAGGGACTAGCCAGTCTAACCCGGGAGAAATACACGGCATGCTCTCATCCCTCATGGCATCCATGAGCAAGGTCAATTCCAGGCTGGAGAAACTCGAATCGGTCACCACAGCCCTTACCATGGCTAGGCCAGCCGCTGCGACCCCTCCAGCAATGGTCGAGTTGCAATCAGTTTCTCCAGCCACCACCTCTGATGATCAAGAGGTTAACCCTGCTCATATGATACCTGAGCACCTCAAAAGAGATATCCTAGAAGGTAAAGATGTCAACTTGGCTTCATTGCTGATTGCCTCCCAGGATGTGGTGGAACATAAGACTTATGCTTATGATGATATTTCTGTGGTGGTCAAATCTAGGGATGCCCGACTAAACAGGAAACTGACCATCCCTGAATTTGTGTTGGCATTTGGCATTTATTGTGATGTTATCTGTGCAGTATATCCCCACAGACGTGAGGAGTTTGATTTGTATATGCACAAGCTGGTGGACCTGGGCAACAAATATGGTGGGTCAGCTTTCTATGATTACCATAGATCTTTTTCTGCCAAGGTGTCTGGCGCTTTCTCCCAGTACGGGACAAGGCCCAACTGGAGCAAGATTGATACAGTCATTTTCTGCAGACACTTTGCAGGTCTAAGAACGCCGGCTTGTGCATACTGCTCCTCCATGGCTCATACGGCTAATTTCTGTCCAACCACTGCGAGCAAACCTGCCCCCTCGCAGGGCACTAGTTCCACTGGCTCTGCAGAAAAAACACCCAAAGACAAACTGGGATGGCCTATCAAGTTCCTGGGCAAGTCCCAGATATGTAATAACTTTAATGTAGGATCATGTAATTACAATGGATGTCGGCTTTTGCATATATGTTTAAAATGTTACAGGGTTCATGCCAAAACCATGTGTCCAAATAAAATGTATCCTAAACAATACTTAACCTCGATAAACATTTCTGTACGTACGATATTACTGTCACATCATCCTTCTAGACATTTGTTAGAATTCATTATATCGGGTCTGTCAGAAGGATTCCACACAGGTCTCATACACATGCCTTCCGGAATCCTGGAATGTCCAAATTTACAATCCGCACAGCAAAATCCTACAGCGGTTGAAACACTCATAGCCAAGGAAGTGGCAGAGGGCTTCCTATTGGGGCCCTTCCAGTCCCCTCCTTTCACCACATGGCGGACAAACCCCATCGGTATTGTCACGGGGAAATTTTCCCACAAACAGAGACTTATCATCGATCTATCGGCACCACACACCTCTGCCACTCCTAGTCTGAACTCCCTCATACCCTCTGAGGAATTTTCACTGCAATATTCCACCATAGATCACGCCATTACAGCTATCATGCAGGCAGGGGTCGGAGCATGGCTCAGTAATACCGATATAACAAATGCTTTCAAGTTGCTGCCTATCAATCCTACACTCTGGCACCTACATGGCATCAAGTGGGCCGGGAACTACTACTTTTTCTCACGATTAACTTTTGGTTCCAAAAGTAGTCCAGCCATTTTCGACGTATTCGCCGAAACCCTATGCTGGTTATTATTAAATATAGCCAGATGCCCTACAGTTATACATTATCTGGATGATTTCTTACTGGTCGAGGAGAATATTTCACCTCCCAGTAGCCTCAAAGAAACCATCAGTCTTTTCACACAGTTGGGTGTCCCAGTCTCCCCCACCAAGACTGAAGGACCAAATACCTTCATCACATTCCTGGGTATTATACTAGACTCAGCCACCATGCAAGCGAGCCTGCCACGTACGAAGGTAGAAAACATTCTTACAAACATAAATCTCTACATACTACTCAGTAACTGCAACCGCAAAGAACTACAGTCTCTGCTGGGGTCACTAAATTTTGCCATGCGCATCATACCTCAAGGCCGTGCTTTCATCTCACGACTCCTTCACATGTTCACACTTTTCAGACATGATGCACACAGGTTATCCCTGGATACCGTAGCCACGGCAGACCTACTCATGTGGAGAAATTTTTTAACCACCTGGAATGGTAAAAGTATGTTCCTCCCTGAATTGTCTGACTCCTCACCTACCATCTGGTCAGACGCGGCGTCTACCACAGGTTTTGCAGCAATTTACAGGAACAAATGGCTTTGGGGTAGCTGGCCTTCAGAAGTTAAGGACCTGGAAGGTTTTTACACTACCTCAGCTCTGTTTGAGATATATTCCATAGTGGCGGCTGCGTGGCATGGGGGCATTTATGGGCAGGTTCGCCAATACGTTGCTACTCAGACAACCAAGCAACCTGCCACATTATTAACAAAGGCCGATCCAAATCACTGACTATTATGAGATTCCTGAGGAAACTCACTTGATTGGCTGCATGTCATAATTTCTTCTTGTTTTGTGTTCATGTTCCAGGTGTATGTAACACGGCTGCTGACAATTTGTCTCGTTTTAATTTCCAGGCTTTTCATCAAATCCTCCCGTCAGCCGCACTCACAGCCACGACAACTCCACTATTCCACCATCTAGTAATGGACTAGACGCTATCATGCAACATAGCAGAACATTGGCCCAATTAGCACTGTCTACTAATACCCATAAAACATATGACAGAGCTTTCATTTTATTTAAAAGATTCCTTTCGGAACACAACATCTTACAACCTTTCATCATGACATCCTTGTTGGGCTTTGCTTCTTTTTGCCACCTCAGACTCAAATTATCAAACACAATCAAACTATATCTGACAGGCATCCAACATCACATGCTAACTTTACAACCCAACAGTTCGAGTTTTATGTCCGCCTACCAAATTAAGAACCTTTCTTAGGGGTATTCAGAAATCCGAACCTTCACGTACGGCCCAGAGACTACCTATAGATTTCCATATTTTTAAAGACTTATCCAACTTAATAGATTTAAAACCTTTTTCCAACAGCACAAACCTTGTCATTAAAACCGCCATATACGTAGCTTTTTAATGGATTCTTGAGACCAAGAGAATTTACCACCATCAGCACAACACAGTCCACTCACATCTTACTTCAATCACACTTAACAAAACACTTGGACTCATATCTTGACCCTGCCTCATTCCAAAACCAGTCAACATGCACCTCCAGTAGAGGTTAAGTACTATCCTACTCACAACAGGTGGTGCCCCGTCAAACTACTGGATTCATATACCCAGCATAACAACGCATCACCAGATCAACCACTTTTCAGTCTACAAGGTTCTGTACTCACTACCACCACCTTCATGACCCACGTTGGGTTCTTACTTACCCAACTGGGCCTCAAATCAGCTAACTATTCAGGCCACTCCTTCCGCATAGGAGCGGCCTCCACAGCATCCAGTGCAAACATCCCAGTTCATGTTATCAAGTCACTGGGGTGCTGGAAATCATCAGCTTACTCTAGATACTTACCTAACCCGGTACAAGAAGTAAGAAATGCTTTTCAAAACATGTCTGGTTAAATGTACGTAAATTGTTGGTATGTAATAAATTAGATTTTCTATTTTTGCCCTCTTTATTTACAGGCCTACCTCATCGTCGGTTCCGGCACACCACAACCGACTTGCTCTTTTAATACCATCCTACACTTATCAGTGTTTTCTTTCTTCTGTACTATCATGAGCCCTTACCACAAATATTAAGGGCTTTTGGCCTGTAATTGTGGGAGGGGCGTATGACACACACCTTCCCTACTTAAGGGACACCCCTTACCTGGCTCCATACCGTTCGAGGTCAGCGCTGCATCACCCTCCCATCACTCCTCATTATTAACTCCTTTCTCTTTACATTTCTTCTTGGTGGGCCCTCTTTATTTACAGGCCTACCTCATCGTCGGTTCCGGCACACCACAACCGACTTGCTCTTTTAATACCATCCTACACTTATCAGTGTTTTGTTTCTTCTGTACTATCATGAGCCCTTACCACAAATATATATATATATATATATATATATATATAGGTTCTGCTTACTTATTTGAGAGACGATGAACTGGGATCTCAGTATAACCACATGTGTGCCACTGGGGGACACACACCTCCCTTCTTAGGACAAGCAGGTCTGACAGGAATCTTTGAGAGTTAGTGTAATTTCCACATGATTATTTAGACAATTAAAAACAAATTAAAATCTATTAAAACAAATAAAATATATCAAGATACCGAAGGTAGAATAAATGTCCACAGTCTTTCCTGATATCCAAAACAAGTTTCTCTGATATTTTTGGCTTCCCAACTGAGGAAGAAGCTTTGAAGCTCTGTATGGATGTATTATAGACAAAAAAAAAGTACAATGGAATAGCATGTTTGTTTTGCGATCAAAGTTCTAACTGTGCCAACAAAAAATGAGAAATGAATGGGATGATTAAAAATGAAAAAAAAAAAAAGTAGGGTATAGCCACCAATAATGTACAACCCAACATTTAAAATGGACAATTTTAGGGGTGTGAGTGGTGGAGTGGCCAGTTCTGAGAGATTTTAGGTGACTTACAAATAAAAAGGTATATGTCTACATTGTATTTTAGAATACCAACAATATTTCTTATTTACATAAACTGGTTTCAAAACACATTTATTGTAGTTTAACCCCTTAAGGACAGCTTCAGAAGCTTGTCTTTCACTTAATGACAACAGCATTTTTTGCTGTTTACGTTCAACTGCAATTTGCATTTTACCAATTTATTGCACCAACACATATTATATACAGTTTTTTTAAAGGACAGAAAGGGCTTTAATTTGATGTAACATAAATATATAAATGCTTATTTATTATAAAAAAAATACAGAAAAATGCAAAACAATTTAAAAATGTGTTTTTTTTTTACAGTTTTTGCAATAATACTGTGTGCACAATTAGTGCAAGTTAAGGAAAGTAATTAAAAATAAATTAATTTAGTTGTTCTGATTTACAGAATATATAATGTGCCTGGGATTTTAAGTTTTTTTTGGTAGTTACAGGTCACAAAGCACAAGGAGTAAAATAAACTTTTAATGTGGAGCGATTTTAGAATTTGGTATTTTTGTCTTGTAAGCTTAATAGCCATAAAAGAAAACAAAATTGCCACACAAAAGTATATATTTATATAAAGTAGACATCACGGGCTATTTACCTAAGGTTGTTTTCACACTTTCTACGTAGCCATTTCACCGCCAACCTCTGCTAAATAGTGGAGTAAACTTGTGTTTTTTTTTGGTTTTTGGCAAACAAATTTATAACAAAGAAATTCTCATGTGTATTTTGTAAAGTTGGTGTGTGCTATTCCTGTACAAAGTTTTATTTAGTGTTCAGTTACACCTGCTGAGTAAAATGACACCCCCATTGTATGTCTTTGGCACTATTTCATGAAGTTACAGTGCCATACAGGATACCTGTCCTTTTCAGTAATCACAGTAGAATTTTGAGAGACGGATTTAATGAGCCTTTGCTTCCATTTGGGGTATTATAACAGTTTGACTGTTCAAAAAAAACCCACAAAGGCCTACCATTTGTAAAAGTAGACACTCCAGGGTATCTCATAAGGTGCATATTGTGCCTTAACATGCCCTCATTATTTCACCAATATATGCCAAAGTATGTGGTAAAAAATAATTTTGGGCATTTTTTTACATACAGATTGCATTTTTGCTGGGCATTTTGTATATTTCATATGTGCCACTAAGTTCAAAACCCCCAAATTATGTTCAGCTAAGTCTTCTGATTAAAAAAGACACCCCCAATGAATGTCTTTGGCACTATTTCATGAAGCTACAGTGCCATATAGGAGACCAAGCCATATAAGTTTTCACCAAACTTTGAATTTTGACGCTGGGCCTATGTGCAATTTCCAAGCATCTTCGCAGGTTTTAAATTCACACTACCCCACAAAGGCCTACCATTTCTTAAAGTAGACACCCCAGGGTATTTCAAAAGGTATATTTTGAACCTAAGTGTGGGATCATTTTTCCGCTAGCTTATACCAAGTGTAGTGGTAATAAGCTTTTTTTCTGCCTTTTTGACACACAAAGTGAGTTTGCACAGTATATTTTGCAAACCTTATGTGTGCTACGACTGTATAATACTTCATATGTTGCTCAGCTATGTGGTCTGAGTACAGCAATACATATATGTATATGTGGATGTTGAAGGGGCACATTTGAAGGGGCACATTTGAGACGCAGCCATTCAGTTTTTTTTCTAAACTTTGAAGTTTTACGCTGTGTCGATGTTCCAATTTGTAGTACCGTATTTTCTGGCGTATAAGACGACTGGGCGTATAAGATGACCCCCAACTTTTCCAGTTAAAATATAGAGTTTTGGATATACTCGCCGTATAAGACTACCCCTCTTCCAATGCACACCAAATAAAAATTAGCCATGATGTACAGTAAGCAGACAGAGCTACACAGCAAGACATTAAATAATGATAATCTGAAATAGCATTTAAAGCCCAGGTATGTGCCAGGCTGTTTGGGCATATAATCCATGCCTGCTGGTCTAGCACACAGGAGGCTAATTGTGATATATGCGCATACTGCCAATTCTTCACCTTTTCTGCTGTGACTACCGTATTTTAAACCTGGCTGGACTCGGCTACCTGGATTTGGGGAATTTATGGGGCAAACACTACCGAGGCTGGGTGAAATGGGGCAAACTGTACTCAGACTGGGGTGGCATGGGGCAAACACTATACCAGCTTGTTGGCATTGTGGAAAGTGCACTCATGATGTGTGGCATGGAGCATACACTATACAGAATATTCTTCTTACTACTCCCCCTCCCTCCCCGTGTCCTTCTTACTCCCCCTCCCTCCCTATGTTCTTTTTACTCACCCCCTCTGTTCTTTTTACTTTATTTTTACTCCCCCCTCCATTCTTTTTACTCCCCCCTGTGTAGAGTGGGTGGATGAGATCCTCTTCATCCTGTCAGTCCGGCCGGGTACCGCGCGGTACAGGAGATTCAGTTACCTGTTCCCGGCCGGACTGAAAGGAAGTGAGCACAGGATGAAGAGGAGCTCGGCCACCCACTCTACAATGGGAAGGGGAGGTGAGAAGAGAGGCAGTGCGGCAGCCGTCTGAGCGCCCTAGGCAGCCATATAGATGACCCTATACCCTATACCCGGCGTATAAGACGACCCCCGACTTTTGAGAAGATTTTCCAGGGTTAAAAAGTCATCTTATACGCCGGAAAATACGGTAGTTTAGATGGTTGGTTATTGAAACTTCCCCACAAACACATACTATTTATTAAAGAATACACCCTGGGGTAATTCAAAAGGCATATTTTGAACCTTGGCGTGGGATCATTTTTTCTCTAGTTTGTTCCAGGTGTAGTGATAACAAGCGTTTTTAAAAGTTTTTTTTTTTAAAGTTTTTTACTTTTTAAAACTAGTTTTTAAACTTTTGTTTTGCTTATTAATTTTTGTAAACTTTCCTAAACTTTCTTAAAACTTTTTTTTACAGATTTAACATTTTTCTAAGCTTTTTTTTTTTTTACCATTAACCCCTAACTAGCAGTAAGCAGCACTAACAGTAAATTCCCCATTTTCCCATAACTACCACCCACCCCAGCTAGCAAAATATATAATTATAAAATATTTAAATTAGTTAATTAAATAAATTGAACTCCTGAGGGTTAAAAAATAAATAAAAGTTAATCGTCATGGGTTACATAGTTACATAGTTACATAGCTGAAAAGAGACTTGCGTCCATCAAGTACAGCCTACCTCACATTTGTTTTTTGCTATTGATCCAAAAGAAGGCAAAAAACCCCAGTTTGAAGCACAATTTACAACAAGCTAGGAAAAAAATTCCTTCTTCACCCCAGAATGGCAGTCAGATTTATCCTTGGATCAAGCAGTTATTAACCTACATTGAAAGATTATATCCTTGAATATTCTGTTCTTGCAAACAGTATAATACTGTGATCTGTATTTTGATCACTGTAGGCAGTGATCGACTGGCAGGGAAGGGGTTAATTTTTATTTGGACTGGGTAAATGGTTTATTTTTTATTTTTTACTTAAACGTTATTAAAACTTTTTTTAACTTAATTTTTAACTTTTTAAAGCTTATTTTAAAACTTTTTTAACGTTAACCCCTAGTTAGCCTAACACCAAATCCCCCAATTTCCCACTAACTTCCACCCACCCCAGCTAGCTAAATTTATATTTTTAAAATACTTAAATTAATTAATAAAATAAATTTAACCCCTGAGGGTTAAAAAAAAAAAAATCAGATCATAGTAAAATGTAATCCCTGCCAATTGATCACTGTAGTCAGGGTTAAAAAGTCATCTTATACGCCGGAAAATACGGTAGTTTAGATGGTTGGTTATTGAAACTTCCCCACAAACACATACTATTTATTAAAGAATACACCCTGGGGTAATTCAAAAGGCATATGTTGAACCTTGGCGTGGGATCATTTTTTCTCTAGTTTGTTCCAGGTGTAGTGGTAACAAGCGTTTTTAAAAGTTTTTTTTTTATTAAAATGGGTAAAGGGGTGTGGGATTTTAAATTAACTTTATTTATTTTTTTCTAACAGGGACAAGATCAGTGAGGATCCGTCTCCCTGCACTTCACAGTGAAGTGCAGTTAGGCGGAAGGTGAGTATACGGAGCACATGTGCTCGCTCTGACAGGCTGTCAGAGCGAGCACCGGTGCTGGGGCAGCGAGATCGGGTGCTCCCGGTCTGCCTCTAATACAGAGGCAGACCGGAGCACCATTAACCCTGTGATCGCCGCGATCTGGGGTTAATTTTACCGCGTGACGGACGAGGTTCGTCACTCGTCCTTAAGGGTTTCCCCTGAGTGACGGTCCTCGTCCGTCACTCGTCATTAAGGAGTTAAAGATACATTATTGTGAGTTTTATTGTGGTGGAGCTCTGTTATTCCTTTAGACACACTAACAGTATGGATCTCCAAGAAAAGAGGACTTTTGGGATAGAAAAGAGCGAGAGAAAGATTTTGACCCATGATAGGGACTGCTCCTCCTAAATAGGGAGATATGTCATGATATGACCAGGGGTAGTTTGCATCCCTGACAGATTACAACATATTTCTTAACCCCTAACCCATGACACTTTTTTATAGTTTTAAGTCTGCCACTCATTATGTGTGAGTAAAATGTGAGGTTTGGAGCAGGTAGGCACCAAAGTGGTGTATATAGATGACAAATGAGCAGTTTAGTTGAGATAAACACCTTTGTTATAAGTGATCATTTTATTTTATGTGAGTTCCAAATAGAATTCACTTTAAAAAAAATCAACTTAAATTAGTATGTGGACCACTAGGGGTCTCTCTCCTAACATAAAGTAAAAAAAAAAGTATAGTAATGTGGAATATTTGCATAGTTATACTGTGCATAAAACAAATTGCTGATCTGGTATATTTATGGATTGATCTTAAAAGTTGTTCCTCTTTCTTTAAAATTTGCTGATCAAGGATATTCCAGATGAAAGCTGTTTACATTTCAGTAGCATTGCCTTGTGATTTTGGACAAGCTGTTTATGAGGTAAACAGTACTCTACCATCAGCAAATGATATAATTATTGTCTAATAAGCCCAGCAAACCTTTTTTTGGGGGGTTCAAGAAATCGACAAATACAGATTGAGTGCAACATACAATGCATTATTGTGTTATACAAAAGAATTTCTGCTACTTTGAGATCACAAAAAACAAATGTAACATGTAATAAAGAGCATCATGAACATAATCAATGTTTTAATGTCAACATATTTAATGTGCTCTAGTAGGGTACGGTGAGCGGGGTTGCATCAATCCGGTGGATGTAGGTAGGGTAATTAACAAAGAAAGGGGGTGGGGGAAACGGAGAAGGTAACAGCTTAATGGTGTGCTTAAATTTTGGAAGTTGTGTCGATTTTGATGAGTAGGTTTGTCCACATCTCAATGACTCTCTAGCATTCTGTGATGGATAAAGCTGACATTCGTTCGTAAATGCTGTACTCATTAGTTTTGTCTATCAATGGCACTCTTTGTAGGGCATATATTTAGATTCCAGTTGGTAGCTATTAAATTATGGGCGGCTAAAATGATTAGGGCCATGAGTTGTTTGGTAGGTTTGTGTACTCCCAGATAAGGAGCGCTCGAAAGGGAAAGAGGTTGTTGTCACAGTACCCAGGAGAACTCTGTAACACAGAGAGAGTGCTTTGGATTTTTCCTGGGCTGTGCCAGCACCGGTTGTATTTCATTAGCTGTTTCTGTAAAGTCAGCAGATTTATAAACTTGTGAGGACATTACACTTTTAAATTGTAAATACTGGAACACAAAAGACTTCAGTAGGTTGAAGTTTTTCTGCAGAACTGGAAAGGGCAGAATAGTACCCTGACATCTCACATCCTCTATGGTGTGGACCCCTTTTTTGGACCATGCCTGTAAATAAATTTCTGGAGAGATGGCCTGCAAGGCCGTTAACGGAGCATTTTGGTTGAGAGTATTGCCACTAGGTTTATTGCAGACTCTTACAGGGCAGCTTTATAGTAAAGCAGGACATTGGGTAGGTCCACTCCTCCAGCCTTAGGGTGTGTTTCTGCACTAAGGAGTGTAAAAATCTGGGTTGCTTCAACACCCAAATGTATGAGGAGCAGAGCTTTTGAATTTGGTTACAAAAAGAGGAGGGTATATCTATTTTGCACATGTGTATTAGTGGTTTGTAATTTGCTGTGTAAAGGCCTTGTTGTTTTGGAGCCAGTTGAACTCCTAGGTATTGAATATTAGTGATTCTCCAGTCAAAGTCATGGGCGTGTTTAAGCTGTGTGATTGTGTAAGTAGGGAGATGTATTGACAACGCTTGCATCTTATGCATGTTCAGTTTATAGTAGGATACATGGCTGTAGTCTTGTAAAGGATTAAGTAGGTTCGGTACCGACGTGGTTGGGTTGGTCAACGTCAGCAGACATTGACCGTTTATACTAGTAGTGTGCGAGTTTGATGCCTGTGAATTGATCATTGTGCCTTATTCTGTAGGCCAATGGTTCTAGTGACAATATGAACAGGAGGAGTAAGAGTGGGCATCCCTGTAAGGATCTGTTAGAAATGCTAAATGGGAAGGAAAGGAAGCCTGCATTAGAGGGATAGCAATGTCTCAGACTGAACATTGAGTGGTTTATGTGTATCTATAGAATCTCAAGATGTAGATTTTATATTAAATGTTTTGTGTTTTTAAACTATGTTTAGGATTAAAGGACCACTATAGTGCCAGGAAAACATACTCGTTTTCCTGGCACTATAGTGCCCTGAGGGTGCCCCCACCCTCAGGGTCCCCTCCCGCCCGGCTCTGGAAGGGGGAAAGGGGTTTAAACTTACCTTTTTCCAGTGCTGGACGGAGAGCTATCCTCCCCCAATCCTCCTCCGTTCCTCCTCCTGGGCTGAATGCGCACGCGCGGCAAGAGCTGCGCGCGCATTCAGCCGGTCACATAGGAAAGCATTCATAATGCTTTCCTATGGATGCTGGCGTGCTCTCACTGTGATTTTCATAGTGAGAAGCACGCAAGCCCCTCTAGTGGCTGTCAATGAGACAGCCACTAGAGGATTAGGCGGAAGGCTTAACCCATTCATAAATATAGCAGAGCTTTTATGAAAAAATGGGTTAACCCTAGCTGGACCTGGCACCCAGACCACTTCATTAAGCTGAAGTGGCCTGGGTGCCTAGAGTGGTCCTTTAATGTTATGGTTATGGTTAAAGCTAAAGTCTGGACTAGAAGTAGAGCTATGGGTTATTTAAATCATAGGGATTTTTAGGAACTGCACTAATACAAACATACAAAAAGAGCAGCTGCTGTTTTTAATGAAGTATCCCATTCCTTTTTATATAGGACTAGACAGGAGCTGAGAAACAACTATAACTTTTTTCTTCTTAGCCTTTCTTCTGACATATCAGTCAGAGTCAGATTTGCCACTAGCCTGCCTTGGGCAGCAGGCAGAAGAGAAGTGACATGGCCAGTGGGGAGTTTTAACACCTCTCTCATGGGCCAACCTATTCTCCTGCTGTGTAGCTCAGGCAGACTGGGGAGATATCCTGGTCGGCCCCTGCAGGACCGGTGTGCATCTGAGGATCTCCCTTGTAATATTTCAGATTACTGCAGCAATGCTCTGATACATTTCCCGGCTGTAAAATATTGCCAATTCTATTCACATTAGATATGGGTGTCTGTATTGAGCACATGTAAGAGATGGTATCAGTAAGTCACATAGCTTTTTTTTGTCTGAGAATTCGGGAATGTGGTTCTGAACCAATAGGAATCACCCTAAAAACAGCATTGCTTAACTACACCCAGCACTCACAAGCAACCAGGCCCTGCAGAATCTTCTAAGCAGAGGTATCATCTCTGGAAGATCTATTCAGGAATTCCTGTTCTACTTATTGTTTCTTTTTATTTCTTAATTTAAAATTGTGTTCTTTTCCACCTTAAGGGGTTAAATAGACAATCCACTGTACAAATACAAAATAAAGAAGAAAAAAACAGTTTAATAGATATAGTCCAAATGAAAACGTGCATGTATTTAATTATGCATATTTTCATTGGAGTTATATCTAAAAACAGTTCACAAAATTTGCAGTTTTCTTGTCTGTTGCCTTTGCAAGCCCTCCTCTAACCCCACCCAGACATTCTGTGGCTGTCCAAACACAGATTTTCCAATGCTGTTCAATGAGAAGTATTTGCTTGGCAGGCAATCTGAGCAATTGCTGCCTCTTGAGTTTAGCTCCACGGAGCTAACCAAACCAGGAAGTAACAGGACCTACTGGCTGCTTGAAAGCCAGAGGGGTGTAACCAGGTTACTTAATAAAGGTGTAAATTTTAATTAAAATCTACACTTTTTGTATAAATTAGGACACACTTTTCACACATAAGCTTTTCAGCAAACTAAAGTACTTTAGAGGTCTGGAGTGTCCCTTTACAGTTTGGGGTGTTATATTTTTGGTTGAGAGTTTTTCCACTAGGGGTACCCAAAAGGTAGATCCCCAAACGTTTTAAAACTACAGATTCCATGAAGCTTTGTCATTCTAAAGGCATGCAAAGCATCATGGGAGATGTAGTTCTACAATATCTAAGGATCTACCATTTGGGCAACCCTGTTTAGCACAATATTTTTCTGCAGCTGTTTTTGAAAGTAGCTAGTACCTTTATCACACTAATAACTTGATTTCTCATATTTCAGGATATCAGAACATATATCTTTTTTGGAGGATAACTGGTTTCCTGATACCTGTTCCCAATTATTTATATAAGTAATGTCATGGTCCTTTTTATAAATATAAAAGTGTTGTTTATTCAACTGTCCTCTAGATGTCACTTTTGTGCTGCTAAAATTTGAAGCTTTTTTAAAGTTTGTATACCAGTCACTTTAATGTGTTCTTTTTTTTTTTTTTTTTTTTTTTTTTTTTTTTTTTTTTTTTTTAATTCTTTATTTTTGTGGTGCATTCAGTTAATACAGTCGCTTGTTGTGCCACAATAGCAATAACAAGTAGAGTGGGTGACATTGTTAAAACAGGCTTGTGGAATAGAAAGGTACTGCACACATTTTTTAACAGATTGGTAAACAGGATTTTCCCCTGGTTTTCATAAAAAACAAAAGGTAACTTTTCTTGGCTAACTAGGAAGCATTACCCAGTAGTCACAATAAAAGGAAAACAGGCTAAGACATGGAATTATATGACTGAGCTAAACACATCTATCGCGGTGTCTGCCTATGCAGAGTCATTATGTTAATGTAATTTTAAATGTGCTATACTGGGTGAAAATACGACAAGCTTCAAGTAGATAACCATGGGATAAAGGCTTGTTCCTCATGTCTAAGCTATAGAACTTGTTTTGGTAGCTCAGAGAGGCTGGCTAGGCATGAGGGGTAAAACTCTATAATAAAACGTTGCTTGTCATGCTTATGTTTCGAAGGTATGGAGCCATCTCTACATGGCTCACTATTTTTAATGCAGTATGTGTGTAAAGAGAAGTCAAGCTGGCATTAGCTATTAAGGTAAAGAGTCATTGATAACGTTCTGTCCCTACGGTAGCAACTAAAGAGAAATGTTGTGGTTACTTGATGCGGGTAGTCCGCACATCGAGGACTGTAAGCGTGCCCTCCATATGCAGGTGAGGCATGTCCACTTGAGGGGCACAAAGGCAGGCCTTTAGCCGATGCCCGTTGCTTGAACGTGTCTCTTGCCATCGACGTTTGACTCCTCGAAGGCGCCCCTGGACTGGGACTCCGCTCCAGCAGCTTTCAGTGGCATGTTTAGCTGTGCCTCTCCCCAGTTTGCGGTTGTAGCTTGGAGGGACGGGTTCAAGCTCCGCCGAGCGCCGGTTCTCGGGTCAGGTGAGTAGCTGGCGTGGAAGGCTGGTTTAATGGTCTTTGTCTCCTTAATGTGGGGGCAGGTGCGGTCGCCCATGGAACATGGCGTTGTTTCCCGCCCATGAGAGCGGCGGTGTTTGCGTAGCCTGGCGGCCTTCCCGGATGCTTGTGGTGGGTGTCTATAATGGCGCCGGCGGGTCACTGGACGAATCCATGTAGCCACTAGTTTTGCTGCCAGGCGGTAAGCCATTCCGCGTTCGCGCAGCATTGTCCAGAGGCTCTCGCAAAGCCGGTCAAATTCCCGCAGGGGGTGTGTGGATGGTTGGGCGTATGTGCTCTGCTTTTGGGGTCCTCGATGGGCGGCCATCTTTGCTGCGTCCTAGTGGCCTGGTGGTTGCCGGAGCTGTGCTGGCCGCGTGGGACAGTTCTCGCTTTGGTTTTCCCGCTGTGTCTCAAGCTTGAAATACCGGGATATCCCTCACCGGCAGGGGGGGGGAAGTGTACCGGGGAGACCTTCAAGTGAATGGCTGCAGGTGGTATGGATATCAGGCACCTCCCTCGCCTTGTCTGAGTAGGCCTCGGGTCTATCTCCGGTTAGATGCCTCCGATTTCGGTCGGGATAGTTGTCGCTGGGCTCTGCATTTAAGTGCTCACTTCCCTAAGTCGTTTAATCAGTTCTGATCATCTCTGCATTTGCGCCGTCCAATCATAGGTTTCTCATAGTGAAGCTTGTGAGTGAAAAATTTTGCATTGTCTTTTTAAATTGGGAGACACATAAGGAGGATCAAGGATGTGTGATATTCCTGTACAAAGCACAATATTGGGTTCAGCTACATTTTCCGAGTGGAACAATACCCACAATGTATGTCGTAGACATCATCCTGTGAACAGAGGCGTAACTAGAAACTACCGGGTCCCAGTGCAAAAAATGCACTGAGCCCACCCATGTGTCTCATCTTTACCCAGCCCTACCAAGGGTCTTATTCTCGCTACCCAGCCCCTCGATGAGTCTTATCCCCCCCCTCCCCCTACATCCCCTTTCATACCTGTTCTCCATGTTTTCAGCTGTACATGCATAGTGGCCAGGCCCCCTGTAGTGACAGGCCTGTAACCGTGGTAGTTACACCATTGCCCTTAAAGCTACAGACCTAATATTTGACAGACCTAAGTCTCTTTTTAGGGGAATCATAGCAGTTTGTTCAAATAACCCAATGAAGACCAACCATTTGTGAAAGTAGACGCTCTGGAGTATCACATATGGTGTATATTGTGCCTTAATGTGTTGCTGTTTTCTCACCATTTATGTAAAAATGTTGACATGCATGTTGCATTTTTACTAGATATTTTGTAAATCAGATGTGTGCCACTGTGATAAACGTCAAAAACAAATTATGCTCAGCAATGTCTTCTGAGTACAAAAATGCCCTCAATGTATGGATTTGCACTATTTTGTGATATTGCAGTGCCAAATAAGAGAGCATTCTAACATTTGCTACTTCATACTACCTCACTAAAGCCTACCATTTCTTAAAGAAGCCTCGGGATATCTCAAATAGCATATTTTAATCCTTATCTTGGGGCCATTTTTCACTAGTTTGTACCAAGTGTAGTGGGAATAACCATATTTCTGCCTTTTTAACACTCATATTAAAATTGTCTTGCATATTTTGTAATCCTCATTTGTTCCTCAATAGTAGTCTCAGCTATGTCTTCTAAATACAGCAGCAACTTCATGTGTACCTTTACCAGGTATATGTGGATGTCTAAGGGGCAAATATGAGACAAGGACATTTCAGATTTTTCAAACTTTGAATTTTGATACTGGGCCCATTTTCCATTTTGGAGCATTCTAGCAGATTGTTTGTTCAAACTACCCCAGATGCCTAGCATTTCTTGAAGACACTTCAGGGTATCTCAAATTTCTTATTTTGATCCTTATCATGGGGCCATTTTTCAGCTAGTTTTTACCAAGTGTAGTGGGAATACGTGTGTTTTATGTCTTTTTGACACTCATTGAGATTTTCTTTTGTAATCCTTGTGTGTGCTACAGCATTAAAATAACTAATGTGTCTCTCAGCTATGTCTTCTGAGTACAGCAATACCTCCATGTGTACCTTTGTCAAGTATATGTCGATGTTTAAGGGGCAAATATGAGAAACAGCCATTTCATTTTTTTCAGATTTAGAATTTTGATGCTGGGCCCATGTTCCATGTATGGCCAGGCTTCAACTATAAAGGGAGTGCTCGTGAAGCAGTACGGTGGGAGAGGACTTCAAAATCTGGATGGTCCCGCCAAAAGAGGGACTATTGTGAGGTCTACCTTTACACAGTGGCACCCAAACAAATACAAAGATGTTTTGGTAGAAAAGTATATCATGGATTGTAAATAATTGTAAATCTAAAGCGGATTAGCACAATAATGGTGACTAAATTCACTTCCAGTTACGTCAATATGTTTATGGAATATTGGGAAGGGAGTTTGTTGTTAGTAATCACGGCTGGGCGTGAAGTTTAATAGATTATACTATTTTTGTTTGGAATGGTACACCAGGGTCTTTGATAGAATGTATTGCATTTTAAATAGAAATGATTGGGGCATTGTTTAATCTCTATTGTTAGCCAAGGGGAAATTGTATTTAAGAGTATTTGAAAGAATTTATTGCATTTTTAAATGGAAATGATTGTGAATGATTTCTTTAATCTCCTGTTTTAGCCAGAGAGAAATTGTATTTTTAGGTTTGCAAGTATTACAGATTCTGGAAGAATGAAGACCAACGTGCATTTTAAACAGATAGATATGAATAATCATATTGATTTTATTAGTGGACACTTTTACCCAAGGTGACAAATATTTCCAAGTGCCATTTGTTTTGAATAATTATTACAATTATTTAAAAATACAAGTAATTAAATGTTTGCATTTTTTTTTTTAGATATAAAAATTATCCTATGTAGGGCTGAGAAAACAGCTTTTAAAGGATAAACACACAAATATTTAGAAGGAGAATACCATCAATATGAATTTGGACTAGACTAGAACATATATTAAAACAATTAAATAAATATTGACATTAATTTTTTTTTTTATATTATATATATGTTGGGAAGTAAGCTTAAAATCTGCTCTTATTAAAAGCTATTTGTAAGATCCTCTGAAAAAAAGGCTTTTTTTTTTTATTGTGGTCAGTTCTATTAATGCTCTTTAATGTGTGTAGTGAGCATTTATATAAATATTTTTATAAATTAATTTTCTTTTTTTATTACATGCGGGTCTTAGGATATGGTACAGTGGTATTTATAGCAAAATTATGGATTGCTAAAGGAACTCTGGGCACTATGTCAACTTCATCTCATTGGGCCAGGATGATGTCTTAATTAAAAGATTAAACTGTTTATAAATGTTTAACATCATCAGCACTTGTCCTCCTGGCCCCTATGCCTCCTCCTCTTGCCCCTGCTTCAATGTGGAAGCTTTTGACTAGGTGCCAGTTATAGGCTGAGAGCATCACTTTTAACAGTTTAACTCCTGAAAGTAAGACAGTACTCAGTATACCACTTTTATTATGAATATACCACTTGATATATTGCTTATATAATATATATTATGAATTATTTTGAGTATGAATTTTTTTTGTGCATTTTTAGCCTCTTAAACTTTGGTTATGGAACTGGAAAAGCCCTAAAATACAGGTTGGTTTTAGTGGACTTTTTATTGTGGAGATGTTACCATAACAACCACAGGTCTGAAAAATTCCATTCGGCAAGACACCAGGCAGAATATGCAATTGTAGCGCAGCAGATTTTCATATTAATTAAGAAACGCATATTGTGGGTTTAAAGGAACACTACCTGCATTATAACCACAACACTACACTGCAAACCTGTTTAGTACAAGTTAATACCTTACCTGGATCATGTTGCAGAATCCAGGGTATCTAAGCCTGAACAAGAGGAAGATCTGTTTTACTCGTTAGTGCTCACCAGGGTCTTGATACCTTAACGTGAGACAGGGTAAATGCACTCCTGGCACCAAAACCACTACAGTAGATTGTGGTGTTTATGGTGCTTGGAGTGTTCCTTTAAACACTAAAGGGTTCCCCCCTTCTGAAAGAGTAAGCTTTGCCTTTTAAAGGGACACTACAGGCACCCAGATCACTTCATCTCACTGAAGTCGATTGGGTAGTATATCGTGACCCACTTTCCCATTTTAACCCTGCAGCTGAAAACAGCAATGTTTTCCTTCCAATGCATTCCTATGGGAAAGCATTAAATTGGCTGAGCTCATCGATCTAGGTAATCTGAGACAAGGAAATTGGACGGCAGCATAAAGACCAGTGCTGCGGAGGAGAAAAGGTAAGTACAACAAGCTTTTATTTCTCCCTACAGGAGGGAGCCAGGGACCTGAACGGTCACCAGGGCGTTATAGCATTAGCAAGGCACTTATGTATTCCTAATGTTATTGTAACGAGCGCTTACCTTTCCTCGCCGGTCCCGCGCAGTGCCGGGTCCTCCTCCAATACTTCCGGGGGGCCCACTATAAAAGGGCTATCATGACACTTGTCAGATGCCCTAGTGTGGTTCTTGTTTAAAGTCCCCTGGTGTTATTATCTCTGCTTGTCCTTCTTGGTATTTGACCCTTGGCTATCTCTTCGACTATTCTGTTTTCTGGTTTCCCGTTACTTGGCTTGGATAATCGTGTGCCCGTCTTCCGTATTCTCTTGACCTCTGGCTATTCCTTTAACTATTCTCAGACGCTAGTCCGGCCATTCTAAGGTCCGGTAACCGTCTTTCTGTGGGTTTCACGCTGTGTGAAGGGGTCACTGTTGTGACATTGGTCACTGTCGTGACAGTTATAGTGTTCCATTAAGTTTTAAATGTTTATTTAAAAAAAAAAAAAGAAAGGTATGACAAATATATGTTTTGTATATTTTCCGGTAACTAATGAGCGCTAGGCAGTGGTGGCTCGTCAGGACATCCAGCATCAGTTAGGCAACCAAAAGTTGCCTAACCACCTGGAAGTCCCTCTTGTGGCTGTCTTGTAGACAGCCACAAGAGGTAGAGTAACCCCACAAAGTTAATTATTGCAGTTTAAAAAAAAAAAAAAATGCAATAATTAGCTTTGCAGGGTTAAGCTACCTGGGACACTGCAACCAGACCACTTCAATGAGCTGAAGTGGTCTGGGTGCCTACAGTGTCCCTTTAAACTCGCTTACTGTGTTAACCTCTACCACTTCCGCTGGAAGGCTATTCCATGCATTCATTACCCTCTCGGTAAACTAATAATTCCTGACCTCCCCCACTACAACTCCTGACCCCACCACTACAGCCCCCGGCCCTCTGAAACAGTAAATAATGTACAATTTTGTGAATTTAAGTCTAATAAATTAGGGATAATTTTTAAATACAGTTACAGTACATAATTTAGGAACTTCTATTTGTTCTTTTGATTGTTACAGGTATACAGGTACCTGGCGTGTACTGTATGTACGTGAAGGTTTAATTCAAGCTGAAATAGGACGAAGGCTAGGCTTCATTCGAACTACAGTTAACATCGTCATGAAAAACAGAGAAAAAATTCTGGCAGAAATTAAGAGTGGAGGGGGAGGCGGTGCCACAGGTGAAAAAAACCCGATTATAAAACTATACAAGCATATATACTAGACACTACATAAGAGAGAATACATTCAAGATTTAAAAAAAAAAGTTTGAAATATAGATAATGAATAATAATCAGGAGTCCAAAAAGTACGTCCAAAAGAGTCTATGCCGGATAAATACAGCAAAAAGTCTAAATAAAACCTTGTATAAGAAATCAATCACAATCTTGTCAGGGGAAATATTCCTCAGTAAGTTATGGGCATTGGATATTCATGAGATCAGTATGAAAATATAAAAGGACAGCAAATAATGGTGCAGTATATCCCAACAGGTACTAGGTACTATTTTGTAAAGTCTATATGGTCCTACTCACATTTTCCAGAGCCATAAAACTAGCTCTAGTGTGGGTGGCATACAGTGGTACAATCCCAACTTATGGGATACGTGAAGTTTTGAAGTAGATGGATATATGAAATATAAAAGAAACAATAATAGTGCTTATTGTATAAAAACCAGAGGTGAAATAATAAAATACCAAGTGGTTACTCACAAGTTATTGAGCAGACAGACTGCTCAATGAATAAAGCTTGAGTGGTATAATCCCCACCAAGTATTTTTTGGAGTAAAATTCTCACTGGAACAATAAAAACTCTGGTGCCAAGTATAAATAAATAAATGAGTAAAATGGCTGACTCACAAGTTGAAAGTGGCCAAAATACCTTTCATAAAATAAAGCAATTAAAATACAACAACGCATTTCCCCCCCTAAGGGCTTTCTCAAGTGGATACAAAATATGAAAACATGTACCTGACAACACTGGCTTTGTATAGGCCTCAGATTACTTGATTTTAGCGCCAAAATGACATCATGGACTCATAACTTTATTATAGAACATGTTTCAGCCATATTAATGAGGGCAATGAAACATGTGTCAGCCATATTAGGGAGGGCAATGAATGAAAGTGGAAGGAGGGAATGAATGAATAAAACATATATGTGACAAGTAGCAAGTGCAAATATGGTTACTCAGACCAGGGTTTTTTTTAGCATACATTTTAAGATATGATAGTAGAAAATTATAATAAATAAAAAGGTCACAGTAAATTGCAAATGTCAGAGAAAAATATATATGAAGATTTAAAAGAGCATATGTAAATATAGGGTAAGAATAAAGTAAAATAAAATAACATTAGTGTGACAAAAGCACCTTTGTCACTGGGATTTGGATAGGCCTGGTTGCCAGCCTCTTGCCCTGTGACTATGGCCCCTGGGATGTATTGCCCTTTAAAAGCTTTATTTGGGCATATTGGATTTTAAAACACTTTTTCTGCCCCTTTAAATCCATGGGAAAATGTGCCTCTTCCCCCTCCCCCTTTTTCCTGTCCTATTGTTCTCCAGCAGGGTGTTGTCCCAGGGACAATGCCAGACCAGTTTAAACTGGCTGCTTTGTCTCTCCTCAACCTCCCATCAGCCCTTACTATTCTGTGAACCATTCCTTGTACCATAGGGCACTCTTACCTTTGGACATATTAAACACTCAGATCCACGCTATCTGGGGATATGTTGGACATATAGGTTAAACATTGTATTATAAGAGTTATGTATTTTTATGTGGTTTTTGTAACAGTTTCTGACTTAGAGATATTTCCTGTACCTGGAGATAATTAAGTTACCACAGCCACTTAAGCCAATTATCTCCAGGATAGAGAAGATAGACCGGCCGCACAGCCTAAATCTGTAGAACTGTTTTGGGCATGAAAGCCATGCTTGCGGTCAGTCAAATGTGACTTCCATAAAAACTTTTTAACCCCTGCTCTGACCTAGGTGATTTTTGGATATGTTGTTCACCCAGATCAGGGCTATCCAGGGATGTATATGGGGATTTGTTATGTTTTGGGGCGTTTTCTGGACTTTGGGGAAAATTTGGGTTTTTCTGCCTGTGGATAATTAGGTTATTGTATTAGCTGCTTTAATTATATCCCAGGCAGAGGGGAGAACTTGTGTGCTGTATGTGGGAGTGTCGGACATTATTGTATTGTTTTGATTGGTTTGTGTCCTTTGTGTCCTGTGCTCCACAAGGTCAACGTGGGTGGTAACCTTGTGGGGAAAATTTGTATAAAAGAAATGACTTTGTGCTTATTAAACAGACTTGTTCTACCCTTCATGAAGTTTCGGCTCATGTTTGGGGGATTGGAGAACTACCCACACTCTGGGGATTGCTATAAATACTATTCTCCCCAGAGTAAGCTCTTGTAAGAGCTTGTTCCTGTTCCTGCTCTCTGGATTTAGGAGAGGTCTGCCTACTGGAAGCTGGTCCCTGGTCTTGGGCCCAGAGTAGGAGGAAGACGGCGAGACCCCAACCAAGCGGCGGCAGTTCGTGGGGTCTGCGGTGGTTATGGTATCTAGTGGAGTGCTTGGAGCCCTCGGGAAGCAGTAGGAGCGTCCGTCAATGGAAGTTACCCAGTCATGGTGCCAGGCAATCCGTTACAATTAGTATTATTTTATCTTATATGTATTCTCTCTTATGTGTCTTGTATATATGCTTGTATAGTTTTTATCTAAGTTGGGCAAAAAGGGCATTCAGCAATCATTGGAGATCTCAAGTTGTGTCTATCTCTTAGTAGTTGATATTGCAGGTCTCAGCAGCATGTAAACAAGAAGCAGTCCCTGAAGAAGTCCCTGAGTGGAATGAAACACGTTGGATAGATTTTATTTGTATTTGATGCGGACTGATTTTTACTTCTGTGTAAGTAATAAATATATTTTTATACTATACTTCAATCTACTTTTACCTTATTCTGGATGCACTTTGTTTTACATGCTGCTGAGACCTGCAATATTAACTACTATGAGAGAGACACAACTTGAGATCTCCAATGATTGCCCTTTTTATTCAATCAAAGTGTGAGTGACCCATTGGCATTAATAATTACCTTATCTGGGTTTTACAGAGTTGCACTATGTTTTATCTTTATTTCCCCTAGTTGGATTCACCCTATTTGGTTTGCATTTTGGGGGCTTATGCCTGTTACAAAGAAATCTACAGGGAAAACAAGAGAGCTACACTTCAAACCTCCATAGACACGTTTCTAAAAAGTCCATCAGCACACAGATCATCAATATTGACTGACAGTCATTTTGATCCCAGATCATCATTAACTGACAGTCCATATTCAGCTCTGACATCACCACCACGTCCTTCTCCTACTCTTATTGCTACTTGTAGTACACCCAATTCACCAGCAAGAAATAATTTTTTCTTTGAAGACTTGACTTGTGAAACAAGATACCTGTATGCTTTCATCCTTCCTATTAAAATCAATTCTTACAGCTGCCCTGCCTTGCAACAACAATAACATAGGGTAAGCTTACAATTTTTCTTTTAATATTGTGTTTATTTTAGTTATCAATGCATTATTTATATTAGTTATGCCTGCAAATGACTATTGCAATGCAGTACATGCATTGCAAAGTGAAAAAAGGTATTGCTTCACTTTAAGTAAATTTTTGTTTTACATACATGCTCTGGTCCCATTGTGTACTTAAAAGTGGGGTATGCCTGTACTTCCTGATATTTTTAAACTTCTGCCCCTCTAATTTAAGACTATGTCCTCTTGCTGTGGTAGTTTTTCTTCTCTTAAATCAACTCCCCTTCTTTACTGTGTTGATTCCAATGATGTATTTAAATGTTTCTATTATATCCACCTGTCTCGTCTTACCTCTAAAAACTATACATATTAAGATCCTTTAACCTTTCCTGTTTTGTTTTACCCTAAAGTCCATGAACCAGTTTAGTAGCCCTTCTCTGAACTCTCTCCAAAGTAATATCCTTCTGGAGATACGGTCTCCAGTACTGTGTACAATACTCCAAGTGAGGTCTCACCAGTGTTCTGTACCATGGCATGAGCACTTCCCTCCAAGGTGGGTGCAAGGATTTTTGACACCCTAGACAAAACTGTACTTTGTTTCCCACTTCCACAATTAAAAGCACACATCAAGCACCATCATAATAAACGTATAACATTTACACAGTTTAGTGCACAAGTAGGTGTGACGGACCGCCTGCCACCCGACTAGGTGCCTCCGTCGAACAATGCTCCTAGTGCCCGCCAAGGACCATCAGCACCGCACTCGACACCATAACCACCGCAAACCCCACAAACCATGGCAGCTTGGTTGGGGTTTTGCCTTCCTCCACCAACCCTGGACCCACGACCGGGTTTCAGCTTCCAGTGGGTGAACCTCTCCTTAGTCCAGAGAGCGAAACAGTAACAGGAACAGCTCTTACAAGAGCTAGTGATTATACTCTGGGGAGTAAAGTGATTATAGTAATCCCCAGAGTGTAGTTCTCCAATCCCCCAAACATGAGCCAAGACTTCATGAAGGGTAGAACATGTCTGTTTAATGCAAGCCAGCACTTACAATTTATACAATTCCTCAGGCCAGAGTGACACCCCCTGGACCTGATGAAACACAGGCACACAAAGGCCACAAACCAATCAGAACAATACAACAATGTCTGACACTCCCACATACAACACACAAGCCCTCCCATCTGCCTGTGATACAATTAACTAAGACAATTGACTAACTCAATTAACTCTAAGCAGAAAAAAACATACATTTTTACAAACCCCAAAAAGTACCCCAAAATACAACATATCACCACAAAAGTCACATCCCCTTGTGGCAACACACTCAGATATGAAACAAGGACACTCCAGATACACACAGGTCGTTGAAAAGCAAAGGCTTTATTAGTTTGCAGCTACAAAGTCCCAGCACCTTTATCTTAAACAACACGATGTACTGGACACTGGTCAATTTCCAAACAAAGAATATATACTGTAAATGACGTATTCCATACGTATACATAAAATACAGAAATTACACCTACATTTCTATGGTTATATCCAATTACTAAACTGAAACTTATCTCTTACACATGTTATCTAATAGTGGGCGTTCCTGACATTCCACACATGTGCCCTGGTCCAAGATAGTTGCACAGTAGTTTTAATCATCTGAGTACTGAACTTTACTTAAACATCCTGTAGCTTCTACCACACCCTGATAGCCCAGATCTGGGTGAACAACGTATCCAAAAATCAACCAGATCGGTTCAGGAATTTCTTGGAAGTCTTATTTTTGCCCCATCATGCACATGGCACCATGCACATGGCCCCATGCCCAAAACAGTTCAATACACTTGACGGCAAAACACTGCTGGACAATTTAAGATGGCCGCCGCCACGTTTGAATCTGTTCCAATTAAAAGTCCAAGGGGCAGAAACAGTTCCTTTAAAATCCAATATGCCCAAATAGTGTTTTTAAAGGGCAATATATACAAGGGGCCATAGTCACAGGGCAAGAGGCTGGCAAGCAGGCCTCTCCCAATCCCAATGACGAAGGTGCTTTCATCATAGTAGGTCCCATCATGGTCTACCTAAGCTTAGATGCTGAAGCAATATGCATAAAAATACCTTAATATTCACCTTCCCTATTTCAATAGTGTTTTGCAATGAACCTAAAACAAATCCTCACCTCCTTTGGTAGCCTTTGTCAAAGGTTTCAATTTGTGCAAATTGTGTAGCTGCAGGTTTGGCCAGATTAATTACCAAAAATAATTAACAAAAAAAACTTAAACAGGGCTGTGACGAGACCAATCTCGCCACATTGCATTGGAGAAGCCTGGTTGCTCGCCTGCTGCCTTTGGACTATGGCCCCATGTTAAAAGACTTTGTTTCGCCTGCAGAAAAGCTTTATTCGTGCTTGTCTGCCGGTTGTTCGGTAGATTCAATCTACCGAACAACCGCACGAATGGATAGACCACCTGGGAGCTGGAGTGTGCCGGCAATTAACCTCCCTGAAGCTGCGGCTAACCGCAGCTTAATTGACGAATGCTGGGTGGCCGCCATTCGTATCCCGAACACGAGGTCACGGCCATTTTAAACATACGAATGCACAGCGGTGTTCGACGCTTAATTCATGGAACTAAAATCGGACACAGTTTTGCGCGAACACCGCTGAAGCCGCCGACCTCCCATCTTGTTCGGTGGAAGTACACGAACGGCCGGTGTTCGGTAGTTCTACTTGTCTATGTTATACCCCAGATAGGAATCCCATGGAGCCCATTCATATGAAACTGACTGTGTAAAGACTTTGGCTCCATGGCGATTGAACTGTATTCGTGTGGTCTGAGCGCCATTCGCTTAATAATGTGCGCTCAGACCTGAGCTATCTGGGGATATGTTAAATGTATAGTTTTAATGTAATATGTCTCACATAGTGTATTTTAATAGTAATTCCTGTTTTAGTATCTCCACGTGATAGAGACTGATTGCTAGGCGTGTAAGCCGCTTGGATGCTTTTCCTATTCGTCTGGTAGCAGCAATTCGTATGGTTCCTGTTCGTGTGTTTGGAGTGCTATATTGGATGCCGTTCGGGAGTTTGGAGCATTCACTTATTGGCGGCTCGTGTGTTTGGTGTTCTGCAGTAGCTGTGCCTGCATCTCTGGAAAGGGGGCCGATCGCCTAAACGGTTTTTACCCCTTTTGTGCAAAAGGGTCCATTACAGGGGCTATTGAGTATATAAAGTAATAGATGTTGCACTACTAGAGACTACTTCGCCACATATCCTACAAACCCAGAATCTCCATGGATATGGAAAATGCATAGCATTTCAAAACACATTTTACAGGCAAAGGGATTAACATATATGCACCTGTCTTGTAAAGACTTCTTCTTATTATTATTATTATTATTATTATTTATATAGCGTCAACAAATTCCGTAGCAATTTACAATGAGTGGACTAACAAACATGTAATTGTAATCAGACACAGTTTGACGCAAAGAAACGGAGGGGTTGAGGGTCCCGCTCAATGAGCTTGCATGCTAAAGTGGGTTAAAGTGACACAAAAGGTAAGGGAATAGATTGGTAGAATAGTATTCACTGAATACTTAGTTTGGGTTTTTTTGTTTTGTTTTTTAATAACAGTTGCAGGAGATTGCATTGGATGTCTGCAGCTACAGAAAGTCTCAGTGGGATTTGGGATTTGAGATGGCTGCAGAGAAGAGATCTGCAGCTTTTGCAATGTGGTTTTAGATATAACCCCAATGAAACAATGCATAATTAAATACAGACATTTTCATTGGAGTTATATCTACTAAACAGTGTTTTTTTGTTTTATTTATTTTTCTGTTGGGCAGTGGAGTGTCTCTAATATTTTTATTATACACCTAAATACACAGTGCAAGTAGAGAATTCATAGCACATATATGCACAGTGCAAATAAAGAACTCAACAAACATTCACACAGCAAGTGAAGACATCAAAGACACACATCCAAACAGTAGGAAAGTGGCCACAGACAAATCTATACAAGGCAGACAAGGGGTTAACAAACACAGTACAGATAACTAGTCAAAATAATCATAAACCCCACAGGCAAGTGATTTAGACACATAAACTGCAGGGTATAGCTAACAGATAATAAAGAATAGGTAATACACCTATAAATATGCACATCAAACAATAGGCTCAAAGCACACATGCAGTGGCGTATACACGACCCATGGGGCCCCGGTGCGAAAATTGATCCATGGGCCACCCTCCCCCCGTGCTTACTCTGCGCGGGCCAGGGCCACAACACATGGCGGCGGGCACCTGGTCGCAGGGCTGCGACCCCTGTGAGCGCGGTATGTACGTCAGTGCATGCAGATACACATACACTTAAAGGACCACTACAGACACCCAGATCACATCAGCTCAATGAAGTGGTCTGGGTGCCAGGTCCCTCTAGTTTTAACCCTGCAGCTGAAAACATAGCAGTTTCAGAGAAACTGCCTGAGCCCCCCAGGAGAAGAGGCTGGCCAAACTGTCATACATACTGGGTCACAGGGCGGCAAAGCCCCCTGGTGGGCCGGGCCCAGTCGCAGCCGCGACCCCTGTATGTATGCTACTGCACACATGCTTACAGCAGGTAAATGGTTAACGTATTGTAGATATGAAGTAGTGCTGACTGGGGTCCCTCTCTTGGTGCCAGAGCTGAGCACTTACAGTTATGTGCACACAGGGAGAGGGTGAAAACCTTTGGATCCTGCTTTCTGCAGCCTGATAACCTCCAGCCTCCTCCTGCACACTGTCTATAATGCTGCCAGGGAGGCAGCTAATCAGTGTGTACAAACATTTCACCTACCAAACTACTCAACTCTGCCTGGCTGCCATCCTGGATCCTATCCTTCTACTAACCCCTTCATTCTATTTCCTGCTGATTTCAGGAAGCAGCAGTGAGGCCCCTGCAGTGCTTGCGTCTCAATTTCTTCCCCTGTGGCTGACACAGGATCTTCACTGACAGCAGACTTTGGTGACATAGATCGTCTCTTCCTACACACAGCCTTAAATGGCATCCCCCAGAGGCTGGTTCCCTAGGCAAGTGCCTGTCTTGCCTAATGGAATCGCCGGCTCTGCTTCCCTTTCAACTGCTAATACCTCTCCCTATACAACCAAGCATTCTGCTAGCATTTCCTGCTGCTCTATTACATTGTCTGCCTACCTTTAAGTCATCAGAAATAATCACCCCTAAATCCCTTTCCTCAGATGTTGAGGTTAGGACTCTATCAAATATTCTGTACTCTGCCCTTGGGTTTTTACGTCCAAGATGCATTATCTTGCACTTATCTACATTAAATGTCAGTTGCCACAACTCTGACCATTTTTCTAGTTTACCTAAATCATTTGCCATTTGGCTTATCCCTCCTGGAAAATCAACCCTGTTACATATCTTAGTATCATCAGCAAAAAGACATACCTTGCCATCAAGACCTTCTGCAATGTCACTAATAAAAACCCCTTAAGGTAAGAGTGCCACCAGGGGCCTCCTGGCACCATAGAAATTACATGTAGATGGTGTTCTGGTGCCTGGAATGTCCCTTTAAAGAATTCTAAGCCATATTATAAACAGGCTGTGTGTTTAAGATAACTTTCCAGTTGCGTTTCGTACATATATTACTTGTTTTACTATTTGTTTTTTTTTTCCTGCTTGTTATGTGTCTTATATTGGTTTTCTCTTGACAGAATCAAGAACCCACATTCACTTCCTTAAAAAAGAAGCCAAACAAGTAGTTAAGTGCTTGTCCCTGCATTCTGCTGACACGCCTGACTGCTGAGCTCACTGGCTGGGAGGGGAGGTGAGAGCAGACAATGTAATTCTCCATCACATGACCAGGAACTATTACATCCTCCATTCAATGTTATTTTTACACAAGAGCACCGGCGAAGCTAAACAAGACAAGAAGCTAAACAAGACATAAGGCTGATAGGGGTGAGCAATTTATTAAAGAGATTGGTGTTTCAGAAGGTTTTAATATAAAAAGTTCAGAAAATTATACTAATTGCTTGTTAACAAAGAACAGATGTAAACTAAAATGTGTTAATACTTTTAAATTAGTTTTATTCCTTTCTCATATAACACTATCAAAACAAAGCTATTCGATACAATGTATTTATTAATGTACAATGTTTACTGGCTCAGTTTAGACATTTTAGTTTTGGTTAATATTGTGTGAGTTTAACCCCTTAAGGACACCGCTTCAGAAGCATTTTTTGCTGTTTGTGTTCAACTGCAATTTGCATCTTTCTCATTTATTGTACCAACACATTTACTGTTTTTTTTTTAGACGACAAGAGGGGCTTTAATTTGATGTGACATATACATATATAAATTCTCATGTATTACAAAACAAATGCAAAATAATGGGGGGGAGGGGCATACAATTTTTTTTTCCAAGTTTTGGCAATAATAACGTGTGCATAATATGTCCAGCTTAGGAAAAGTAATTCAAAATCAATTCATTCATGTGTTTTGATTTAAGTACATTATATGTGTAGAATTTCAGTTTATTTTGAAAGTTAAAGGTAACAAACTACTAGGTCTAAAATAAAATTTCAATTTGCAACAATTTCAGAAGTTGGTATGTTTGTCTTGGAACAAAAAACAAAATTGCCACACAAAAGTATATATTTCTATAAAGTAGACATCACTGGTTATTTTGACACTTTTTACGAAGCCATTTCACTGCCAATCTCTGCTAAATATTGGAGTCAACTTGTGTTTTTTCTCTATTTTTGCATATACACATTTAACAAGGTTTTTGTAATGTGTATTTCGTAAAGCTGGTGGTGTGTGCTATCCCTGTACAGGACCCCATATTGTGTTTAGCTACATCTGCTGAGTACACCGATACCCCCATTGTATATCTTTGCCACTATTCTGTGAAGCTACAATGCCATATAGGAGACCATGCTATTTCAGTTTATATAGTTGGAATTTTCTTAGATGTCATATGTCCTGATTTTGTGGCATTATAGCCATTTGACTGTTCAAATAACCTCACAGAGGCCTTCCATTTGAGAAAGCAGACACTCCAGGGTATCTTATTAGGCATATATTATACCTTAACTTGCCACCATTTGTTCACCAATTTATTAGAATTTTTAAATATATATTTTTACATACATGTTGCATTTTTGCTGGGTATTTCGTACATTTGATAAGTGCCACTGTCATAAATTCCCCCTAAGTATGCTCAGTTACCTCTTCTGAGTAAAACAATAAGCCCAGTGTATGACCTAGACACTATTTTGTGAAGTTACATTGCTGTGAAAGAGACACAAGTTCAGCTTTTTAAGTGTGAATTTATATGGAGGGTTTTAATGGGTCCGTATTCTATTTTGAAATATGTTAGCAGGCTGCTTTTTCCAACTCCTCCAAAAAGGCATACTATTTCTTAATGAAGACACCTGAGGGTATTTCAAAAGGCATATTTTGAGCCTTAGCCTGAAATCATTTTTCCGCTAGCTTGTACCAAGTGTAGTGGTAATAAGCATTTTTTATGCCTTTTTGACACACGTAGTAAGTTTGTACTGTATATTTTGCAAACCTTATGTGTGCTACAGCTATATTATACTTCCTATCTTGCTCAGCTATGTCGTCTGAGCACAGCAATACCCCCATATTGCCAGGTATTTGTGGACATTGAAGGGGCACATTTGAGACACAGCCATTTAAGTTTTTTTTCTAATTTAATATTTTTTACATTGTGTCCATACCCCATTTTGCAGTTTTTTTTTTTAGTAGGTTGATTATTCCAACTACCCTACAAAGGCATATTATTTTTTAAAGAAGAAACCCTAAGGTATTTCAAAAGGCATATTTTGAACCTTAGCGTGAAATAATTTTTCCGCTAGATTGTACCAAGAGTAGTGGTAATAAGCATTTTTTTTTTTAGGCCTTTTTGACAATGACTTTGTGATATATATTTTGCAAACCTTATGTGTGCTACAGCAGTATATTACATCATATGTTGCTCAGATATGTCATCTGAGTACAGCAATACCCCTGTATGTGCCTTTACTAGGTACATGACAAAGTTGAAGGGGCACATTTGAGACAGCCATTTAAGTTTAAAATTTCACACTGGGTCCATGTCCCACTTTGAAATTTTTTTTAATAGGTTGTGTTTTCCAATTACTTCACAAAGACATACCATTTCCTAAAGAAGACACCCCAGGGTGTTTAAAAAGGCATATTTAAACCTTAGTGTGGTATAATTTGTTCACTAGCCTGTACCAACTGTAGTGGTAATAAGCATTTTTTTCCCTTTTTCTTTAACTTTTTTTTTTTTCTTTGTAAAAGATTTCTTTTCAACTTTTAGAGATGATTTTTTTTTTTTTAGCTTTTAACAACTTTTTTTTTACTATTTTAAAACTTTGTTTAAACTTTTCAAAAAAATTTTTTTTAACTGTTAACCCCTAACTAGCCTGACAGTAAATCCCCCAATTTCCCTACTAACTTCCACCCACCCTAGCTAAATAAATAAATATTTTACAAATATTTAAGTAACTAACTAAAAAAAAAATTAACCCCTGAGGACTAAAAAATAAATGTAAACCCTCAGGGGTTAAAAGAAAAAATCATATCATATTGACATACTGTTATATGCATTTTGATCACTGCAGACAGTGATCAAAGGTCAGGAAAGGGGTTACATTTTATTTGAAAGGAGTGGGGGGGGGGTAGGATTTTATAACTAACAGTTTGTTTTTTACATGGAGAGACAGATCAGCACGGATCTGTCTGCACTTCACAGCTCAAACTGAGTTTCAGGGAGACAGATCGGGTTTCACTGCAGCATGTGTGATCGCTCTGACTCCCGGTATATTACCGAGACACACTACAGGAACATTAAAATTGTCAAGGATAATAGGCAAACCTCGCCTATAATTGGAAAAACATTCAGTCAGGTGTGTCTCATTGTGGTGGTGCATTGTGTGGTATTACGCCAGAAACTCCTCTCCAGCAGGTGGACCTGCTCTGTAAACTCAAATCAGCCATATCACAGCTGCTACCAGTTTACATGAACACTAAGCAAAGTATTTTGTCCGAATGGCCCAGCTCCGACCCAAATACCAGCTCTGGTTGCAATTCTGTCAATCTGTGTGAATCTGCACCCGACTAGATTCATTGGTATCTGAACTAAAACCAATGCTTTTTGTGTTGGAACTCTATACAAAGTATAGGGTTCTGGAAATATTTATAAAGTACTGTTTTAATAAATAAATGTGGGACTGAATGCATCCAGCAGGATTCAGGTTTGCAAATTACCTTTCACATGCTGGCTGGTTGCTTGCTGTTTAGTATTTATGCCCCCATCATCCACATTACTGATTCACGTAAAAGAGTTTTAAAACCTCGCTTATAGTAATATGGGGGTCATATTGAGCTGGCCAGCTGTCACATGGTTAACCCTTGCACTACTGAGGGGTTTTATAACTATTTGCCCACTGGCGGATAGCAAATAGTTTTAAAACTTTAAAAAATATTGTTCTCTTGTGCACCACCTCCATTGTGTATGTGGCTGCTAGTTGGTGAGCTTGTATGTGTGTGTCAGTGAGCTTGTCTGTTGGAAGCATGTGTGTTTGTCAGTGACCTTTTCTGTGGGGATCATGTGTGTGTCAGTGATCTTGTCTGTGGTGAGCATGTGTGTGTCACTAAGCTTTTTTGTTGGGAACGTGTGTGTTTCAATCAGCTTTTCTTTAGTAAACTTCTTTGTGTCAGTGAGCTTTTTTGTAGGTAGCATGCGTGTGTCAACAAGTTTTTCTGTAGTGAGCTTGTGTGTGTCAGTGAGTTTGTCTGTAGGAAGCATGCGTGTATCAGTGAGATTTTCTGTAGTGAGCATGTGTGTGTGTGAAAGTGAGCTTGTCCGTAGTAAGCTTGTGCGTGTCAGTTTGTCTGTACTACGTTTCTGTGTATATCAAATAGCTTGTCTGTGTGTGTCAGTGAGTCTATGTGTGTACATCTGTGAGCTTGTGTTTTTATGTCAATGAGCTTATGTATATCAGTGAGATTGTTTGGTTTTGTTTGTTTATGAGGCTGTGTGTTAGTGAGATTGCCTGTGTCTGCATTTGAGTATGCTTACTGTATAATTAAATGTTTTACTCTAAAAGGACCAATATTTTATATTAGAAAAATAAATATATATTTGTTTTATATATATATATATATATATATGTGTGTGTGTGTGTGTGTTTTATATATTACTCAATCATCTGGGCTGGCAAGACATAGCCTTACATATTACATGTGCCATGGTGCTAAAACTTATGGCCATAGATTTTTTTTCCCAGGGCTGCTTTGTATCCCCAGTCTGGCCCTGGTGTGTGCGTGTATGTCAGTGATTGTGTGTGTCTGTCAGATTGTGTCAAATCAGTGTTTGTGTGCAGTGGTTTGTTTTGGATTTGTACTGCCCTAGGCACGACTAAATTCGGGCACCCCCAAAATCTAAATTTGCCCCCCCCAATTTGTGTCAAGGCCACTTTTTTGACTTACAGACACATGCCCTCATTGATACATGCACTGATATACACTCACTCACAGACACACACTGAAACACACTCACAGGCTCACCCATTCTCACTGAAAGACACACACTGACATCTACACTCAGTCACTCACAGTAAGGTGGACAGCCCCAGAACACAAGGCAAAAACCCAAAAGTGCCGCCCTAGGCAAATGCCTTGTTTGCCTTGTGGTAAATACATCCCTGTGTGTATGTCAGTGTGTATCTGAGAGTGTGTGTCTGTCAGTCAAAGTGTGTGTTAGTCTTTTTAACAGGAAGAGGTGTGGTCTTGACAGGAAGGCGTGGGGCAAATGTAAATTAGGGGGTGCCAGAGTTCAGTTATGCCTAGGGCAGCACAGTTCAAAAACACACCACTAATAGTAATGGTGATGTAAGTCGGTTGTGTGTGCCGAAACAGACTTTCAAGTAGGCCTGTGAAAGAGGGCCCACCAAGATGAATGGCTTAATAAAGGGAGTAGTGGGTTGGCTCAATCAGGTGGTCTCAGACCAGAGGAAGTGGTGGTCTGTGTATTTATAGGCTGGCTAACTCCTCCCACAACTACAGGCTTCGCTTACTGGCTCAGCCTTCTCATATATTATTGGTACAACCTATGAAGCAAAAAAAAGCTTTGCTTTCTATAAATGACAATATATCTAAAATATAAAAGCGCTAAGCATATAACTCTGTATACACAGATGAGGTGGCAGAAAAAAATGTGAAAAGTTTCTGTACCACCTTCAAAATGTTAAACACCTCTATTACAGGGTTAAATTAAAAAAAGCTGCTACACACCTGTGTGAACCCAATTCCCACACCAAAAATCAAACAAAATACTTATATAGGTGGAGCGCAAAATCAAATCCACATTTCCATGGAATCCTTTACACCACTTTCTCTACGATATCCGTGGAGGAGACAAGAGAGAAGCCGGCTACCTGTCAACCCTGTGCCTGGACTAAGGCAATTATACAGGGTTAGTGAGTAGCAGCTGGGACTGCATACACTCACTTATTTCTATCCTGTAAGAGGCTCATTGTCTATTTCATTTAATTCATGTAAATTTATTTATGTATTTTGTACAATATTGATTTTGATTTATTATTTTTATTGCTAGGAGTGTTTTATGTCTAGTGAAACGATTATTAAATATTTGCAATTTACCATAACTGTACTTCACTATTATATGCATTTTATCTTTTTTATATTCATCTGAGTTGAAGCTGTGTAAAGGATTCCATGGAAATGTGGATTTGATTTTGCGCTCCACCTATATAAGTATAAGTACTTTCTATAAATGAAATGAAAAATTGAATGGGGGGGTGGGAGTTTGAGGGGCACTAAAGGGTCCTGCAGTGCCAGGAAAACATATTTGGAGAATCCCTTTAAATGTGTGGTAATTATAACTGTAATTGCTATTATTTTTTTTTTCTAAAATGCATTCCTCCAAGCTTAATAAAACAAGATTACAATTTGAGTTTACTCTGTTTCTAATTTCTTGACTTACCCTCGATATCAAAATGTAATAAATATGTTTTCCTAGCATTTATTTAAAGCTTGTGTAATGTGTTTAATGACTTTTTTCTCTAGAATTGTGCTTTAATGTTTGTTTTCCATTGCAGACAGTGGTTTTTATTGATCACTTTATACATAATCTAAGGAAAGAAAACTGAACATGGAAAGCTGGTTAAGTGACACTAGCAATAGTTCTATCAGTAACAATTCCCATCTGGTTGCTGGCTTTACGTCTTCTTTTGTATCGGTAGTTTTATTTGGGTCCAATTTTGTACCAGTAAAGAAGTTTGACACCGGAGATGGTATGCACAGTGTTATTTTTTATTTTATTTCTTATTTATTAATAGTTAATTTTATAAAATATGTTGTTAAATCAATAAACGTTGTCTCTATTGGGATGGAGGAGATGTAAAAAAGTAGATAACATTTATTAAATTCACCTCTGTATAATTTTACTGTTTGCAAGATCATTGTTATGAAAAGCTGTTTCTTGCAGAAAGAGACTCCTCTTGTATGCTTGCATACTATAGAGCAGCATTTCCCAATTGGTGTTCCACGGAACCCTAGGGTTCTGCGAGAACTCAATTGGGGTGTCGCCAAAAGTTTACAAAATAAAATGGCCGTGGTCGACGAGGAAGTGAGGGAGCAGTGATATACCACTAAGAGGCGCTGAGCAGGGGAATCACTGCTGCCTCGCCGCCCGCATGCCAGCCGCTCAGCAGCCCCACTGGACCCCAGGGACTGCATGTCAGCACTCCTTTAGGTAGGGGGGCTGGGTGGATGAAAAATGTAAAAATAAAAAATAAAATTGTATGTGTTAGGGAGTTTGTATGTGTCTGTGTGTCTGTCAAAGAGTATATGTGTATTTGTCAATGAGAGTGAATGTGTGCTTGTCAGTGATTGTGTGTGTGTGTGTATGTGTTTGTCAGTGAGAATGTGTGTTCTTGTCAGTGAGAGTGTATATGTGTCTGTCAAAGAGTATGTGTGTCTGAGTGTGTCAGTGTGTGTATCTGTGTGTCAATGTTTGTGTATGTGTCACTGTGTGTATCTAAGTGTGTGTATGTGCCTGTGTGTATGTGCCAGTGTGGATCTGTGTGTGCAAGTGTGTGTATCTGTGAGTCAAGGTCAGTGTGTATCTCTGTGTCTGTGTGTGTGTGTGTGTGTGTGTGTGTGTGTATGTGTGTGTGTATATATATATATATATATATATATATATATATATATATATATATATATATATATATACATACATACACACAGAGATACACAAACTGGCACATATAAACACAGATATACATGCCTTGACACACACCGGCACACACTTTGAAACATTAATACACACACAATACACAGATACACACTGTGTGTCAAGGTGTGTGTGTATCTGTGTGCCACTATCTGCCAGTATGTGTGTATCTGTGTGTCAGATGCATACAAACACAGATACACACACTTTGACACACAGATACATACACATACACACACTGTGTGTCAAGGTGTATGTATCTATGTGCCAGTGTGTGTGTGTGTGTGTGTGTGTATCTATCTGTGTGTCAGATGCATACACACTGGCACATACAAACACAGATACACACACCTTGATACACAGACACATACAAACACAGATACACATACATACATACATACATACATACACACTGTGTGTCATGGTGTATGTATCTATGTGCCAGTGTGCATGTTATCTGTGTGTCAGATATACACATACACACACACACACACACACACACACACACACACACTGGCACATACAAGCACAGATAAACACACCATGACATACAAAAAACAGTGCAATTTTTATTTTATTTTCATGAGGGGGAGGGGGTGTTCCATGCCGTTGATACACTATGCCAAAGCGTTCCACAGGAAACATTAATTTGGAACCCCTGTTATGGAGCAATACTGCATGTTAATGACCATTGCAGGTTTAAAGTCACCCAAATTATTATTTTTTTATATGGCAAAGGTCTGTTTTTAAATAGGGACAGGTACACAAAAACTTTAAAATACAGGATTGTATTCCAAATGTTTTAATGTTCCTTTAAACAGATAATGACTCTTCTTCTGAGTATCCAATGAACAGAGACGCTCATCAGAGTTTGCCACTTAATGTTTTGCTAGTGACCCTCAAAGTAAGCCTATGTACTAGATGATGAAACAAGGGCAGTGGCTTAAAGGACCACCATATTCACTGCAGTGTACTGTAGTAGTTAAGGTCCCAGGAGTGCACTGGCACCCCTGATTGTATGTAGTCAAAGCATTTTTACTATGGTTTGACTTCATACATGGGCTCTGCTGGGTGCTGTTTCCCACTTCTTTTTCTCCAGCTTCACTGCTGTAAAAGTGGTCGCATAATCGACTGTGTTAAACATGTAAAAAATAGGAAGCCTTATTATGAGGCAAATTTATATCCATTTTATAAATTTAGTCGCAAAAGATCTGATCCCTGTGTTTTCATGCGTTACTGGTACTAATGCATGGTACTAAGTTTACTTGTGCAAGGTACTAAGGTTAATTAACCACCTTTGAGGCTATTTCAATGTGTAACCGTAATATCATAATTAACATATTTGATATATAGCATGTTTAACATCATTTTTACAAATACATTGTAGACAATTTGTTTTCTGTGGAAATTAAAACACTTTCTATTCAAAATGTACTCTTTAAAGGAACACTATAGTCACCTAAATTACTTTAGCTAAATAAAGCAGTTTTAGTTTATAGGTCATTCCCCTGCAATTTCACTGCTCAATTCACTGTCATTTAGGAGTTAAATCACTTTGTTTCTGTTTATGCAGCCCGAACCACACCTCCCCTGGCTATGATTGACAGAGCCTGCATGGAAAAAAAACTGGTTTCACTTTCAAACAGATGTAATTTACCTTAAATAATTGTATCTCAATCTCTAAATTGAAGTTTAATCACATACAGGAGGCTCTTGCAGGGTCTAGCAAGCTATTAACATAGCAGGGGATAAGAAAATCTTAATTAAACAGAACTTGCAATAAAGAAAGCCTAAATAGGGCTCTCTTTACAGGAAGTGTTTATGGAAGGCTGTGCAAGTCACATGCTGGGAGGTGTGACTAGGGTTCATAAACAAAGGGATTTAACTCCTAAATGGCAGAGGATTGAGCAGTGAGGCTGCAGGGACATGTTCTATACACCAAAACTGCTTCATTAAGCTAAAGTTGTTCAGGTGACTATAGTGTCCCTTTAAATATTCCCTGATACGTTATTTGTAAAAAAAATCTCCCTTTCTGTAGGAAGTTTAGGCAATCCCATAAAATAAAATAAATGCTTTTTAAAAAAATTTTTTATTTCATTTACATTTTCCTTATTTAAGAAATGTCTTAATATTGAAAAATATCAATGTCTCTTTAATAGTCATCTTTATAAACTGTATATTCTGCGCTACATTTCTCAACAACCTTTGATCCGATGCTGTGTTTATCTATATTTCAGGCATGTTCTTCCAGTGGATTCTCTGTGCTTCTATATGGATTGTATCTTTAGTGGTCAACATCATTCTTAATAGCCCAAAATTTTGGCCACTCGCAATGGTAGGAGGTTGCGTATGGGCCACAGGTATGGAAAACATTTGGGTATGCTCAGGGTTACTTCCTTCAGTAATAAAATGGATACTATGGGAAAATAAAACTGCAATGCATTTGATAGATTTTGGCCTTCGGAATATGCTGTATTTTTTCATGCCAAATCATTATTGTTTGTGCACATATAATTAAAGCATTTTATAATATATTATACATATATATATGATTTCATTCTAAGTGTATTTTGAGATATGTGTATATATCTCAAAGTACACTTAGAATGAAATCATATATATGTATAATATATTATAAAATGCTTTAATTATTGTATAATATATATTATTATTGTATTTTTTTTTTTACTATTTAGCAGCCTGGGGGACTGTCTGACAGCTCAGAAAGTCCCCCCTGCTGACAGCTCCTAGACTCCTATTGCGGCGAAGGGATCATGATGATGATTAGGATGATGGGTGCTGGGGGGGACTGCAGGGGTACTGCTGGGGTCTCTAGCAGTTCCCCCCGACCGTTCAGGTAAGACCAGAGCTCTCATTTGCCACGGTTGTACTAGATACGTCTGCGGTCCTTAACAACTGTTTTTTGTTGGACGTTCACGGTCATTAAGGGGATATACATAGATAGAGATAAATATATATCTATATCTCAAAATACAGCTAGAATAACATTACATATATATCATTTTAAAAAATATATATATATTTTTACAGTTTCTTATTTATTTTTAAATATTTATTTTTTATAAAATGTGTGTAATTTTCTATTGATATATGTATATATTCATAAAATAAATACACTTAGTATATATGTGTGTGTGTGTGTGTGTGTGTGTATATATATATATAATATATTATACAATTCTCATGTATATATTTTTTTAAAATGTAATACATTTTTATTTTATTTTTAAACTTTTTTCACCAGCAAGGGGACTGCCTGTCAGTTCAGGCAGTCCCCTTGCTGGCAGCACTGTGGACACCTATTGCGGCCATGTGATCGCTCTTTTAAAGTGGTCACATGGCCCTTGGGGGTCCTAAATTGCAGAGGGGGGACAGTCTGGGCTGAGCCCAGACAGTCCATCCTAAGAAGGAGACCGATCTCTGGTGGGGGAACGGCGGTGATCGGTAAGTACATGGGGAGGGAGAGGGAGGAAGGATAGGGGTTCATTTTTTTTTTTAAATCTTTACTGAGTGCCTCGAGCCACTCAGTACAGGCAGAGCATCAGAAGTGAGGGGGGCATTGCAGCGATGCCTCGACATTGACGCATCGCTGCAATACCATTAGAGCTGCTGGAAGTGATCATGATAGTTTCGAGTGTCCTAATTCCCCGTTTAAAGGACCGTTTCTTTTGTCAGACATTCCTGATACGTCCTTGGTCACTAAGGGGTTAAAGTAAGGTACATCTCATTGAAAATTAAACCATTTTGTTTTCGCGCAGGCTATGTCAGTGACAGCCAGGAGAGGTGTGGCTAGGGCTGCATTAACAGAAATAAAGGATTTAACTCCTAAATGGTAGTGAATTGAGCAGTGAAACATCAGAGGCAAAATATATACACAAAAAGTGGTTCATTAAGCTAAAGTTGTTTTGGTGACTAAAGTGTCCATTTAAGGAACTTCATAAAATATAAGTGTTGTGGCGAAACTGGCCTCGCCACGTGTCCTTGGAGGGGGCTGCTTGCCCGCCTCTTGCCTTTGGACTATGGACCAGACTTTATGTGAATGTGTTAACCCAGATAGCTATGCTATGGAGCCCATTCGTGTAGTTAAAGACTTCGGCTCCATGGCAATTGAACTGTGTGAATAGGATCTGAGCGCTATTCGGTAGTTTTGTGCGCTCAGATCCCAGCTATCTGGGGATATGTGAAATGTCTGTGTGTTATGTGTAAAAGGTGACTTTATGTATTTTAAAGTGTTTTATGTCTTTTTGCAACCATGTGCTCAATGGAGTCTGCCTCTATCCCTGGATAATTGGATTACTTTCCCCCATTGTCTCCAGGATAGAGGGCTCTGTAAAACCTGTTTGAGCCAGATAGCCATGTGCCAGCCAGGGCCCAAAAGATACTTTTACTAACTTTTGAACCCCTGGTCGGATTCATGCCATTTTTTAATATGTTGTTCCCCTGAATGGATTGATTGTGAATATGTAATTTTATGTGAATGTGATGTATGGTTTTAAAGTTATGAAAGTTGGGTAGAAAGTATGTTTTAACTGTATGTGTAATTGAGTTTCCTCTCAGGATAAGGGGAGGGAATATGTGGGATGTAACTGATATGTGATTGGTTGTTTTATACCTCCCTGTGGGCGGTCCTGTATGTGAAAGGCTGTAATAAAAACCAGGCTGGGTGTGCCAGCACAAGAGTTCCTGTTTTAACCCTCAAAGTGAAGTGTCGTCTCATTATTGGGGGAAGGATTTATTGTATGCTGTTCCAGTTTGACTGCTAGGAGAGTAAACCTATTCGTATGGTTCCTATTCAACTGTCTACAGCATTCATATGCTTGGGAGAATTTATTTGTTTCTCCGGTTCGGTGATTGTGGTGTCTGCCAGAGTGCTTGGAGTCCTCAAGAAGCGCTAGGAGCATCCTTCAACCGAGGTACCCAGTCGGGGTGCCAGGCGATCCGTTACAAGTGTAAACTCCAGAAAGGATTAGTGTAAACTCCATAAAAGATTAGTGTAAAATGTAGCTTATTTAATAACAGATACTTTTAAGACATTATTACATTACATCTATTGTAATGAATAAATTTACTGAATAAACTACAGTCTGGTTTCTTTTATGTGGCTTTTATTAAGGTAAAGATAAACTGATATTTTTATGTTCGGTTGTAATATATACAGATGACATATGTAGACCGTGACGTACAAAATGCGGTTGTCTTGCCTTTACCATAAAACTGTCAGTTTCACAACGTTTTTCTTGGTAATCCATTGATATTTTATAGTGTGCATTAGGAATGCTTTAGAATTTTAGGTATATTTTCATAACATTATTTTTTATTTGCAGGCAATATAACAGTTGTACCAATTGTCAAAACAGTTGGTCTTGGGCTTGGGCTTCTAATTTGGGCTTCTACCAACCTGTTAACTGGCTGGGCAAGTTCCAGGTAACATAACATAAATTGAAAAATAAAACAAAAACTGGCACACATTGCATGTGATTAGAATCAATGGAAACTTGCATCAACTTTGTATCAAATTAAAGCATTTCTAACTTAATCTATACATTGTACTTGCCAAATTGCTAGAAAATGTATAGTTTTTTTTGTTTTTTTTTTTTAGAAATGTCACTTTCACTCATCTGTGCCTTTCTTGGCATTCTGGCAGATTAGCAGTGATTGATTGACAGTCCATTGTGCCTAATAAACAAGTTAACTTTCCAAGCTGTTCTGATTAGTGTAAACAATTTTAATTCTGACATGTTCACAATATATAAAATGTCAAGCATAAAGCTTGTCCATTCTCTCGTACTCTGCTATTACTACTGATAGCCATTAGCAGCTGAAATAAGGGGAAGTAAATGATTGCAGTTTTCATGTGCAATTCTTTTCATGCTATTTCAGGTTTGGTATGTTTGGAATAAACCCAGAAGTAGTGGCAAAGCCATATTTAAACTATGCCGGAGCTGGTCTCTCAGCCTTAAGGTATCATTTTATTTCTTATTCTCTTAGGTACGACTTCATATCTAAAGCAGAGAATTTGATGTGGTCTAAACACCACTATAGTTCCTTACAACTATTATTGTGCTGTAGCTGTTTGGCTGTCATTTCCAGTTTCTTGAGGGAAAAAAAAATAATAATGTGGGGTGACAAAAAAAGGGTCTCTTCCGGCGCCATTTAGCCTCCCTGCAGAAACTTAATTTTCATTATGTCATGTGTGATTCAGTCCAAGCTGGATGGCAATGATAGACTAATCCGCTTACTGAAGCTGTACAGTTTCACATTTGCTAATTCATAGACTTTCTTTCCAAAATAGTTAAATAGTTTGTACGTTTGTATAAAGGCAAAGTATTATAGATATTCTATTTGCTGAACAGAATTGTTGTACCAGAGCAGAAGTACTAATATATACAGTTTTATATTTGCTTCTTAGTGCTATTATTTTTCTGTTTGTGAAAACTGACGTAAATAAATCCACATCATCAGATTCAGACACAGAACCGATTCTATCGACAAGTGTAGGTATCGATACATTTTGCTTCAGTTAACTAATAACAAATGTTATGCCTTTAACTTGATTTTTGATTTTTTGATCCAGAGCTTACTTTGATTTCCTAGATGCAATGCCTCTTTAAATAATTGACGTTGTCAGTCCTGTTTCCTCTAACAGATTAATTCCCAGGAAAACCCTGTAACAGATGAGTCGTGGGTAGACAGACTCTCTCCTTTACAAAAACGGCTAACGTAAGTAAGCGGTTAGTGTTTATTTCAAATAAAACAGACTAAATGTAAATGTTAATTTTTTTAATATTTTTCATTCTTGCATGTCTCACTTAATAAAAAACACTTGTGATAATTTGTTTGTGGTTTAATTTGTTGAAGGGACACTATAGACACCAAAACATGTTTAGAGGAACACTATAGGGTCAGGAACATAAACTTGTATTGCTGACCCTATAGTGTTCAAAAACACTATCTAGCCCCCCAGTCCTCCTTGCCACCCTAAATATAGTACAATCTTACCTTTATTTCAGTCTGCTAGTGCTGGCTATGCCCCGATCTGCCTCCTTGTCTGACATCATCACAAGTGATGATCTGAGCCAATCACAATGCTTTCCCACAGGAAAGCATTGGATTGGCTGAGATTCCCAAATAGTTGGGGCAGTGGGCGGAGCCAAACACTACCCTGGCCAATCAGCATCTCCTTATAGAGATCCATTGAATCCATTAATCTCTAGGAGGAAAGTTCAGTGTCTCCATGCAGTTGGTGGAGACACTGAATGTGCAGCACTGCCCCAGTAAGCATCTCTAGTAGCCATCTGAGGAGTGGCAGCTGGAGATGACCCTGGGCTGTAATCAAAGGCGGCTCTAGACTTTGAGACCTTAGGCGAAACTCAAACATAAGGCCTCACTAACAAAAAAGTGAAAAAATAGAGTTTCAATACATGTACACTGTCACATATACACATTGATGCATAGTCTTCCTGTGTATGTGCCTGAGAGTGTGTCTGACAGAGTATCCTTGTATGTGAATGTATGTCTCTGTGAGAGGAGGGGGTGATGGTGAGAGGGGGAGAGGGTAGGGGAGTGATGGTGAGGGAGGGGGCTAATGGTGAGTCTTATTAAAATTCCCTGGTGGTCCATTGGGCTCCTCGGTGGTCCAGTGGCCATTACTACTGGTCTGCAGCTCCGCAGAGCTGCAGACCATGTAATCTTGTGAGATCCGTCAGATCCACGGCAATGCTCTGATTGGCCAGTTCTCGCGAAACACATGGTCTGCAGCTCTGCTCACTGCGGAGCTGCAGACTGGTGTCTGCAATGGCTGGCCAGGCAGACAAGAGGGGCCTAGCACCCGGCGGCATATTGAGCAAGCCGCCGGGCCCCCTCCTGGTGTCGGGTCCTCAGTCACTGACCGAGGACCTGACACAGTGTGCCCTCAGGCGGTTTAGGCGGCCGCGAGGAACCAGCCAGCTTGAGGCCTTAGGCGGCCGCCTAAACCACCTAATTCGAAAGCCGCCTCTGGCTGTAATGTAAACACTGCCTTTTCTCTGAAACTTCCAAAATGTCTGCAGGAACTGATTATACTCACCAGAAGCTGTAGTTGTTCTGGTGATTTATAGTGTCCTTTTAAATAAGCAGTTTTAGTGTATAGGTCATTTCCCTGCAGTCTCACAGCTCAATTCTCTGCCATTTAGGAGTTAAATCACTTTTGTTTATGCAGTCCTGAATGTAATGTTCACAGCCTTCCTGAATACTTCCTGTAAAGTGAGATCTAATGAGATCTGTTAATAAGTTGCTAGACCTTGCAAGAGCCTCCTGTATGTAACTGCTAGATAGTGTTTTTAACAGGCTTGTGTTCCTGACCCTATAGTGTTCCTTTAAGCATTCATTGCATGTAATATCATTGAAATTGGTTAATTAATAAAATGTTATTGACTCCTCAAATCCAACTCAGATTTTGACCCACCCTTAACTTCAATTGTGTAATTTTTACTAGTTTGTGTTCTTATTGGAATTATGCATGTCTTGCAGATGTGAGATTATGACCTCATTCTGCATTATATTTCACAAATTCCTTTCTGTAAAACTACACAAACAGCTCTTTTTTTATTTTTTATTTTATTTTTTTATATTTTCTATATGAATCAAAGCGGCTCATTGATGGCAGTTGTAGCTGGGATTCTTTATGGCTCCAGCTTTGTTCCAGTTCTCTATATCAAAGATCACAGCAAAAACAATGAGAGCATGTATGCAGGATCGAGTGAATTTGGTGAGGAAAACTCAAATATTTTATGTTTAATCCTATGCAATATCTACCGATACAGTCATGAAATTGAATATACTATTGTTACTTTGATCCTTTTACTATATTTATTTGAAAGATATTTTCTTCATACAAGTGTATATCTCATTTATGTCTGTAGCTTGAATACTTAAACCAGTTCACTGTGTCTTTGGAGAACACTACTAATGTTCTAGAAATGTATCCACTTATCCATTGGGAACCAAAGAACATTTATTAGAAGCCAATTTAAAAAACAATATTGTTTATGTCAGTGCACTTATTATATAGCATTCTTAGATATTTGGTTAAAAAAAAAATATATATATATATATATATATATATATACGATATATATATATACGACAATTCACCATGACGTCACAATAATAATAGACGTTCTTCTGGTGGCAAAAGCATTCTATACACTCTCTACATTAATATACAAAGTGCAATTCCCCATACAGCTTGCTGTCTTGATCCTTTCACTCTAGTTTGACAGTCCATGGAGTTGGGACTTGTTTTGTTATTAAAACAAAAAAATAAATGAAGTTGTCATATGCTAGGCTTATAATACGAATATACTGCTAACTTACTCAGCATCCTCATTATCCACCGACTCGCAGAGCTTCTGAGCCAGAGTCTTACCAGAAAACAGAGATACCTGAAGAGCACTTGCGCCTAATAATCTGCTCAAATCACACACACACAGAGTGTGGCAAAGGTAATCCAGGAGCTGCTAAGCAGGGTCGTACTCATCCTCCTCCCCAGCACTGTGCGCAGGATTGTGAAGACACACTTGATGACACATTGTCCTCAGACACACATAGTGCTGTCATTATAACTGAGTCTTGTTAATTTCCTTGTTTCCTTTATGATAAAGTGAGTTGTCTTTCATGGACAGTTTTCTCTTCAGGTCAGTGGAAGCAGCTCGCATTCTGCCACCCGGAAGTATCTTGGTGCCCATTGTTTACAAACATTCTAAAATACCATAAAAACTTCATAGTTAAGTTTGTAAAGACTTTCTTCTTTGCGTAGAATTTTTAATTTCCATTCTGAATTTGTGTGCTTCTAGGTTTTATTCTTCGCCCCCAATGAATAGGCTGTGTTCTTCTGCACGGTGACGTTCCCCACACCCTCTACTTTGGTTTTGGGATTACTTTATATGTTTTCTTTATGCATATAATGGAATTAATAAACATTAATAATATAATAATTAATTTCCAAACTACAAGCCATTTAAGAAAGTATTGAACATGTTGGCACTAAGCAGCATCTAAATGTCAGAATATAGTAGGACATACATTTTTTGCCTGTAGATTATCCAAACGTTTTGTTTATAACCAACAATCGTTCTTATCCCATGTAATATATATATATATATATATAAAGAACACTTTAAATCAGATGCATAATATTTTTAAATGTGAAATGAAAAGTGGTAACATTTAGTACTAGTAAATAACCTATACTTATATAAGCAATACACAAAACAAAGTAGGTGGAGCTTTACAAACATATACATATACCTCTCTCTGGTTCTGCAAAAAAATGAGAAGGAACACAAATAGTGCAGATAAATCTTACAAAATATTAAATGTACAGATTTTGTGTACAGTACACTTACAAGGGTAGAGCCATAATGATACCTGGCTCTGGTTTGAAGCGCCTCTGGATCCTTTAAGGAGATTCACACCCTTCTTTTATGTTGGGACCAGATACCCACTTCATAGTGCAGATGTAGGATAAATCGACTAAAGTTACCAAAGTAGAAAATTTTTATTCCAATGTATAAAAATAAATAAGCAAGAATAAAACAATGAATTAGGAAATATAAGTCCTTTTGGATAGATCCATATACCAAAATGCTTTTTGCCTGATCCAGGCTTCTTCAGTTGGTGTGTCGATACGTCTCTGTGTCTGTAGTTTCTTATATATGTCCCATCCGCATTCCCTTCCCTCCCCAATTGCTCCCGGAACTCCTAAATGCAACACAAATGCGTTCCAAAGGGATCCCAGGTATCAGGTGTTGAGAGAAAAAGCACTTGATGCTGTATCTCTCTACAGAGAAAAATATGCGACAATATGATGCAGATCATGATGTTCTATATTTAAACATACTCATACTTCACTTTATTCAAAAATCAAACGTATAATAATAAAACATGCATTACTATATGTACTTGTGTTTATTTAAACCAAGTGAGGTTTAAAAGTGAGAATTTATGTGATAACACCCCATGATAAAACTCTTAATCATGCAAGTAAAAAAAGAAGGTAAGTTCTAATAACAGTTTTGATTTAATTGATTAAAACCTAAAACCAGATGGAACCTAGTTTGCTAAAAAACTATATTTCAAAAAAAATGTATAAAAAAATTTCAACTGGAAAAAAAAGTGAAAGTAGAAATGAGAATATTTCTTGTGAAGTGGAAGTGGGAGTTTCTGTCAATTTCTACTTTTAACTACTCTTTAGCCACAGCAACATTAACACCTTACTGAAACTTTGAATTAGACTTTGTTATTGCTGGTGGCTTCATGAAAGTGGTAATAACTTAAATAAAATGTGTTGAAATATGTCCTACACTATTACACATGTCTGAACGTTTCTCACCACTGTAAGCCTGGAGGATCCAGGGCAAACTCACTAGGGGTGACTTTCTACTCGCTAGTGGCAAGTGTAAATATTTTGGCAAGGGCAAGTATACATTTATTAACCCTAGTATGGATAATACATTTACGAATATATATATATATATATATATACACAAAAATAATCAGTCCAAATTGCTAATAGATAATCATGTTTGTATCAGTATCCACCTGCAATATATTCCCAGACTTTTCTTATATATAAGCTAGCAGTGCCCACTGAGAAAGAAATTGGTCAGTCAGGATGACCTTATACCATTCCAAGAGGCGTTTCAAAATGCCAACGTTGTCCTAAACACCATGGCAAACAAACTTCATGGCAGAACAAGAGTTTCTGTACTTACAGCTTTCATAAATACAAGCTGTTAACTAAACTACAACTCACATAAGCATGTGCTTCTCCTTATTGGAGAAACACTGCAGGTTAAGAAGAACAGAAATGGAATTGTGAAATCACGTAACACATACAGTAACAATCAAGAAGAAAGTATTTTAGATTGTAGGGGATGGGAGGGACAGAGGAGGCAGGGCTAAATTGTAGAATGCTGAAAAAATATACAAAATTGAGCGAGTAAAAACATAGGTAATTATTTGGGCAAAAATCTATGAAATCCATAAATATTGTGTGTGGCTGGGTTGTCTCTTTATGTAAAAGCTAAAGATGAAAACTAAGCCACCATACAAGTACAATAGTAGCATATTTTGCTGTGATCTGTGTATATTATCATACAATGTTAACTCTTTGTTCAAAATATCTCTTTTTCAGATTTAGATTACGTATTTGCACACTTCAGTGGCATTTTCCTTACTAGCACAGTGTATTTCCTGATCTATTGTGCACTAATGAAAAACCATCCAAAGGTGTATCCACAGGCGATATTGCCGGGTAAATATATTTGATATTAGCATACACACTTGTAGTACTATAATTCTTTATCCAAAAGCAAATTTAAAAAGAAGTTTACAGTGAGCAAACAAAAATATTAATGGCAACTTTAATTTCCCAGGATTATTAATATTATGATTATGTTTACCTTTGCCCTGTTTTTACCAAATATGTATTTGTGAGGTGTGAAAAGTAAAATGTTGTAATTAATCTTTATCCTGCAACTGGACACCTCAATCTTTGCCTACTGCCAATCATTGTTATAAGCTCTGCCATTTGTACCTGTCAGTATATGTAGAGAGAGAAGTACAAAATGATTTTTGTGTTCCCCCTCCTCCAATGCAGTGTCAGGTCTGAACTGGATTTTGATGTAAATGAATATCTCTTTAAAGGGTTACTCGGAGCATCATGGCCACATTAGTGATTTGAAGTGGACATGAAGCGTGGAGTCAGTGTTAATTTTGTCAACATTTCTGAGATTTAGTCAGCTAAAACTAAAACAATTCAGATGACTTAAATACGACAAAATAAAATGGCTTATTAGTTAAAAGACTATGACTAAAACTAAATTTAAATTTGCCGCCAAAATGAACACTGCACAGAGGGGCTGTGGAAGGGGCAAAAGGGACACACTAGGGCTTGAGAGCGAGGCACCTAGAGGGGCTGGGAGGACACACAAAGACACAGAGGGGCTGGGGAAGTGGCAAAAGAGGCAGATAGAGGCTTTAATGACACCCATTAGATTTTAGTTGTTTCGACTAAAAATCTATTGGAGATTTAGTCGACTAAAACTAGACTAAAACTAGACTAAAACTAGACTGAAATGTTTCGCCAAAATTAACCACTGCTTGGAGTCTTCAGCATTATATAGTGTTGCCACTGGGGTGCAACTCTACTTCTGCTTCTGGCAGCATTATTAAATGCCTTGAGAATGTTTGGGAGATATACATATGTATCTATTTCTACATGCAGGCAGAGGGAAACAACAGGATGCTAAATATTAGAAAACTGTTCTTGTTTTTTGTATTTTCTTCTTCTTTTTTTTTCTCTATAAAGCATCTTCCGATCCATTGTTGCACCTTAAGTGTTTGAAAAGGTATTGTTAAAGGTAGTTTTAACTAGATCTATTACGGTTATTTATAATGAAAACTAGCATGATTAGTGATCAAACCGAGCTTATCTTAATAGCAAACCTCTTTGAATGCGCTGTGCGCTCTATTTTCTAAATATTCCCAGAGCTTCTAAAAACAATTTTTATATGTGTTGAGTAAGGGAATATTTGAGGAATCTGTATTCATGATATATTTTCCAGTATTCATTCTGGGATCAACAGTAATAAATATTTTTCCTCCTATGCCATGTGTTTTTAACAAGCCATTTATTATAGATGTTTTCTATATACTACACAATTATTTAAATTATATTTATTTTTGTGCCGTTATTAAGGTTTCTTTTCAGGCGTTCTTTGGGCAATAGCCACTTGTTGCTGGTTCCTGGCTAATAACTACCTCAGCGCTGTGGTCAGCTTTCCAATCATCACTGCGGTCAGTAGTTAAATTGAATTTGAAGCCTTGCACCCTTCATATTATCAGATGTACTCGGTATGCCATTTCTAGTAATGTCTGTATCTCCTGAATGCCAAATATTGAATTACTCAGCATGATACAACCTTTTCTGTAAAGATTACTGTCAGAATCCTAACTTGATTCTGTTGATGTTTGAAAAATAACATCACAAAAAAGGCAATTTTGTGTGTTGTTCTTCTCAACAAAGCAAGATATTTAATCTGCCAAGTATCAGTCGGTAGTGCGCATCATAATAATTTTAAAGTTCCATTAAACAGATGCATTTTATCACCTTTGTCAAAATAAAGACTGGTTATTTGGTTAAACAAATGTTTATAAAATACAGAATTAAATAATTATATGTAATAGGCAATCAAATGCATCGTAAATGTAAGTCAATTCCACTTATGCTCTGAATACATTTAATAAATGACTACATATCAGTCTATAACATTTTAATTAAATGCTGTGCAAAATGCGTATGTGCTGAGCTATTTAGTAGAATTTGCTGAAAATGTTAATTTATTTTCTTCTATTTAAGGGACCTGGTTTAATTGCTGCATTGTGGGGAGTTTTGGTTTTCAAAGAAATAAAGGTAAGTTATTTAAAGATAGTTTTCCATAAAAGTCATTTTGCCAAAGGGCACCCTTGATCTTCTGTGTATAATTATTATTCCACAATGCATAACATTCTGCTTCCTTTAATACTATTCACAACACATACCTCAGTAAGGATATATAGCAACTCAAGCCCTGCCATGGTCAACGTTAAGGCAAAGTAGGACTTACTGTATGGGTCATCAGAACTTGGTAGAAATGGAATAGTTTTCATGAAGAATGGCTTAAATGTTATAAAAGTGTGAACAAAAAGTGTGGCACAATGTCTGCAAATACAAACTGACATGCACCCAGTGCCAAGATGCCTAGAGAAGCTAAACACCTTAATGCAGCAATAGAGACTGAAGATCAGAAACAGCAGGTAAGTACTTAACGGAACACTACAGGGTCAGGAACACAAACATGCATTCCTGACCCTATATTGTTAAAACAACCATCTAGCCCCCTTGATCTCCCCATGCCTCCCTAAATATAGTAACATCTTTCTTGTATTCAAGTCTACAGCTACTAGCACTTTACCTGTCCCTTTCTGGCTGCTGTTTGCTGGCATCATCAGAAGTGGTGGTCTGAGTCAATCACAATGCTTCCCCATAGAATTGGGTGATACTGTCAAGGAGGCAGATTAGAGGCAGAGCAAGCACAAGTCAAACACAGCCCTGGCCAATTAGCATCTCCTTAGAAATGAATTAAATCAATGCATCTCTATGAGGAAAGTTCAGTGTCTACATGCAGAGGGTGAAGACACTGAATGGCAGTGCTGCTTACTCTGCAGCATTGCCCAAGGAAGTATCGCTAGCAGCCATCTAAGGAGTGGCCAGTGGAGTTATCACTAGGCTGTAATGTCAACACTGTATTTTCTCTGAAAAGACAGTGTTTACAGCAAAACGCCTGAAGATTATGATTCTACTCACCAGAATAAATTCAATAAGCTGTAGTTGTTCTGGTGACACTAGTGTCCCTTTTTGTAATTGTATTAATTCTAATATGAGGATCCTGACTGACAACTCATGCAAAAAGTCCAAAGAATTTAATTTGCGAGCCCTCTATTTGACCCTGTAATTTAGCAAAACACTGTAAAACCTGTACATGGAAGCAATGTTTTACTCGTGAGACCTCACTGAACACAATCAGTAACACTTATGACATTGATAACCTCCGTAAAAGTGCAGTTTTGTTTGTGAGAAATGCAAAAAAAAAAAACAATTATTAAAAAATTAACTTTGGCCCTGATTTGTGACTAAGTGGTTGCTTAAAAAAAAGACTGGATACACCATATTTGAATATCCTGGGTTGTCTACATTTGCCAATGGTATGCCATGATGGGGTAATTTTCATTCCTGGACTGCCATATAATCATAGCAAACTAACCTGGCAAATTTTATTGTGTAAAAACTGAAATGGGCATGCTTTTTATTTAATTTTGTAACTTTATGTCTTGGTCAATTTCCTCCATCCTTAAAGGGACACTATTGGCACCCATATTCCCAGATCGCTTAACCCTGCAAAGCTAATTATTGCAGTTTTTTAATTAACTGCAATAATTACCTTTGTGGGTTAACTCTACCTCTAGTAAATGTCTACCAGACAATGACTAGAGGGACTTCAGGTCGTTAGTTGACTTTTGGTTGCCTAACTGACGCAGTATATATGAGGAAATCCAGCGTCCACTGAAACCCCAATAGGAAAGCATTGTATAATGCTTTCCTGTGGGGGGGAAAGTACAAATTTGTGTGCAGCCTTTGCCATTGGAGTGGAGGTAGACTCAGGTAGATAGGGGAGGGGGGGTGACATAGGGGGTGCACTTTAGGGAGCTATAGAGGCAGGAAAATAACTTTGTTTTCCTGGCACTATAGTTTCCCTTTAAGATGTTAAACATTATTTTGTGGAATATCTTTAAATTAATTTAATCGTTGTTTGTGTTTGACATTTTACAGAAATTAAAACTGCTTATGATTTTTGTTTTTCTATTCTTACGCAGGGACTGAGGAACTACGTGCTCCTGGTATTTGCATTCTGCATTATTCTGTCTGGATCTCTTTTGACAGCTTTTTCAAAGACATGAGGAACTTTCTGTACTATGTCCAGCAGAGGGAGGTGTTGCATTTGAATTTCCATTATGGTTGCAAACATGAACTTTTACCAAGCATTCAAACCATTTCTTCGTTATCAGAAGAAGTTATGACAAACAATAATAATATTTTTCTCTGACACTTACAGAGGGCGAAACAACTAAAAACATTGTTCTAAGTTAAATGTTTTGAAGTTTAAACATAGCAGACTGTAATTTTATTAATAGCAGACTGTAATTGTATTAATTCAACCAATCATGAACTGTGCTACTTCTAATTATTTACAAAATATTAAATATGCATAAATTATCTACCTATATGGTAAAATTATTGGAAAATGTTTCTGCCTTTTCATTCTTAGGTTTAGAAAGTTATGAGACACTTTAGGCACTGCAACTGCTTGATCTCAATGAAGTGGTTATAGTGTCCTCTGGTGCCTTCCATTCATTAACTGTTTTTAATGGTTTAATGATAAATGAGTGTCCCTAACAGCCAATTCTGTCTGTGATTGGCCAAGAGTGTTGGCTGACCACTTACAGCCTATCACAGTCCCCATTGCTGGTAAATGAATTGGTATGAAGGTGTGTTGCATCTTCGCCATAGCCATACTTCTCTCGGGGAGGCTGAGCTGTGAGTAGCCATTTGAGGTCAGTTCCAGCAGACTCCAGGCACTGTAACCATTGAGATGAAATGATTATAGTGCCAACAGTGTCCCTTTTTAAACTGTCTCAGAAATCAGTAGAGCGATTCTGTGCTGCTACAGTTAGAGAAAACACTAATGAAAATATTGAATGTTTTGTCATTTAGTCTTGCTACAGAAACCCCTTTGGGAGCTATGAAGTTGGTAAGTGTGTGGGCTGGGCTGGTTTGTAGACATGGCAGTGATGCAAACATCTTGAATGGTGTTGTGTAGTCCGAGCTTATATGTGTGCCAAATTTACACACATAACTGAAAGAGAGCCAACAAGGACTGTTCTAAGACAGCGGAGCTAAAGCATTTTATTATTTGCAGAAATATCTAGGAGTAACCCCACACAGCTGCCTTAATGCAGGTTTCAAATTTAAATTGATCACACCATTTCACACCTATAAAAACATATGTAAGAAAAATCTTACAATTACATTATTCAAATAAAAAAAAAAAAAATTCAAATCCATCTGTACAATGTTTACTTTTTTTGTAACCATCCAACATCCAAGTTAATACACCATACATAGCGGATTGTGACACTTATGCCTGTTGTACCTAATCATTAAATTCATGAAGCGCCAATATCAAAAAGCAATAATCAATTACCCTAAGGTTTTTAAAGATATTGGTGGGCACCAAAATCCTATTTGGGATGACTAAACTGAGTATTTGAGAAAGGGAAAGACACTGACATAAAGTACTTGTAAATAATCAATACAAACTTTATTGATTAACAGAGACTTAATTAATAAGTAATCATTTAAATTAAAGAAACCGCTTAAGTATACATCACGATAAGAGAAGCTTGCTGCACTTGACTGAGAGAACTTCTGGCAGTCAGGCTTGAAGGGGACCTTCTCTTACTGGGAATCAGTAGAACCAGCAATAAGTGCCCGCAATACAAGTGGGTAGTACTCCAATGAGTGCCAAGTTTTCTTGTCTTTTATAAGTTATACATCAATTGGATGGATAGTCTGTACCTTTCCACCAAATCATCTTATCAATGCAGCCCAGCAAAGACCTTGCAAAAGCGTTGGATGTGACCTGCAGCTGGCCAGGCTGTCCAGCCCCACCAACAAGGCCATGCCAGATCTGTGCGGTTAATTATCTCTTATCTAAAAGCTAGCTACGTTCTCATAATATACTCGTGATGGTATGCATGAGTAATTCTGGTGCTGTGTTTTGTGGTTTCATTAACATTTTCAGTGCTGTGTACCAGCACCATTTAGATCAGATAAATTGTGTCCACATGGGTGCTGCTCTCACCTTTAATGTGTTTATTGAGGTAGAGGTTTTCATGTTACCCCTTCTCTGTATTGTCCGAGTAGTCTCTATTTAAAATAAAGGGGACAACCTTAAAATGTATGTGTTGCTCTGAAAAAAACTATAAAAAATAGATATTGAAAAAAAAATGTCTGTGCATCAGTATAACATATGCACATTAAGGAAAAACATATTATTTATAATTATATATGCATTTGTATTAAATCGGGTCTTCCACTAATTATTTTGCATTCAACTTCTACAAAACAGAAATAGCCAAGTTGGAAAAAATCATAATAATAAGATAAATGAGATGGAGATTGTACGTTCCTTCCCAGTTATTTTGACAATAGCTCTGTGCTGCCCCATGTCATTGTGATTGTGCCAGTTTCAGCCATCTGATATTCCCTATTCTGCATCTGGTAACAATATTAATTGGACATTTGCTACATTGTTATTAACAGAAAGACATGTCATTGAATTGAACACAACTTTTTTTTCTTTAGAGGAAGTATTCTCTTCTCTAATGTTTTAAATCTGTTCACAGCATCTACTTTACCATTCCCTTACCCAGCAAGAGAGCCACATAGTATACAAACGGAGAACAATGAGTGGTCAGACCAAAACATTTTATGGGACTGGGTGTTTTTTTATTTTTTATTAATTTACAATTTATTGTGTTGTTCAGACGAGGTAGACAGTACAGAAATAAGCCTAACAAAACTTTAAAATATATATTTACTTAAAATGTATTTTTTATGTAGGAAGATATATAACGAATGGCATGAGTAGCAAGACAACTCAATCTGCTCAAGTCATCATTAGGTTTCAAATAGAATAGGAACCTGTCATTGAGTTCAAATAGTCTATAGCTGAGGGGGCATGGGGTCTTCTATAGCGCATTTACATGTCACATAAATGGAGGCTAAATCTCGTTCAACATTTCAGGTGGGGTCTGTACTTTTGCCCACCCATGTTTGTATCATTAATGAAATTCATTATACATTTTGAAATGGGGTTAATTGGAACCGCTTAGTATAGCAATTACTTCTACTAAAAAGTTTTTGGGGGTTTGTTGTATGCTTATCAGGGCTCTCTCTTCCGACTAATAGCTAATTCAGAATTTCAGCAGCGGCAGTTGCCCATGAAGGCACAGTGAGATGGTTTCTATATCTATACAGACAGCAATCATTAGTATTTAGATACTAGAAACTGCATTTTCAGTTTCAGCAACAAGAAGTGATCTTCTCAATTAGAAAACGAAGGAATAGTGCACAGTATACACCTATCAAGGCGTCCTGCAGATTCACTTCTTAATTTATTTTTCTGGCTGAAAGAGCATCTCTTTTGTTGACATATCATCTGGAAGTCTTCGGTGGGTCCGGGTCATTCGCTGTAGCTATATCCTGTTTAATCAGTGTGTATGAATTGATTTGTTTCCTTTGCCATTTAATCCTTTTTGTTTAAGTCTGTTCCTGCTAGCATTAGTCTCATTTCCTCTGCACCTTTCTTTGCAGACGAAATCTTCTTTGTTCCAGTCTAAACACATGACCTCGTGTCCTATGTAAAGTCTGGTTTGTGAATAGATTTCCACACAATGACCTACCATTCCTGTATCCCATTGGAATTTCAGATTTAAGTACTACATTGTTAATTGTGATTTAACACTTCCATTTTTGTTTCTTATATTCTTTGTAAATATCTGCTATATCAGCTTAGTATTTGAATTATTCAAAGATACCAGCAGGTAGTGAAGGATTTCAGGTTTCTAAAAGATCTCATGAGCCCACAAGGTAAGATGTGAAATGTCTAAAGGGCTCTGTCCTTGAGACTTTAATCTCTTTAATCTCAGGATCTTTCAAGACCTAAAGAGACAGTAGGAAGGGTTCACACAGTAGATCTGAATGTAGTTAGTGCTAAACCTTTTGAAATTCTACTGCTTTGCTCGTTGGTGCCCTTTAAGGGCAGTAGACCACTTGGGGATTTGAAAGACACTCAAAGTAATATACCACCTTAGCGACTTATGGCATACAGGTTGATGCAGGTAAGCAAAGTATAAAATTAAATAATTCACCTTCTCTTTCTTAACGTATCTTGCATATTTAGACTTTGTAGCATCATTTAGCATTCTCAGAAGCATCCAATTTAGTGTGAAGGGCTGACTGGGCATTTGATAGCTGTGATGTGGTGGCCTAATGAGTGTTATATCTATTGTGTAGACCAAAAGGTATTCTAGTCTGCAATTCAGACCTGATCTTCCACCATTTAGACCATTTTAAACCTCCCCTCCGAGTCTTCTGGAAACAGTTGTCTAGTACCCAATAAAAACCCCATAAGAAATTATTTTGTCAGCAAGAAGTTAGTTTCATCATCCAATGGTCAATGTTGAAGTCCATCAATCTTATAACAACCTATTTGAGAATTTGCAGCAGACCTAGTTAGTTACAGTATTCCCGCTCTTCTTCATGCTCTTTTGGAGCAGAGCAGACTACTAATATTCCAGATCTAGTTGTAATTTTGACATTTTGGGACATTTTGATTTCTAACCTTTGTGCCAGGGTACAATTTACTATTTTTTCAGGGTAAAGATTAAAGGGACACTATATTCACCAGAATACACTATAGTTATTCTGGTGAATATAGTGTCCCTTTAATCTTTACCCTGAAAAATAGTAAATTGTACCCTGGCACAAAGGTTAGAAATCAAAATGTCCCAAAATTTCAAAATTACAACTAGATCTGGAATATTAGTATAACTTCTGCTGGCTTAATGCATTTGTTCTGTTAAGTATAATCATTTCCTTCAGTCTTTTCAGAGAAAATGCAGTGTTTACATTACAGCCTAGGGATACCTCCAGTGGCCACTCCTCAAATGGTTACTAGAGGTGCTTCCTGGGGCGTGCAGAACTGACATTCAGTGACTGCACTCCCTGCATGCAGAAACTGAGCTTTCTTCATAGAGATGCATTGATTTAATGCATCTCTATGAGGAGATGCTGATTAGACAGGGCTGTGTTTGACTCTGCCCCTGATCTGCCTCCTTGACATGCTCAGCCAATCCAATGCTTTCTTATGTGAAAGCATGTGATTGGCTTTGAATAGCACTTCTGATCATGTCAGCCAAGCAGGCAGATCAGGGGCAGAGCCAGCAGCAGCAGACTGGAATAAATGTTTTAGATTGTTTTGTTTTATTTTATATGGATATTAAGAATACATTGTTAAATATGCTTTATCATATTTATCTTGTACTAAAATATTTTATAGAATGTACCTTTTAGCATGTATGTCAGGAATGTCAACTGGCAGAAACAAAATGGTTAATATTTCAAACAAAACTGTACAAAACATTAAGTAGAGAAGAAAAAAAAACATATACTTAATTGTTCATCAAACTAAACCAAATACAGTAATTCTGAGCATTTATCTTAACTTCAATGGCAGGTGTCATAAACCTCCAATCGCAGGTTTAATAAACCTATATGTGCACCAATGTTTACAAAATGTTGTTTAGGCACTCCACCACCACCCCTTGTCGCTCTTCATCTGTGCTGGTTCACTTTATAACTTCTGCTGGCTTTCAATCACGACACTCTTTTAAACTCCAGTAAATTGATATACACAAAGCCCTTAGCAGCCCTGCTCCCTTTGACATTTATGCCTTTTCAATAAATACTTCACAGTATTGAATTTCCATTCCTATTATTTTTGGATCTTTCCACCTCCATGATTACATCCTTTTTTCAATCATTAAAGACTTTACCCAAGCGCTTCATACCTCTGGAACCACTATCTTCTTAATGCTCATTCCAAACTCATCTCTGCATTCATGCTCCCAATTTATTTCACTAGTCTTGATCATCATATTGTACATCAGTACATCAGTAGTATAGCCCTTCTAACTAAAACAGTTGCTGTATCCTTACCTTGCAGATCTTTACAATATATCTTTGTGATATTGCACTTTTCAAATGTAACCCTGTTATGCAGGATTTTCAAAATGTGTTGAACTGTATGTGTTTGTCATTTATAGAGTTTAAAATCACATCTTTATGTACAATTAAGAGAAAAAGAGAGTGGAAGCTTAATGGTATTGCAACATAGGCAGTGAAGGGGTTAACCATAACTGAAATAA